GAAACTGAAGAAATGTATTCCTTTTCTCATTTTATATACAGTCTTCAAGTTTTTAATCAGATTTTAATAAAGAATAAAGCTGTGTCTAATTGCTTAGTGTGATCAAAATAAAAGTAAATATTTGAATAATATCAAATTCAGAACAGATCTTGATAGTAGTTTTTAAAGTATATAATGAAAAGTTCAGATTCTTCATTTCTCTGCTTTAGAAGTAGTTCCTTCTCATCAATCAGTGTAAATGAAATTCTCTCTCAAGAAGAGATATGATATATGTATGTATGTATAAATTTAACATTTCAGAGAAGTTGTGGGCAACATCTGCACTTTAAAAGTGTTTTAAAGAGCATGGGGATGTGCTACACTGAAGAGATTTCTATATATATAAAAAGAGAAAACAGAATTCAGATGACAATTCTTAAAAAAACTCAGTATAACTGCTCATTCGCCCCAGTGGCCGAATAGGTAATGCGGCCACCAGGTAGCGCCTTGGTGTAGGGACTTAAGGCGCGTGGGTTTGAAACTCACAAGGGGACAACATTACATCCGGAGCTAACTTCTCAGCTTTTAAAATAAAGAGATGTGAACTTGTTAAATAGATATCTTCAGATGAATTTATTATCTGATTTAATTTATTGTTTCTGAGCTGGAAATTTGTATCATGAATATCAAATCCTGTCTTTCATTAATTTTTCTATATTTCTGTTATATTCTTGACATCATTCAACACTAAGCATTCCTTTTATATAACCAACTCTTGCCTGTATTTAATATTACATAAGGACTCGTCATAAGCACTGTTTGTATATGAGTATAATGAAAGAATAATAATAATAATAATAACTGCTCATTCATTTCTGATCTGATGTATAATCATTCATGATAAAATTATAGTGTGATTTTTTTTTAAAGAAGTCATCACTGCTGTGTCTGAAAGATTAATAAAGAAGATAAAAAGAGATTGGGTTTTCTGATTATTGAAGAGCTATATACTCTTTTTAACAGAAGAAAAGAAAAGAAACAGAAAGAGTAAAGCAGAAAAGAGAAATAAAGAAGAAATAAAAAAGTAAAAACTATATTGAAAGATGCTGAGCATTTATACAAATAAAAAAGAACAGATGAGAGATGAGAAGAGATGAATGAGAAAGAAAAATCATATTCAAAATACTGCTGTCTGATCATATAACACACATTCATGACAAAGAGAGGAAGTGCAGTAGAAAAATGATGCAGAGAAAAGTATCAGCATTGAGAATAAAGAAGCAGATCAAATAAATAGAATATATTGATTAAATCAATTATATTGATTGAACAGATTGTATCAATTGAATTGAATGTATTATTAATTGAATTGAATGTATCGATCGAATTAAATGTATCAATTGAATTGATTGTATCAATTAAATCAATTGTTATTATTATTATTATTCTTCTTCCGTTATACTTGTATGTGTAATGAGCGTACTTCGATTAACGATCTAGCACTATTCTATGAAGAGGGTTTTTATAAAAAAAAGATTGAAATGAAAGAATATCAAAAGCTGTCTCACAATGAACCGCGGAGTGAAAGAATGTTAAAGACTATTGTAATGCACTTGCTTATTATTTCCCTATTATATTAATAATCTTTGCTTATTCTTACCTCTTTCCATTATGTTCTCGCTACCGCTATTTCTATATGTATATATATATGAATGTATTTCACACATCTTTTTTTTCTTTCTTTTCCTTCTTAGCGATTAGCTACAACAACTATTATTATTACTACAATTACTATTCTTATTATCATCCACTACACTATCTACTATCTTCCACTATTCACTCTTCACACTGTCATCACCCCTCACAACTATGCAGAAGAATCGTTAAAAACTATATGAATGCAGAGCATGAAATAAAAGAATGTTAAAAGCAATATAAAAGAATCATTAAAAATTACACAAGTGTGAAATGTGAAATGAAAGAATATTAAAAACTATACAGAAGAATTGTTAGAGATTATATGAACACAAAATATAAAGTGAAAAAACATCAAGAATTACACAGAGTCACAATGATAAAAACAAATGAGTGTAATAAAGAAGTTGATTGTGTAAGTTTTATTAACAAATGCTAACTTATCACATTATCCTCTTCTACTGAAATGAGTGAGGATTTGTAGATGTTGAGAGCGGTGGTGTTCTTCAAAGTGAATGTGGGTTCCCAAATCGGACGATTGTATTCTACTCATTTGATGAGGTATTCACAGCGGTGGTGGTTGGTTCCATTGTCAAGAATTGCTTCAATTTCCCACTCAAGTTTGTTATCTTCTTTTACAATGACAGATGACTGTCAATTGAAGGTTCTCTGTGAGAGGAATGGATACTCAGCCGCGGGTTGAAGCAGGTTTGTATGAAAGATGTTGTGAATGTCAGATGGAATGTTGAGTTGATATTTGTGTATATTTAACACTTTTTTCACTGTATATTTGATGTGATGATAATTTAGTGTATGTGAGAGGTGATCTGTTTTTATATTTTTGAGATTCAGTCAAATTTTGTCTTTTACATGATATTAGATTGCAGAACTTCTTCTGATGTTCATTTGATTTTTATAATTTTATTCAATGCTGATTATTTTGAAATTTCTGCTCATTTATGAGCTTTCTTTAACTTACTTATTCACAATGTTTTCTATTGTTTGTATGAGGCTGTGGGGGTATGCAGTTTCTCAGAGAATCTCAGAGAAGTTCAGAACCTCTAAATTATATTCATATAAAAAAAAATTAGTTTATATCTGTTATGATGAAATTTCAACTGTTAATTGCAATCTCAATGTGTGGCAGCAGATCATTTCAGTTGTTTTGTGTGTAATTGCAGAATTTACAGAGAATGTTTTTTATCGTTTATATCATTCTTTCAATAACTTCATCAATCTCTAAGTGATATGTTGTTGATAACTTTCATTCAATTTTTAATAATTGATATACACAAATTCAGAGTGCATTGATAAATTGACTGTTTCTATCTGACACAATGAATGAAGGTAGATTATGTATATGATAAAATGAGCTTTTGATGAAGGCATCTGCGATTACTTTAGTGTCCATCTTATCAAATCACAGAGCTGTAGTATTATACCTTTATTGAGTCAGTTGACAATGACTAGAATGTTTGTAGAACCTTCATTTTTAAGTAAGAAAACTGCAAAATTGATAATTACATCACATCAAATTCACTCAGAGATGAGTAGAAGCTTCAGCATTTTTTTTCAATGTTCACATCATATTGTCACTGAGCTGCAGTGATCACAGTTGTATATGAATTGATGTATGTTCTTTAACATATCTGATCAATAGAATTTTTGAGTGATGATGTTATACATGATTTCACATTCTGAATGTTTTCATCAATGAGTCATGAATTTTTTACATGATCTGTGTTTGTAGAGGTTCTGAATTGAAAATCCATCATTTATCTTGAAAGTGTAAGCAGTTGTCATCATTAATTGAATATGCTGAAATATCTGTTCTTGAATATACATCTGTGAGAAATTGAAATACTTTGCTTTATACAGCTTCAATAATCTGTTGTCAGAATTCATCTGCTTCTGTGTTAGTCTTCATTGTTCTTTAAATGAGGGCTCTTGAATTTGAAATTGATTGATATGTATGTAAAGTTCATCTGATTATGTAGAATCTTCTATGATGGTAGAGTTGATTAACTGATGCTTTTAATGTTTCTATCTGTCATTCAAATCATCAGATGGTATATTTTGTTTTCAGTAAGATAGAGTATTTATAAAAATGTTCTTTATTTTAAATTGATAATGAATTGTCAATGAAAAATGATTAAAGAATAATGATCAATGTATATTTTCAGTGAGCTTATAAGTGATTGTGAAATACTCTAGATTTTTATGATCAGTAACAATCTCAAATCTCTCAACATTTATGAATTCAAACTTTTATTTTTTGAAATATTGTATGATCACTATAAGCTTCTTGTTGTAGATTTCATAATTGCATTCAGCAGATGACATCTTTTTCATGATGAAAGCATAAAATTGTAGAACATCTTCATTATCATATTACATCAATGCTTCATCTATTATATAATCTGAGATGTCTATTTCAAGAATCATATGCTTATCGGAATTGAATGATTGTAGCATTGAAGCATTTATGAATAATCACTTCAGCCTTTTGAATGCTGTGTCTGCTTGATTCATTCATTGAAATACAATGTCTTCTTGAGTCAGATTCATCAATGGTTGTACAATATTAGAGAAGTTCTTGATGAATCTTTAATAAAAGTTAATGAACTAGAAAGCTTCTAGCCTCTTTTACTAAGACTGATGCCTTTCAGTTGATCGCTTCCACCTTCTTAGAATCCATGTGTACATTTTTTTCACCTTTGATGATGAATCTCAGATAAATTGTAGATTTAATCTTAAAGTTGCATTTATCAATGTCCATCTGTAATCCAGCTTCGCGTAAGCGGGTAAGCACTTGTACATGCTTGCAATGCTCAGTGAGTGACCCATCCATGAAGATTAGAATATCATCCATGTATGCTGATGTGATCTCATTCAGCATGTCTTGTAAAGCCCAATTGATATATTTCTGAAATGTACTTGAGGCATTCCAGTTCAAAGGAGGTCACTGTTCATTCAAATAAATCATAACATGTGTGAAATGCTGTTAACCACTCATCGCCTTTATTGATCCTTATCTTGTAGAAGGCTGCTGATATATCAAGCTTTGTAAATCATTTTGCTTTTTCTATTCATTCAAGTGTTTCATTGATGAGTGGGAGAGAGTATCAGTCCTTTCATGTGATTCAGTTGAGTTCTTGATAATCTACACAGAATCATAAACCTTCTTCAGATTTCTTTGCAAATAATACAGATTCTGCAGCAGAGAAATTGCTAATTTGAAACAAATCTTTATCTAAATAATTCATTGAGTGTTTTTTATAAAACAAGAAGCTCATCATATGATATACTGTAGAGAGAGTTTCAGAATGATTGTGAGTCTTTGCTATCTTCTTTAATGAACTCAATTGTATGATTTATATCATATTCTCAGTGGGAGGGAAGCTTTTCAGCCGCTTTTTCATCAAATATGTCTGTGAAATTCTTATATGATTTGAAGAGTTCTTTGTGAGATTTCATGAAATTCTTAGACTCTAATTTTTCTAATGTTTTCTTGATATCTGCTATACTGACAGTGAACACTTGGACATTCTTCTTCTTGTATGTTTGATGAATTGGTAGTAGCTTGAATGCTTTTACTGATATCTGAGTGAGATCAGTGATTCTGTAATATTCTTTTCATAAACACAGCTTTAAGAAAAATATTGGGGGTATTTAAAACCTCTTCAATTAAAACTATGGAGATTGAAGCCTCTCTATCACCACCACAAGTGAGATTTGATAAAATCTGTATGAATTATGCTCTCAGAATTATGAAGATATCCCAATCATTCAATTAGAAAAAGAGTCTCAACGTCTTTTCCAAGTGAATCAACTGGAGTAGATTTGAATTGGGAGTCATATTTTGATTGAAATGATGAAATAAATTCATCTGATAATTCAACATCTGTGCAAAGAAAGAAGATACCATCTCAGTTATTTAGAATTTGCTCCATGATTAAAGACAGTTTCTCTAATTTAAATGTGGAGAAAGTGGTCTTTGAAAATCTCTCTCCTTGGAAGAAAGATCTTGTCAGTCTTATTGATTTAAATATTAGTCAACTTTCAAAAGAAGTTCAGACTGGACAACATCTAAATCTTCTAAAACAAATGAGAAACAAAGCAATTCTTATATACACTGATGGCTCAAAATGTGAGAAAACAGGCAATCTTGAAGCTGGAATAGCATATTCAAAAAATGATAAAAACTATATTCTTGATTGTTGACAAATTGGAAAAGAGTCAGAAGTTTTTAATGCTGAATTATTTGCAATTTCAAGAGCTTTCAAATTGGTTGAGATGAAGATTGAATAATGGAAAATATTTGAGCATATTTGAATATTCTCTGATAGTCAAACTGAGCTTAAAAGACTTCAAAGTAATAAAATCAGTAGTGGACAGTCAATGCTAGAGCTGATTTTGAAAAGTCTTCAAAATATTCAAAGAAAAATCTCATTCAATTATTCTATTCATCTTCACTGGGTGCCTGCTCACATGGGTATGTATGGCAATGAAATGGCTGATAAAGCTGCAAAAAAAGCAACTGAATTGGAAGTCTGCTTTCAAAGAATTGTAACATGAGCTTTTATTAAGAGAAAAATAAGAGAATCATGTTTGCAAAAATGGCAAGATATCTGGTTTTTACAAAAAAAGTGTACATTATTCCAGGGTTGAAACTAAGCCAAAATGGAAAGCTTGCTCAATAAAATGTAAAAAGAAACTTTTGCTACAATAATGCAGCTAAAACTTGGACATGGTTATTTTAAATCATATTTAACAAAGACTAGAAATGATTTAGGTGATTTATGTTCAGATTGTCAGTTATATGAAAACCCAGAGCATTTTCTTTTACTTTGTACAAAGCATACAGAGTTAAAATTGAGATTGAGAGAGAAGTTTAAATTGAGACAGTTAAATTTAAAACTTTTGTTCAATACAAAAACTGGAGATGAATTCTTGATTGGATATTTGAAAGGATCAAATATTGCTTAGTTTGATTTGATAATGAATTCAATTTTTGTTTTTCTTTTTTTCTTTTGTTTCTATGTATTTGCTTTAGTTTTTGTTTTTGTTTTTATTTTATTTTGTTACTTTTACTCTGAAATTTGTTTCATTTTGATTATTTTTGATTTTGACTTGTTTTGAAAAGTTTGATTTGTGAATGCTTTCTTTTCTTTTAATAGCTGCTGTTTTTTATACTCTTTATTTCATTTGTTTTAAATTGAATGTATTGATCTGTTGTCATTTTTTTGACATTCCTTCTTAAATTAAATAATTTGATTAATTGTTTGATTCTGGGCTGGAATTCTGCTTTTGCATGTATTAAATTGATTTTGTATATTAGCTTATTCTCAAGTTGAAAAATCCTGAAGTATTTCAGATAAATGTCATAGTCACTGACTGCATACATCTATAATGAAGAAATAATAATAATAATAATCAACTCAGAAACAATAAATTAAATCAGATATTAAATTTATTTGAAAATATCTACTTGACAAATTCACATCTCTTTATTTTAAAAGTTGAGAAGTTGATTTTGACTATAATATTGTTCTTTCATGAGTTTCAAACTCACATGCTTTAAATTCTCATTTCAAAATGTTATTTGATGATTGTATTATTCATTCAACCACCGGGGCTCATTTTGTGTTTTGTTATAATGTAATTTTTAGTATTTTTTTTATTTCATTTCTTTTTTTATAAAAATTTTTTTATATGATTTTTTCTTTTAATCTTCTTTCTCTTTCTTTCTTTTCTTAATTAATTCATAAAGTGTATTAGAATAGTGCTAGTCATTAATTAAAGTACACTTTTTATAGAATATAATGATATTTAAATATTTCATTAAATTATTAAAATTTTTCATTAATAACAATGAGAATGATTAAATTTCTGTATGTAACTTGTTTTGAGATGATTTAAGTTAAGATAGCTAGCATGGAACATTCATAGAAATACATCATGCATGTTGATGTGTGGGGGGATGTTGGGCAGGGGTGGCCCTCCACCGCACGTGATTACCCCTATGTATCGTTGTTAGCTCGCGATCACACAATGAGAAGATCAACCATCTCACACGTTATCCTCCCACACGAACGGGCGGTATTGGTTGCGTAAGTTAACTACTAACGGGTGCTAACCCGTCACACTTTCATCATATTTGAATCGCAAAATATGAAACAGAGGTTACACAAGCAATATAAAGTTGTCTAATTGTCTGAAAAGAATAGGCCTCTTTCAGTATTTGAGAGTCTTCCCTCCCTACCCAACTTGGCGAGTATCAAGCCTCGGGAGCTCAAAATGAATGCCTGTTTCACGTTTCTCCTGAGGAGACGAATTCAATTAGCTCTTCGATCATGTTGGCTAACAGACACAATAACAGGAACAAAATATAAGCAGCTATTACCGATTCTAGCGTTGTTCCTTTCACCCTAAGCGCTGAATTCTTGACTAAGCCAAGGTCCATTGAGAGGAACTTAGCCTTGGTTGCAGGCGCATTGGAGGCAAGTAATAGCCGTGGATATGGCGAAATTGGCGATGGAAGGTTTGGCGGTGTGATATCGGAGAATCGAGCATATTGGGAGTAGAATTTAGGTTGTGAAACGGGTGAGATTTTGAGAAACAATGTGTATGAATGATGTCATTGGTGACCCATAAGACAACCCGGGTTGGATGAGGGTAATCAGGACAAATAAATGACTATTTAAAACATAGCGGATTGTAAACCTTTATTTTTACATACATGTTGTCCACGCACCGGGTCGAAAAAGAGAGGCCGGGTTTCTGACCCAATACATTCGATGTCGAAAAACAGCCAACGTCTACCATCCCCCAGAACAATCAATAATCATAGAACCCCTTGGAGGACTTTTTGCCCATCCAACCAGCATCAACCATCTTCTTCAACAATCCTGCGGGCCGATATTTGCTATCACCAGTCTCGGTATGCAGCACATTCATAATAGCCAAGCACGTATCCAAACCAATGAAATCAGCCAGCGTCAGCGGGCCCATTGGCACATTGGTACCGTACTTCATGATGCTGTCGATATCCTCCTTAGTGCCAATACCGTTCTCCAGACACATGATCGCTTCATTTACATATGGCATGAGGATACGATTGGCTAGGAAGCCAGGAGAATCGGTGGAGCGGGCCGGGATCTTGCCCATGCGTTTGACGAACTCCATGGCAGTGTCAATGGTTTCCTGGGACGTTTGTAGGCCCGTGATGATTTCCACGCCCTTCTGGACGGGGACGGGGTTCATGAAGTGGGTGGAGATAACTCGCGACGAGGCAGACAGGTCTGTAGGGTTCTTGGTGGTTGCAGCGGCGATCTTGGTGATGGAGATGGAGGATGTATTTGTGGCAAGGATGGCGTGTGAGGGAGCGATTTCAGCTAGTTGGGCGAAAATGGATGACTTGAGCGCTGGGATTTCGGGAACGGCTTCTATTACGAAGTCTACGTCTTCGAGGTCGGAGAGGTTGGTGCTGGGTTTGATCATCGAGCGGATTTGGGTGGCGTGGTCTCTGGTAATACGCTCCTTTGAGACGTCTTTCTCAAGTAGCTTTTCTATTTTGTTGTTTGTTGGTCGGCGGAGTTAGATCCCTAAATCCTCAATTGAGTGCGTTGTGCAATTGTATGAGGCAAACCTGCAAATTGCATCCCCTTATCGATAGAAGCTTGGGAGTTATCAATCAGGGTTACGGGTACGCCAGCCTTTTGGGCGGTAACTAGCGCAATCCCCAGACCCTATTCCACAGCATGTTAATATTCAATTGACAATGTATCCGGTATATCAATACGTACCATTTGTCCAGCTCCGATAACTCCCACCTTTTTCACCTCCGCCGCTGCCTGAGCAATTGGGGATGTACTGAAGGATCTCGAGGCGATTGAGCAGCCCGCATTGGCGATGCACCATCCTACAGTAACGCGGAACATCGTGACAGGTGAATGAGTAGTGATAGAAGAACAGCTCCCCATGCAAAAAAAACTTAGCGGTCGGCAAAGATAAACTTGGATATGGAACAGGGTGTATGGCGTGGTGTTATCACATGATAATAGGTCAATGGTTCTGGGGAGATTCGGTTATTCTCGGAGCCAGTATCCTGTTACAGCACGCTTTTGTCCCAGGTGAGCTTGGCAATAAAAGGTGATTCCCAGCCCAATGCTGGAAGTTAATAATTCCGTTCCTGATTAGTCAGTCACACGTCAGAAACGCGAGTTTACACACGCGAAAAATGATTGGACATCGAAATTGAATCAGAGCCGTAAACACTGGCAACGATATGATATCAAGACAGAAAACCACAACACCATCTGCTAGATATGACATTGATACCCTATTAGCAATATCCCAAACAATATGGAGCCAGAGTCCATTCAATCAGGGCAGGTGGTGGATCCTGAAGTCCGCGCTTATGTCTACAATCTCGTTTCTGCGGTAGGTCTATCGGGAAGGAAGCCAACCCAACTAATCATTAAAGTTTAATGGAAAGCTGACAGGATGATGAATTCTTCATATAGCTTGGAGGCTCTGGTAGTAGCAATACAGGGAAATATGTCTTGGGGGACGATGCCCTTGCCTGTTTGCGCGATATCAAAAAATGGCTCAAGTTCTACGACGAGAAGGCGAACCGTATGGACGTGGCCAGGTGCTTAGCGGAAACTAACCTCGTAAATCGAGACTTGATTCCGATTCTCGCACTTTTGGGGGATGATATACATGATGATAAGTACAAGTCGAGAGTTTCGTTGGCTTGTTGTAAGTGCTCTGCGCTCTCACACCCCTCTTCCCAACTCATAATTTGTGAGTGCTGCTGATATGCTTCATTTTAGTGGAATTGCTTGTTCCTCTAACATGGCCGCTCGAGATCCATAGCCAGATGACAGTCAATCATCATAGACATATACCATACTTGCAGCATTCGCAGGTTTTGTATAAGCGTGGGATTCTTGGAAATGATGCCACGGCCACTCTACGAACAATTATCCGTATTGCCTTGCCAAGCATGACCACTCCACGATCAGACCGTTCCTCGCGAGACGAAGGGATTCTAAAATTAATGCTGTACCTATTCAGAAATATTGCGATAGTAACGCCTTCGCATCTAACTGCCGAGGGCGACGAGGAAGAAGCGTCGAAGTCCGCTACCATAAACGTATTTCAACAACAGGATGTATTTGCCCTTCTACTAGCAATGTGCTCCAGTATAGGAGAAGATTTTATTTACCAGGATGTGGTTATTCTAGAGATTCTATTCCATATTGTTAAGGGGGTCGATATAAAGAAGCTGTTCATGAATGATACTCAACGAAATATTGCGGGAACGGATGATCTTGAAGCTCTCCTGGATAAGGAATCACATTTAAAACGGGAATACGCCAAAACTGCCCCGACCAGGCATGGGCGATTTGGCACGATGATCTGGGTGAAACGAGATGATGAAAAAGTATCCACTGTTTCCGGCCAGGACGTACTCAAAGACGACTGGACGACGATGTTGAAAATGGACAAATCAAAAAAGTGGGATAGGCCGAAACATAGAAAGGGGGACATTGACACGTCGGTGAATAACTTTAATGTGCCATCTCCCTTAACGCCGCTGGCGACCAAACATTTAAGAACATTCGTTGAAGAGTTTTTGGACTCTGGTTTCAACCCACTCTTCTCACATATCCGCAAAGCCATTGAACGGGAGGCCGACCGCGTGACCGAGTCCACACCACGTCACTTCTTTTATGTAGTCGCTTGGTTCCTTGAGGCTGAAAGGGCTCGGCGTACCCGCCAACAAGAAATTCGCCAGCAAAATGCACATCCTTCGAGGGATTTTGAACCGGACGGTTTCCAACTCGTTGCAAGCGTTCTCAACCAAGAAACTTTCATTGCTTTAACCAGACATATGCAAAACTGTTTAGATTTCAAGGATTGGCAGGATCTGAACGCCAGCATGCGGTGTTTTACGCAAATCCTTCTGACGGTCCAGCAGATGTTGCATTCTGACATTGCTGAAGATCAAGACATTGCTGAAAATATATTGAGCAGAATATTCTATGAGGAGACAACACATGACAAGATATTGGCTATATTAAGAGTCTATGAAAGCCAAGGGTTCTGGTATTTGGATGCTTGCACTGAACTAGCCCATGTCTTCTTTCGATTATTGGAACAGTACTCGAAGCAGAATGAATATATGCAGATTCGATCTCGGCGACGAGCCAGGCGCAAACAACGTAAGAAAGCGGCTCCCAATCCTGAAAATGGCGAAGCTCAAGATGGTGACGAGTCCGAAGCCGAAGACTTGACCATGGAAGATGCAACTAAGACGATAGTGGAAAGATCTTTCAATTTCCAACGTTTCGCGGCTAAATTTTGCACCCAAAACTCTGTCAACACATTCCTTGCATTAACAGCATATTATAGGGAGCTCAACGAGGAGCAGTTGAAACGAGCACATCGATTTTTCTATCGCGTGGCTTTCAAGCAAGAGTTAAGCGTGTTGCTCTTCCGCGTGGATATAATTTCGCTGTTTTATAAGATGATAAAGGGTCCGAGAGGCCTTGATTCGACTAAGCCAATTTATGTCGAATGGGAGGAGCTCACACGACGAATTATTAGAAAGCTCGTCAAGAAATTAGAAGAACGCCCGGAGCTTATCACAGAAATACTATTTAGTAAAATTAACGCCACTGTCTTCTACCTAGAGTATGGCCATGAGAGACAGACACTGTCGCAATCGAAGGCTGCTGCTGAGTTGGAGGTGAAGCCCGGTGCTGCCAATACACTAGATTCTAAATTAGGCATTGTAGTAGCAGCTCTGCTCCTGGAAGGAAAAGAGAGCCTAGTACAATGGTTAATTAAAACCATTGACACTGCGGTAAATGAAAGGAGAAGCTGGGAGCTGGAAGCCGAAGCTAGGCGATCTGAATCTGGAGAGGAGCGTACCGCCAACACTCCTCCTTCAATAGGTATGTATAAGATATCGTTCTTGCCCGACAAAATTATGTTGACAATTTTCATTAGCTGTTATCCCGTTTGATGATGCATGTCGTACTGCCATGTTCAAAAACGGACGTCTCCGTCTTCTAATGACATCAGCTGGGCTTGAGAGGCTTGGTGTTGAGGACACACTGGGCTCCTCGTGGATAATCCCCTCGTCATTATCGGCTAGAACTCTAGAAGAAACGAAAAAATCAATTGAAAAACACAAGGAGAACCCACCAACCGAATTCGACGGGTTAGAGCCTCGTGATCTGCTACGTCGAAAACGAGACATCGACACTACGTTGTCCCACCAACGAACATCAGGTGAAGTAGATTTTGGAAACGATTCGGAGGGCGAAGATGACATTGATGATGTCTTGTTCCCGCCAAATCTCCGTACTAGAGCCGACACACTAGATGAACGTAAAAAGAAGCGACTTAGGCGAGGGAAGAAGAACGGAAAGGATGGTGATGTCCTGGACGAAGCATCATTGGAAGCACGCCGTCTGGCACGACATGCTACTGCATTAGAGCGTCAAAGGAAAATCAAAAGCAGTTTATATATCCATGCCAGTGATGAGGAGTCGGATGAGGAAGCCGATAGAGAGTTCTTCGCGCGAGAGGAGGAGAGGAGGAGAAACCAGGCCATTCGCATCAAGCAAGCTTTATTGTCGGACACCACCGGTGGAGATGATTTACCAGACCAAAATTCTTCCACCAAAGCGAGGAAACGGAAGGGTACTGCAGACGAAGATGAAGTCAACAAACGTCGCCGGAACGATCATCTGCTACCCGATAGCGATGAAGAAGTTGATTTAACTAGCATTGATGGTCATCAGGACCACGATGAGGAAAATAGCCTGATGGTCACAAAAGATGAACCATCATCATCCTCCGAGACGACATCGATGTCATTTGGGTGGTGAACATGAACGAATGAGCGAAAATTCCACTCCTCCAACCTGACAGAGCGCCATCCAATATTCGGCATGAATGACGATGACTACTTTGATAACCCATTTTACTTCTCTAGTTTAGTCGACAAGGAGAAAGTCTGGAGAGATGAAGGGGTTGGGTAAAGAGGTTGGTTCAGACGAGGAGGAAGAGGAGCCCGGCGGCGCATGCTTGGCGCGTTCATCGTTGAGATTTGGGAAGTAGATGATGTTTCTTGTCCGATGCCATTGTCAGAAGCCATTGAATCTCTTCTTTATGCATGTGATACGAGGGTTTCTATTTATCTTCTTGTTCGCTTCTTTTTTTTTCTCTGTACAACGACCACGATCATTTTACGTGAACTTTCTAGAGGTATACTCCGTACAGTTGGGTTGAAACTTCATTTGGAAAAATCCCTTTAAACAAGCAAGTAGAGCGGTGGTGTTTATTCATATTTCTCAATTCTTTAACCTTAACCGATCCTACCTCGATATATCCTTTCCTAGCTCTAATCCCTAACCGCTGATCATCAACGTCTAACCTCTAATTTTAACCCAAGCGACCCCTAGCCTCGTGTTGCAAGTTGCCAGTAACGAGTGTATCTGTAAGAAAGGTTGAACCTGATTGGATATTATCTATCTAGCGGCGGCTAATTTATGTTGGGTAAGAGAAGTGAGTTTTGTGCTGGACCTGATTTAACGGGTAAGTTAAGTTTTTTGATAAACAACAACTATTTGTTTAAGCCTTGATTGGGTAGGAGGAACAAAATAAATAAAGTTTCATGTGTGGATGGATTTTATGGCGGTTAGTCCTGAATTTCAAGCGCTAAAAACTACCACCACTTGTTCAATCAATTCCTGAAAATGCAAATAAAATAGAGAAAAACCCGGAAAAAAGAAAGAAAATGAAAATAAAAGGAAAAAAAAAAAAAAAAAAAAAAGATACAAAATTAAACGCCACAAACCCGAATCCTGAAGCTTATTCACCTAGCGCTTAAAACTACCAAAATCAAAAATCTAGAATGGAATGATAAAAACTCCCAATCATCCGGCCGCCCAGCACCACCCCTCTCAGGCTTCACCGATCTATCCCGGCGCGCGGGGGAAAAAACCAGTCATCTGCGCCGTCATCAGCCTTGCTTACGTCGGCGGCTGCGAGATCATCAACAGCAAGCGCAGGGCGAAGTTCGCGTTACCAGAAGTTAAGCGCGGTGTCATCGCGTTGGCGGGTGGGCTGACGAGGTTGATGCGGACCGTGGGAAAGCAGCGGGCGATAGAGATGGCGTTGACGGGGAGGGTGGTCCCGGTTGAAGAGACAGAGCGGTGGGGGCTTTGTTAATGAGGTTGTGGGGGAGATTGTGGCGAATAATTCTGACGCGGTGATTGTGAGTAGAGAGGGGGTTAAGTTGGGATGGGAAGGCGAGGGCGTCGAGCATGCGAGTCGGATGTTGATGGACGGATGGGCCAGGCGGCTGGCTGAATGGTCACCACAAAGGTCACGCAATTAGAAATAAGCTTGAGGAAAATGGGGCTGGGTACCGGATTCACCAACTGAATGAATTGAGCCGTTGAGAACTATCATGGCCACCGTACGAATGGTTACCAGAGCATTTAGAAAACACAAACCACCCTCTTTAGAGCTATCCTATTAATTCTCGGCCTGGCCTTTTCAAATAAAACCATACAGATTACCCACTAGAGCGAGACCGGCAGGAGGGATTGTTCTTCGAAGCCACTGGCGCATCATTCCAACCAAGGAAGCGGCTCCATTCTATGCAACAGGAAATTTACTAGGAGGAAACGGGGATGCTGAACCATCTCTATCTCCTATTTCCTTTGCCATTGTGTTGTATGGTTCTGGATGAAGGATCGGGAGATGATTGACAGCCACCGTTTCCAAAAATTTCACAGCTAAACTCAGGGCGGAAACGGCGTGCGGGCTCGGAAACGCCTACTCATTCGCGTAAACCAGGATCTGGAGAATCTCGAGTAGCACGCTTTCTAACATTTGAAATACCATTTGAACCAGGAGCGGGGCGTGGAGATTTTTGAGGTTCCTTTGTATTTTTAGGGCTCTGGGGTATGGGAATGGGTATTTAAGATGCATTCCCACCTGTGAAAGCGTCTCCATTTCTTCCCTTGACTTAGAAGTTAAGGGAAGTCCAGCCTCCCCTGTTGGTTCCGGGGACGCGGAAGGGACCTCATGTGAGCGGTACATGTAGCGGACACGGCAAACAGGACGGTCGTCACTTTCTACAGCATTGTTAGGCACAGATTCGCTGGTGGGAGGGTTGTCTGATTACTCGGAATCTTCATCGTCGGGCACTTCGTGAATCCAGGTCATCCCAGGCATATCATTGCCCCATTGCGGATTCCAGATCTTTTGCGTGAGCCAACGATTCTTAACGTTTTCATAGGCTTGGACATCGATATCAGTGCATCCACTGTCTGGTTCGTCTTCTAGCCACTCGCGCTCTTTGGATATCTGATAAAGAAACTGATAGTAGGGGCGGAAAGCCCGTGTTTCATGTTCGTGGGCAGCCCTACATTCCTCACTGACAATTTTCGGCCTTGGGTCCAGTGGGTCTGATATAGATATCGAACGATCTGGTCCTGGCTGGGGCTCAGGCTCGGGAGATTCTTCATGTTTCCAGCTCGCCCCCCTAGCCCATCGCGGCCACTTGTCATTCCATATTCCTTGTCGAAATCCTCCCCTATGCTGTAAGGCAACGTTTCTTTCCGTCTCACAAATCTTCTGTGAATTTGATCTATTATACGCTCCTTCTCTAAACTGCATTGGAACATAAATAAATTGCCGTGTTGGTACCGAGTTTAGGCGTTCTTCTCTGCGCTGCAAGCGTCGATCGGCTTTAGAGAGGGGGGGGGGGGGGGGGGGGAAAGGGCTAGGAGGCCGTGTCGTCTCGACCGACCTGTACGGCGGTGGAGGGTCGTTGAACATCGATCGCTCGCGGGTGAGAAGCTCTGGGTTGTGCTGCAACCTCTGGAGGGCTTTAATGATCTGCGGGAAACCGGCGGCCCCAGAGGTGTTCAATGTGACGGCCATGATCACAGATAAGAGGGACAGTCGATATCGGCTACATCATCAAATTTGTTGAAAAGAAATATCGTGGGTAGAGAAGACTGCGCTGAGGCTAATATCGATGTGAGAAGAAATTAATTCTTTTCGCCAACAACAATCAGCCGCCGCATAGTTGGGCTTGCTCTGTCTTATACCGCAAGTTGCCTCGTCCAGGTCCCATGGCAGCCATGGGATTTCCCAGCCGCCCCAACCGCTCATAGCCAAATATGCAAATATTACTTGTGGGATACAAGTCGCAAAAAGCCGGCATTTGCGTCCCGTTTGTCTCCCATTATTGAATCGCTGCTGTGTCGCTGTTTCATGCATGGATGCCTATCTCTACACCCTAGACTGCCTGCATGAATTCTTCTTAGGGAGGATGCATGCAAACCCCCGTCCTTGGGTAGCAGCAAACAAACATGGATCGAGTCAAACGCCCAAGCACTCGTCTGGTTTATAACCAGCGTCACTCCGTATTAATAACGGAGGCTGTTATGTGCCTTCCTCAGGTGCCCCTCAATCAATCATGTCCTCTCGCGGCCTGGCTATCCACCTGTTTACTCTACCAAACAAACTTCCTGTCGTGACTTGCCACTCACGGACATACGACCTTTTGCTTTGTCGCCGCGACAAGTTCCTCATCGTCGAGCTTATTTTCGCTAACGCCTCTGAATCAAAATGCTCACGCTGTCATTAACAATCCACTCAACCGTCGCTTCCTATCCAGGTTTGTTGACAATAACATGCAATACCTTGGATTAGACATTGGCTTCCACCTTCAGTCAAGTACGCGATATACATTGGCAACTCTTGGGCGCAGCGGCGCTGATATCACCGTTGATGGACCAAGCATATCTCGAATACAGTGCTCATTCGAGGCCCATGCAGAGAGTGATGTTGTGATGATATAGCATCGGTCAATCTCGCAAACAACTGAGGCTTAGGGTCGTCGTGCGATCAGATGTCACCTGCATGGGTGGTAGAGAAGAGGACCTAGTTCAATTCCGATTGGTGTGGCACCGGGTTGAGTTTAACGCGAATTATAGGGTTGAGAATCGGGTGGAAACTCCCATGCAGACTCGAACTAGAGACAATACCGACGGCGTCACCCAGTCGTCTCCCATCAATCCAAGTGCCTGTCCACCATGAGCCGCAAATAAGGTATATAAAGAATTGGCTCCGGTTGGGGCGAGGGCTTACGGTACGGTTTCTAAGGTTATTGATATGGATTCTGGGAAAATTATGGGTGTCAAGTGCGTTCGGCCGCCTCCCAGCGGATTTAAAGACTTGGATCTCACTCGACTACAGCGAGAGATTGAGGCACTTTACAGCTGTTCTCATGTTAGCCAAATCTTCCTGGCCCTCCTGTTCATGTTTCCTAGCTGATATCAACAGCTGAACATCATAGAATACATACACTACCAGAGGTTATCGGAGCAGTTCTAGATCTTCATGGCCTTGAAAGAAGCATCAATTATCTGATACAGATGCGCGTCTTCGATGAGTAAGAGCACTGCAGTAGCAATCTTCTTTATCAAATGCTCAGCGCGCTAGATTATCTCATCTCTTATGGTATTATCCATCGCAATGTTAAACCTGCTAACATCCTTTCCGCCACCTTGGGTAAACTCGACTCTCAATATAATCTCACAGATTTTGGTTTTTGCAATTCTGTTGATCGGGCTATATCAGGGGTCGGCTCGCTCATGTATATGGCTCCGGAATTGCTACAGGGGAATCAATTTCCGCAGACACCTAAGCAGACATATTGTCGCTATTTGTGACCCTGGCGTGGGAGGTGAATGCGGACAATTATAGGAGCAAGAACATGTTCACAGCGGAAGAAATAGTTGGTGCGGCCTTGGATGCCGCAAGAACAGACCGCATGCATCATCTCAAAGATATGGCCGAAATTGAGCCGGATAAACGTGCTTCGTCATCGCAGATGTTACTACGACACTACAACGGTATTGGCCGAACCATGCCGCTTGAACAGGTCGAAACCATCACTTCTGCTAAGCATACCCAGGAACATGTTATCATGGGCAGCACAAGCCCGCAACTGAGATGGCTGCCGCCCGGTCCCACATATCCCTCACCTCAGACTGCTTTGACCACCGGACTCGGGATGAGTACCACAGCACGAATTTCTAAGCATGTTTTCGCGTAGACGATAAAAGTGCTGTACATCCCGGCTATGATCATCATTTTAGCAGCTCCACTTAATTGTCTATTTCCTCGATATTTCGACCTTCATATTTCTACCCTCGCTTTGCTCTCAAACATTTAACTCTTCCTTCCCTTTTCAGCAAAAAAGAAACGACACGGCTAGCCTTCCCCTTCCCCACTTTGTCCTCCGCTATTGGCAACGAGTCAATACGCACTTGTCATGTGTATGCGTTGTTAGGCCCGTTTTCCCACTGCCATTGCCAACATCCATGGAACCGAATGGCAGATCGCCAGACTCCAGTGGAGGACGCCTTTGCCGCCTTCCGTATCACAAAATCCAGAACAGGGTGTGGGAAGAGGTGGCGTCGCCAATCCCATAATGGAGTTTGAAATAGCATTGTGAAATGCTAAATAGGGAATTAGAGATTAAGCCGCGACTTTTTCTATTTCCTTTTTATCTATGCCTGCCTTTACTCTCCAGCCAGCATAGAGCGCTAGTTCCATGATTGAGGCCGTGTGTGTGGTTCAAAGATTGCTTGAGCAGTTGAAGCTTTTAAGCTTACACTGCTCTTTTTATAAGAAAAATGCGGAATTAGTGCAATAGTGTACACCCTCTATTGTTGGCATACACTTCAGAAGAACAATTATTCAAAATTACTATTCTCTCCCATCAAATTCACCTATACTCTCATAATAATAATGTAATTCTGCTATAAACACTCATCACTGCAAAGCATTGATTTATGTTTATAGTATGATATTAAATCATTTTTGTACGTGTTTTATACTTTCAATTTTAAAATATTATCACAGCTGATACTCTTATTATTCTGTAAACTCTTTAATTCAACTTATAACAATAATTATTAATTAAATGACTTGCTTGACTTCACTTCTATTAAGCTACTGATTTCAGACACTGTATAGAAGTGCAAATCAACTGTCTAAATATCATACACAGTTTATATAATTAAATCTAACTCTATAATAATATAATATATAATAATAATGAAGAAACAAAGATCAAAGAGTAAGAATAGAACAGAATAAATAGAATAAAAAAATTAGATAAAGAAAATAAAAATAAAAGTTTTATATATATTTTATTTAATAAAAATGAAAATATTTTATAAATCAGATTGAGCATCATATTGGTATGCTTACTGAGCCGGCGGCCTACAGCAGGTCATATGACTATAGATCCGCCCACCCACCTACTAGATAGCTAGCTAGCACACTCTACATCTTAATGCAAGCAAGCTCTACACTCAACAGATTATATTGTCCTTAGTCAAATAACTTCTGTGTTTTATGAGCAAGTTGCCTATTAATTAGATGTATAGCTCTTGACGTATTATTCTCACTTCTAGCTTAATTGCAAAGGCGAGGAGCATTGAAAATCCTTTTGTTTACATTTGAATATAATGAGTCAAACCTCTATTAAGAGCACCCAAGAAAGACAGCTTAATGCCACTAAAACAGACCTCTAGAGAAGAACCATTTCTTGGGACAAAATCCCACTTCCATTTTCAATTGAATGAATCAGCAAATATGCAAGAGAGTGATATGTGTTTTGAATCATCTGAACCTAGCTTCAACCCCTTTCAATCACCATTTCAAACAGCAGTTAAGCACACTACATCCAGCTTTGCAATCTGTATATAAAATGTGATAACTACCATACAGGAGATAATCAGAGAGGCTATTGAACAATTGAGCACTAATACAGATCTAGACAACTCTAAAGATTCATTCTTAGTGCATCAAACAACCCCTTCTGCATTCAATCTAAGTGTTTTAACTGATGCACTACGGGAGCTCAAAGCTGTCAGCTTAAGTCATGATGAGGCACTGAAGATAGCAAAGGAGCAATGATGTGTCTCACTGACAGTTCAAACAGCAACAGCAACAACAGACACTTCTACTCTGAATACTGCATCTACATTTCAAAACTTTAAAAATGAGTTCAGCTATATGAATTTGAAACTCAACAACAAGCTTGCAGAAGTATTGAATTACAACATTTGATGTAGAGAAGTTCTAATTAAAGTTATACTTCTTCAAATTAATGACATGTTAAAGAATTATGAACAGGAACTGAATCACTCACTCAGTGCTGATGAGGTAAAGATCTGATGATACAAGGAAATCAAGATGTGGGAGTGTATGTAGAACAATTTGAAAACAGATTCTTAAACCCTAGTTCAATCAAAACTCAAATAGAAAGATGATGATGAATTCACAAAGATGAGCAGAGCATCTGCACTCTGAAATGTTTTGAAATTGAAATATCAACTTCACTGAGCGGATCTGCAAGCACAACTGTACATCAAGATCACCGCGATTAACATTGATCAATATGAAAAAGATATCATCAAATACATGAAGGTGTGGTGTCAAGCAGTCAATCAGATAAATTTGCATAAATGGAATCTATCTGACATATTTCTTGCACAGCAGTTCATTAATGATCTTAAGATGTACACTCAGTTCTACATTCAATTTTAGCTGAAAGCTCTAAAGCAGAGTCATCTGAAAATTGAAATCTCTGTAATCAATCTTGATGAGTTAATTGATGACTTGATCTGATACAAAACATTTATAAAAATTGACAATAAAAAAGATAAGGCATTGCAGACTGACAAGAAAGATGACAAGAAGAACAGTAAATTCAATAATAAAATTAATGAAAAGAAGAATAAGAAGAGCTCTACAAATGTCTCATTCAACTTTTTCAACACAAATTCAAACTTCAATGTAAATTTCAGCTTCAATTTGAGCAGTTGTATGAACATTCTCAAGTACACATTCTGTGACAATATAGATCATCAAGTCATCAAATACCAGTTCAAAAATTGAAACAAGCAAAATCAAGAGTTCAAAGACAAATTCCAATCATTCTACAACTGATTACAGCAGAAAAATAGCCAAGTGACTGTCCGCAATAATGAAACAGCCATCAATTTTCCCAGCAGTGTCAAGGGCCTGACTGTGATGACTGCAGATTCCAACTGGTATCTTAATACAGGTGCCAGTTTTCATATTACAAATAAATGGAGCCTTCTTCACCATACAAGAATGTCAGAGGGTGAAGAGGTAAGTGCAGCTCAAGAAGTCAATAAAAACATATTGATTTCAAAATTAGTAGATAAATTAACTGTTTCTATGAATGGTCAAATTCTACAGCTTCAAGCAGTCTGTTGAATGACTGAGACTAGTTGCAACCTTGTCAGCTTTAACCAACTAGTCACTGACAGGTTCAACATCAAGACCCTTTGAGATAATGAGAATATTATAGTGGGATTTGAAATAGTAGATTCAACAAGTGAATGCTTTTATGCAATGATATCAGATATGAAAGTGTTCTCCATTTATGAAATTAAAAAAGCAGCTCTGATAGCTATGAGCAAGTCAATAACTTCAATGTATGATGACATTCTGTTTATCTGACATGTCAAGCTGAGCCACCTCAACACTGAGGATGTCTTACAGCTCATGAAAGACCTCAAGATAAATATACAAATCAAGAGTGGCAAAGAGCTCTCATTTTGTGAAACATGCAAGCTTGCTAAAGCTCACAAGAAAATATTGCAAATTTCTATCCTCAGAGTGAAAGTTCACAATCAAAGATTGCATTTTGATTTAGTGGGTGAAGGAGAATCTTTTGAGGATATTGACAACTTTCTCTCATCCTTTCAAGAACTCAAATATCTACTGCTTGTGATGAATGATGCCACTCACTATAAGACCTTTTATTTTCTCAAAACCAAAGATCAACTCCTGGATTTTGTTAACTTCCATCTTCAGCAGCTGTTAAATAAGAGTATTAAGATGACTACAGCTCACTCTGACAGTGTGCAAAAAATTTATGATCAGAAAACACAAGCAATTCTCATCAAGTTTGAAGTTATATGAGAATCTACAGAGCTTTACACTTTTTATTAGAATGGGGTATTCAAATGTGGCATTCAGAATGTCATAATGAAGGTTAGAATTTAAATGATTCAGACAGATCTGTCTGTGAAATTGTGAGCAAAGTAAATGAGCACTGCAACATTAATGTCAAACATCACATTAACAAGAACTCACCTATTTTCAGAGTTAGTTGCACAAGATAGAGCTTTCATTATGATATCATTTGAAACTTGAACAGGCAAGTCTTATAAGTGTCTGCAAGTCTTACAGACAATTGATTCTCTGTATTACATTCTTAAGAAAGGCTCTCACAAAGAAAAGAGTAAATTCACTGCATGTAGCAATAAAATGATTTTATTGGGATACTACGGTGGTAACATATATAGACTGTGGGATTCCATTGACAAAGAAGTCATTATTTCAAGCAGTGTTGAATTCAATGAAAATGCGACATTGGCACGTCTAATAGACTCTGCTCAAGATGATCAAAACACAAGTCAAGTCTTTTCTATATTGATCAAGAAACAGACAGAGATGACTGCTCTGTTTGTTCAAATTTTAAATAAAGATACTCAGATCTTTGACACCAATCTCCAATCTGAAGTTCCCTCAGTTGAGAATCCTTCCAAGAACACTTCTCTATTATCCACACAAGCAGTTGCAGGATATAAAAGAGGCTGCAAGTTACTCAAGTCAACTGAGAACTCTGACAATTCCTCATCCACACCTCCAAAGAAATGTGGTTGTTCATTGAGCAGTAAAAACAAACTCCAAAATTCTGCTAAGTCTAATGAAAACCCTCAAAAGCTCATTTCTAATCTCATGATGTTCATTGCCACAGCTGTCCTCTTGAATGTTGAATTCTGCTCATATAAAGGTTTCAAGACCTTCATTTCTAGAGTCGAAGCAAAAGACCCTCTGTCCATAAATGGCACCTTTGTTCCCCAGACTTACAAGCAAGCCATTCACAGCATTTAATGAGAGGAATGAATAAAAGCAATGAAAAAGGAAATTGACAGCATTCACACTCATAACATCTTTGAAATCATTGAACACTCTAACCTCAAAACTCCTGTTCTTGAGGGTTGTTGGGTATATAGATTAAAAACAGATGAGGATAGAGAAATCATAGACTTTAAAACTCATTGAATAGTGCAAGGATTTTGCCAATGTAAAGAAATCAACTATAATGAAATCTATATCTCAGTGGTCACTGTGAACACAATACAGATGCTTTTCACAGTCGCTGCAGGCAAGAAATGATAAATATATCAAATCGATTTTATTACTGCATTCTTAAATTCCTTAATGCTATGTATGTATGTATGTATAGGTTTAACGTCCCGGAGAAAACACGGGCAGCGCCCGTGTTTCAGAAGCCTCCCGAAGGGCATGGAGACGTGCTACGCTGGAGATTTCTATGTACACAGAGAGAGAAAACAGAATCCAGGTGGCAACTCTTGAGAAGACTCAGCTCATTGCAAAGGATTTTTCTGAGCTGCGCATCCACTTCTGGCCCGACGTATGGCCATTCATGGTGGGGCTATAGTGTGGTTCCCTGAGGGGACCGCCGCTGCCGTGCCTGGAAGGTTTTATAGTGAGCAGAGAGGGATACCTCTCTCAGTTGATCAGAAAGCTGTCTGTGCTTCTAACATCAGAAGAAAGACAGACAAGATAAATTATGAAGGAGAGAGCACTGAAGAAGGTTGTGACAGGAAAAGAGCAGAGAATGACAGAGAGAGCAAAGAAAAGAAGGAAGAAGAAGCATTTGAGCCGATAGAGACAAGGGCAAACGAGAGGAAAACAAAGCAGAGCACGCGTAGATACAATGCCGGCAGTCAAAACCATATCAGCTGAGTCAGACACGTAGACTGTACTGATTACACCACAGCTAATTGAGACAGATGAGCCTAGTTGTGCTATCTGTACTGTCTGCATAGACTGTGATGATGTGTTGAATGTAAAGCTTGCTTACATTAAGATGTAAAGCATGCTAGCTAGCTATCTAGTAGATGGGTGGGCGGATCTATAGTCACGTGACCTACCGTAGGCCGGCGGCCCAGTAGGCATGCCAACACCCCCCCTGACCGCCACGCAGGGCAGTGTCTTTGAGTACTCATTTTTACATACAAAATAGATGTGCAATCAAGTCCCTAAGAATGATCACTGTCACTGTAAAACATGGTTATTAACATGGCAAAGTTATCAGTATTAAGCTTGCCAATACAGGCTGTTATAATGGTCCCGGGGCAAAGAAAAACTAGTTAAATCCAGGCTGCATATTTGAGGCCTTTTCCTATCCTTCAATTCTTGTTTATACCCATCATATGTAGGGCGTTCATGTGCAATTCATGGGTGAGAGCTTTGGTGAGCACATCCGCAACCATTCCGTGCGTGCCAACCCGCTCAAGGGTGATTATGCCGCGGGCGATTGAGTCCCGGACATGATGGTAATGAATATCAATATGGCAAACATTACAGATCACTTTTTCACTGTTGGTCACAGTCAGAGTGTCTGTATTGTCAGTGTAGCAAGGGACTGCCATATTCTTGAGGACAAAGCCCAATTTAATAAGAAGACCTCTGAAATGGATAGCAGTCTTTGTTGTCTCACTGCAAGCAACATACAGTCACATCCTTACAACTACCCACGAACGTAGGGGTACATTTGAATTTTCCACTTTTCCAACTGTTTTTCGTATAATTTTAACCCCCCAACCCGTTCAATATCATCGCACGCCCTCTGCGATTTCTCTACGTGTGTGTACTGCACAGGTTGAGTGGTCGTGGAGCCCTCAACGCCCTCCCGTCCGCCCAAGGACATCGACACGGCCTACACCAGGCCACTGGAGCCGGAGTCACCGGCCAATTTTGTCGCTGGAAAGGCTGGCAAGAGGCAGAGGAAGACTGTCACAATGCCTCCCCCAGTCCTCAAAGGAGCCAGCGACAGCATCCCCACGGCCACCTCTCGGCTGCAGAAGCAGTTTGAGGAGGCTCAGCAGCAACAGAACCTGCAGCAGAAGGCTCTCATCAGATTGGCGAAGACTCTGGACAGCTGGGTTGAGGAGGAGAAGCAGTCAGTCAGTCAGAACTTTGCCCGAATCTTCTGTGAGAGGTTTGTCAAGTATGTGACAGCAGATCTGAATGCAGCATCAATTCTGAGAGGGGGTGCTGCCCCGGATACTCATCCGCAGCCAAATGCAGCAAAGACAGCTGCGAGGGAGCCGACTACCTGGGCGGGTGTTGCTCAGAGGGGGAAAAACTCTGCCCTCCCTGGGGTTGCCCCTGCCAAGACTGCGGCTTCCTCGGCAGGCAGGGCTAGTGGAGCTAGCCTGCAGCCCAAAAGCGCCAGTCAGCCAGGGGGCCCCACAGGGGGCACAAAACAGCAGGAGGACCCACGAGTCCTCGTCACCCTCCAGCCAGAGAAACGGGTCGCCCGGCTACAGCCATATGCTGTGCGGCAGGCAATCGCTGCAAACATTCAGGGGGTGGGGGATGTGGCCAATGTGCCGAAGGTGGAGCCCACCAGGACAGGTTGGGCGATCACACCAAGCGACAGAGGCATACGCGACGCTCTGACCACTGAGAAGGCAGTGGCTACTCTCTGTGAAGTCCTTGGCGCCACGGAGATCCGGCTACCAGAGCGGTGGTACAATTATGCTGTCCCAGGGGTCCCAGAATTTGTCCAGGACTGGGAAGGGGCTGGCCCGAACACGTGATTATCAGCGCATCAATAGCCCGACCAATCAGTGCGGTAACATAGGGCTAGACAAGGATAGGCAAGTTTTCAATTTATTGGACAGTGAGGATACTTTTACGGCAGAGATGGCATTGAAGAGTGAGAAGCCTTTTACCGGGGCAAGGAAGGAGACAATCCATGTAATCTTCCCTGTCTTGGGGTTCACCCCATGACGCGAGGGTCGACAGCTCACTGGCTTTACCTTTGCCTGAGCCAGAACCTCTCCCTCGACCATCTTGTCTGTGGGGATTCTTGTAAAATACATCTTCAATTTAAAGCCGCCTACATCCCCCATTTCAACACAAGAATGTTTTTTACCTGTGCAAATCCGCCGAAATCATCCCGTCCTGCTAAGATGACTCCTAATGAAAGTTCCGAGGCCACTCCGCATCCTGATCCGCCATACGATATTGTCAACTTTTGGTGTGGTGATAAAGATAAAACCGAAATGACTGTGATGTGCTACGATAGGCGCTTCGATATTTTAGCCCTAGCCAAAAACATGGAGGAGTGTCCAGCAATCAAAAGTGAATTTTTTGGTTTGATAAAGGACCTCTTGTCTATGGATAACGATGACTTCCAGTTTAAACCTGGCCAACCAGACCCAATGGAGGAGATGTGCTACTGGATGGCAAAGGCTTGTTTTGCACACTTCCGTACCCTGGCGCCTCGTCCAACTGAGCCGCGGATAATAACCTTAGAGGAATATTACACAACACCAGCAATTCATTTGACCATAACAGTCAATGATGGCAAATTAACTGCAATTCAATCCTCACACAAACCGGATGACCTTATGCCTCGAACCCGCCTTTCGTCGTCGTATACTGCTATGACTGCTAGTGTTCCTCTACTCAAACCTTCGAAGGTGAAATTACCCTGGGATTCGGAACATGAAAGACCATTACGACCTTCAAGAGTGCTTGTGGGTAATGAGGGAAAGGAGCAATTTTTCAAACCAGCTTATCGAGAGCTATTAAAACATACCGAACGCGAAATCAAGACACTGCTCCGCCTACATCAGTTAGGGCTAAGCGACAAAATTCGGGTACCTAAAATTCACGGTTTTGTTTCATCTGGAAATAAGAGCAACATGGAAATTTGTGGCATCCTAATCACCTATATCAAGTTTCGCCGTACGTTGGCTTCTCGAGATGAAATCCGAAAGGCAGCACCATATCTTCGAGAAACATGGATTCATCAGTTGAAAGAGATGGTCAACGAGTTTCACAAAGCTGGAATTATCTGGGGAGATGTTAAACCAGGAAATGTCCTCATTGACATGGAAAACAACCTGTGGATTATAGATTTTGGGGGATCTTACACGCCCGGCTGGGTTGAAGAAAAGTTGATGGAAACAGTGGAAGGGGATTTGCAAGGGCTATCGAAGATCATAAATTTTATTAATGGCAGGGAGATAGAGACTGAGTAATCCATTCTTATGGTGGATACGCAATCAGTCATCTGGAGCTTCTTTTGTATTTTCATAATAGCAGTTTCTGCTTATTTCATTCCAACGTACAGAATGTGGGCATCTCAAGCAGGTTGTTCGCCTCCTAATGCTGGACGATGCCAAATAATGAACACTCTTTAAATTCACTGTCTTTCCAATACCTGCCTGATGATTACCCCAATCCACAGCTTAACTCACGCGGTTCGACTGATAACAAGGGTCTGAATGGCAATGGCCCTATTTTGCCTCGTAACACGGCTTCTTCACATCCCGTCGGTCCTTTCCCCATGGAGAATCAGGCCAACGCGTCTGTGTTATACAAGGGTTGTTTGTTCCTGTTGATAATTTTATTATATCAAAGAAAAATGATTGATTACATCCTTGCTTGCGCCAATAAGAAATAGCGCATCCTGGAAAATTAGAAATTCCGGATGCTGTTGAAAACCACAGCTATGTCAAATTCTAAAGTATACACAGCTGGAATTAAGGGCTCTCAATATAAGAGATGAATAATTAGCCATGTCGAGGTCACGCTTGCAAAGCATAAGAAATTATTCCTGCAACGTAGAAGAGCCATGAAAGGCCATATTCTGGGCATCCAGGTGGCTTCATTTCTGGAGCTTTCAAACTATGTTTTCTAGATTGTTGAAATTTTCTTTGTTCGTGGTCTTTTATGTATTTAATTTCTTGCTAGACTCCTTCCTGACAGTCACACCTTTCTGGCAGTAGCTCCTTCTAAGTCATTAGCAGGTGCTCCTCTCTTTCTAATAATAAGACTATTTTATAAGGAGTGAAAACGTAAGTAAATTTGTTCTAAAACTAGGTATAGGGGTATCTGTCATAAAGTCTTCAAGAATGGGCATCTTTTCTTTCTGGACTGCAAAAAGTTGCAGGCCGTCATCTAATCTGTTGTCGATAATTATCAGGCGTCTTGTAAATCGGGAGGGGGTAGTGATACGCCTGTTGTAGGTCAGTAGAAGCACTTAAGCTGGATCCAAGAGTCGTACAGTTTGCTCCACCGATGGTGGCGGATTTCATTTGTGTATAGGGTGATGTATCGATTGTTCACGTAAATGATGACATAGACATCAGCACTGCATTTATCACTGTACTCCACACTCTTTCTGAAGAGAGTCTCTCTCCGTCCGCGCCTCTTTTTAGATGATACTTGATAATCTTTATATGTCTTGCGAACTGTATGAGGATAGTGCTTCTCCTGCTCATTGTCAGTTGTGAATGGAGCTTCCAGACTAAAATTGGAGCTCATACAATCTGTTCTTCTGAAGGTGGCCATGTACCACTTGAATCAGTGTTCAAGATAAAGTATTGGCCGTGAATGTCAATTAGAATATAAACCTGTGCCTCGTTCCCATCAGTGTATTCAAAAAATTTGCGGAAGAGACATTGTCTCCGCCGACGTCTTCTCTGAACAATGCCCTGGTGTGGCGGTAATCGTTTGCGACTCTGGTGTGACATCCAGACTTCGTCATTTGCTGTAGAATCTGGCGAGGAAGTGAGTTCAACCGGGCCCTGGAGCAGATTCAGTTGATTGTCTTCAAGTGTCAGCTGTGGCCATTCCATATTGACTATCAAGAGAGAGCGGAAGATCTAGAGATATACGTCCAAACTGAAGGGTATCCGCGAGAATGCTTTGCTCGCCCGCAAGCAAAGCGCATAGTATTTATACGGCTTGAGAGAAACAGAAAAAAAGCAGACGTGTGCTTAAAATGGAGTGCAAGCCCAAAAGTATTTCCTCTCTCAGGCCTAGGAGCAGAATATAACCACGACCATGTTCCTTGAAACCGTGGTTCCATCTATACCAACTTCTCCCCATCAGCCGTCTGCCACCATGTCAAATTTTTTTCCCCCGTATGATCCCAGAGCACCATAGACATGGAATAAGGAAACTGTGCGTAAAAGGATGGCTGTATGCGAGTGCAAGATCAACCTAGCCGTGATGGCCTGCTAAAGCTGGTTGTCACTACCATATCGTGATCGATACAAATATGTCTGTACCAGAAGCCGAAAATACCTTATTTGTATCTCACGCCAATCCTATTGTTGCGGGGCCCCCTGGCCCCTGTGGAGAACAAGCACCTCCAGATGGAGATACTGACTTTCCTCCAGCTCCACTGGAAGTTTCTTCAAATGAAAATCTACAACCAGTGAGCAATAGTGGACTAGTTATGGAGCTTCCTACACCACCCTCTGATTCTCATTCGCCTGCTACACAGATCCCAAAGAAGAATAATCGTTGTAGGTTGAGACCAACGCAATCTAAGATCACCAAGGTGACACATAGCGATATGAAAAAATCTTTGACAAAGCGTAGCCAGATGGGCAGGCAGCCAGCGTCTGCCGGACTTGAGGAATCGGGTGTAATGACTAGGTCATCTCTAGCAAGGAATGCTCTTTGCGGGCTTTCTGATCCAGATCTTCAACGGGCCCTAGAAGTCGGTGAAGGGCTTATCAGAGATGGCTTGGCTGACTACCAGGGCTCCTGCATATGGCAGGAGAACGGCTTTTGGCCTGAGGATGCCCTCAATCTTTCTATTTTGACCGATTCCTCAGCTGAGGAGAAGTTTTGTCACATCTTTCGCTATGCTAATACACTGGTAAACCGGAGTTCAGACCAGAAATTACGGCTCCGCATCTCACACGCCATATTATATCTTTCCTTCGAGTCCCTCACGCAGGAAAGGCGGAGTGGCATACATTTCAGAAGACTGTAAAACCATGACCAGCATCGTGCTGCAACCCTCTCTGCTGATTACCTGCTGAGGCGCTCATATCCAGACAAGTGGGACTTGATGGATGACCAGATGAAGCAGGCACTTCGGAGGCAATTCCATGAGCAAAAAAGACAGGGTAGTCGATGTTGGCGAATGGCAGGCGTATTGGGTCTTGGGGCTCTTCCTGCCTGTGGGAATACCTTAGCTGGGGTCATGTGAGTTGCTTATATCACCTGTGTTGACGCATACCAGACTCACCCATTCTGTACAGCAAAAATCACAGTAAATATCCTCTCTCGAAGCTCGATGCTGTTATTAACTACGTTGTTAATGTTCATTCTGATGTGATAAGTCTTTATCGTGAATTTGACGCCATGGCGAAACAGATTTTGCTGGGAGAAACCATCACCGTCCGGCCCACAAGGCAGATTATTGATGATAGAATCTGCCGAGCGGCTGCGACTAAGCTAACCCCCCAGCAAGCTGAAGAGAACTGGCAGCAAATTGATCCCGCCTCTGTTTCCCAGAAATTGATCAGGGAGTTTGTCACCGATTATCTGTAGCCTTCTACAAACTGCAGGCAGCTTTACAGCACGTAATGATGCCCAATGGGCTTAAGTGTATGGATTTCCGTCGACTTTTAGATCTTTTTGCATTATCTCCATTTGCCCTTCAGCAGAGGGTAATGGTTCTCCTGTCTTTGTGCGCGCCGTGCCTTTCCGCGGTTATAATGACACTTACTATATTTTTATCTGGTGATGGAAAATGGCTATTTGAATTGCCAAGTTTGTACTGATTGTCTTCATAAAATAAGAAGTTAGACCTCTTTGCAGTGACAATCATCGAGGGTGCTTTTCATAGCGCATTAGCGGCGAGCAGGGAGTGGCCCTGCGATGGATCCAGCTGAAATAGGGCTGATATTGCATGGAAACCGATATGTGGTCGATGCTGCAAAGGCAGATGAGAGTATTGTGGTAGCTTCGATTCTCCTCATTTGATGTTTGTTTGCTTAGCAGATTTGATTCCCGCCCACGAGCCCCGTTGGATATCGCCTATCACATTCAAGCCCAAAGTCTATCTCGCCTACATCCATGGTGCAAATATGTAGCTGCACCAAGATAACGCAATAAATTGTCCCTCTTTTTCGGGCTGCAAAGTCCGACTCTGCCATCTCCTCAAGTTGCCTATCTAAAGGTACGTCTCTTCTTGGACATATTGAATGCTTCAGCAGAGCCCTCTTCGCTCTGCTGGGTCACCGGAGCACCCATGGCAACGTTCTGCAAACCATCAGCCTCTTCCAATACAGATGTAAAACTAGAGCCTTGAATATCAACGCCTCCGACACCTTGCGAAAGTCCAGTTGATTCTGAGAAACTCAGCTCCGATTGATGTAATACTTCAGGTTGCTGTGATATCTGTGACGCCTGCGACACCTCAAAATTTACCTGGGGCAGTTCATCAATAGCGGAGCATATTTTCTTAAAATGGGAAGGTGCCCAGTCATTGTACACACTCATAGAGAATTTGTAGGATGTCCATTTCTCTTTGCCATCAAGTGAGGTGAAGTCGAACTTGTGAATGGCATGTCGGTAGTATGTAGTCTTCTCTCCCTCGATCATAGGGTAGTGGCCATAGATTCCCACAGAACAGTGATCATGTGAAATTGAAAAGGCCAGGATCTGTCGATGTAGCTCCTTTTCACGCTTCACGGCCCTGAAGAGCTTGACAACTCCTCTGATTGAGAGAGCCATACTGTGCGCATTTTGTCGATCTGCTATATCGAGTGCCGCCTTTCCGCACTTCACTTCAACCGTCATAAACGGAAAGTACATGTATGCAGTACTCATAAAGAAAGACATATCGCCAACTTCGCCGACAAACGGTGCAAGCTTTTCCAGTCGAGCTTCAGAGAAGCATTGTCGGGGAAACCCGACCGCATAATCGGGCTGTGGCCGAGATAATCGAAATTGTCGAGATTGTGGAAGATGTGGAGTTTGTGCAGGTGGTGGCAATCGTTGATCCTCATCTAGAGAAATCGAGCTATCCCAGCCTTCATTCACACTAACAACCAAATGCGGAAATGTGACATGGCTGAGGTCGATTGCACTCTCTGCTGACGCAACGATTAATTCACCTATGATGCGAATAACCCCAGTTTCGTTTTTCTTTTGTAGCCTTCGACACGTAGATTCAAAGGCACATTGTTCAAACACAGTTCGCTTGGGAACCTCGGGATTCGCGCCCAGTATTTTACGACAGGCAGACTTGCTGTCTCGATCAATACCATCATCATTGTCGTACATAAAACAGCCCTTAGTCTCCAGGTATATATCATAGTTCTTGTGTGGCAGAACTTGAACCACTGCCGCCTCTGCTATCCACTGGGCCGGTCTCTGATTCCTTGATCTTACGAGCTCGAGTTGTCTGGGTACTCATGGTGGAAGTGTGGCGTCGGATGGTTTGCAAAGCTGGGGTGGAGAAAAGGGAAGATGGAGCGATAGAAGCAAAGCTGGAGGAGGGCTGGCTTTATATGCCTTGAGCCCCCCTACGCTAAACACCTGAATAATAGGATCAATACAACGTTTTTGGGCCTTGTGGCATTCCAACAAAAAATTCTTCCTTTTCATAACGAAACAGTACGCCTCGTATGGTTTTCCTCCAGACTCAATCCATATATCAGTCAAAGAATGCTATATCCAAAGACAAGGCAATTCAAGCTATCGAAGAAAATCATCTAGAAACGATGGAACGTAACCCGTAAAACACTAAATTTGTATTAATTTACTGCATCTGAGTTATATTGTGCATCTTGAAGCGTTTCAATCATGTTCCGGGGTAGGTTGAAATTTGGTTTCTTCCACCGTCCGCCGTCTGGAAAGACAAGGCGCCGCAACCGGTTGACGCAAGGGATCAATGATCGATAATACGGAGTAAAATAGTCTTCTGCAATCCGAAGAAAATCTTCCTCCTCACTTATCACTCCTTGCTTCGCAGCCGCCAGCTCTTCAGTACTCATATAATTCCATTTCTCAAACCGTTCTACAGTGCTCCCCTTCCCTGGGCCTTCATAGTGAATGCATATCCAGAACAGAACCCAGAAGAACGACTCCAGATCATGCATGAAACAATGCTTTTCACCGTACAAGACACCAATGGCCATGAACGCCCTGGTGCCCGTTTTGCCCCGGGCGCCGGAAGACCCGTCCCGTTGCGTCTTGATGGCCAGGTCAAGGTCGATCAGAAAGGCAGGCCATGAAGGGTTGTCCTTGTCCTCGTTCACCATCAGGTTCCGAGGGGAAACGTCACATTGGATGAGGCCAGCCTCATCGTGGAGCGACATGTATCCGTCAATACAGCCGGCCAGCCCAGTGAGAAGTGTAGACTTCGAGCTACTCTCATAGATTGGTTTCCCACAATCCCGGATAACGATGCGGCGGTGAACTCGATTGCGTCGGGTAGAGCCGTCGGCAGATTTGGACGGAGAACTTGACTGGGTACGTTTACTTGGGGGAGGAGGAAATGCCATGTCCACGCAGTCAGAGGATCGTTTCTGGCCGGTGCTGCTGCCCTGGCGCTTTTGTCCCCTTTGAGACCTACTACGCCGCACTGTCGCCTTAAAACCACCCTTCTCATCTTTCGAAATCGGAATACTGAGGCCCTTTCGGATAGCCAAGACATCATCATCCTTGTCGTCAATGCGAACTGTCTCGTGGTGATAATACCTCGCAACATTCTTGACCCCCTTCGCCATCGCCTCTCGCAGCAACTCTCCTTCCTCAGTGCGTTCCGGATACTGCCAGGAGTCCTTGACAACCAGCGGCGTCCGTGATTTGTCTGTCTCACAGTATACCTTCCAGCACGTTGTGGCTCGCCCGGCAACACAGCGTGCTCGTCCAACAATCTCGTCGATGATCAGCCGTTCTCTCGTACCGTTCTTCTCAATTTCGATATACCGTTCGGTCCCGGTCGCGACGATGGTAGGATCAAACCCAAGTTGTTTGCGGCTCATCAAGAGGAATCCAAGGATAACAGACACAAATCGAAGGCCGTCCTGGTTGATATTGAATTCCTCCGACGCGATCCCGCCCAGACGGTCAAAGTTCCACAGTCGTAGGAACGGCCCGCAGAGGGTGAACCCGAGCACGAAACGACGGGTGTCCTGCGCAGCAAGGACCTCTCGGGCGTACCTGCCAAGATCAAACCATGCACCAGATTTCCTGTCGTATTTCGGGTCGTTTTTCAGCTCCCCTGGCACCAGGATCTGCGACAAGTGACATCTGGAGTCCTCTGTGGCCGTCAGATCATCGACAAAGCCGACATCGAGCTTTCTCTCCGCGACAGACCCTTGTAGTGGCTGGCTTGGCTGTGCGAGAGGTCTGCGGTCGATCTTCCAGGACGGCTCTTGTGCTTCGGCTAATCGTACGAGCTCAGCGATGATGTTAGCGAGCCATTTCAGAACGTCTCTTTCTGCTGCAAGTTCAGGCCAGCCCTTCCAGCCCTCGTCTTCATGGTAAAGGGGGCTGTCTCCCTTCTCGCACTCCTCCAACACCGCTTGTGAAACTGCAGTGAGATGTGGAATGTCTCCAAAGTACGCGTCAAAGAATCTAGGGATGTCGACGTGTATCTCCCCAAGTTCCTCCTTCAGCACAATGTCAACGTGCTTTCGATATTCTGTAGAATTGACGAAACTGCTAGTGTTGCGCAGCCAGGGCGTCTGTTGGATCGATGATGTAGGATGAGGAGGAGGGGGGGGAGTGCCTCGCGAGACGGTGTCAATAAGACCAAAGACGGCGTTCCAGACGTCGAAGTTATAGGTTTCGACGTTCTGGGACTCAGTGGGGGGAAGCCTTTGGATGACCAGATGTACCAGCCGCTTGTAGTGGCTGTAGCTGAAGTTGGCCCGTTGAAGGCTCGTAAACAGATTTGCTATATCAGAAGCCACATTTCCATCGCTTATTCGTGAGCGAATATTGAGCGCCGCTTCCTCTCCCTGTAAAGCAGAGAGGAGTTTTGAAATCGCATTTCGATAGAGCTGGTCCTGGCTCTCATCAGCGCCATTATACTCATATTGTCTTTCGGCTTGCTGAAGCGCGCGTCGTAAAGGATCGACTAAGTTGGCTAGAGGATGGTTCTTGATAATGTCGCGATCTTCTTGTGAAAGTCCCGCCATTTTGACGGCATAAAAGACTGTTGGGTTCGTGCGAGGTTAATCAGGAGTTGTATGGGAGTTAAATTGGTATGCTAATTTATGTCAGAATTGTTAGGAAGTTATTATGTATGATACCTGCGAGAGAAGATAGCTCGCTGTGAACAGATGCTGATATATATAATCAAAGGGAGGAATATGGTCAAAGGGTTCATCCGGCTTGGCTTTGATGCTCAACGCGAATGGGGAACGGATAGAGCCGCCGAACAAGGAACCAGGCGAAGATGAATCCTATTTGCTCGCGTAATAAGCGCGAACAAAATATTGAAATCGTATTTTGAGGAGGTCGGCTATTCCCGTCGTGTAGGAGATGTGGTAAGAGCGTGCTGACTAACGTAATTCCCAAGCGAGCGAGCAGCAAAACTAGCATATCTCAACTAACCAGAATTTAAATCAAATTATCTACTCCCACCAACCACTAATTAAATTAAATTAAATTACATGAAGTTGAGGACATCTTATTCTTGTATGCCCAACAGTATTGCAATTGCTGCAGCGTTGTGGCGCTCGTATGCGGGGTCTAGGCTCCGGGGCCGCAGGTACGGAATGTTGAATAACAGGCTGTTCAACAGGCTCAGCTGCAGGAATAATAAGATTCTGAGCTTCATTCCTAGTTAGACCCCCTGCACTTGGGATCCTGCGTGTAGACCTCTTGCGTTTTTGCTTCTCTTTCTCATTTGCATTGAAAATATCCTCATACTGCTTCTTCATAACCATGGCGCTGACCATCCCGTATTCGCAGGCCTTGATTATTTGGTCAAAGCCTTCCACTAACCCATGAGGTTGATCCTGATCCATAAGATTTCTGACCTTATTCACCTGCTTCTGCAATTGCCGGGGGTTACTAGGTGTTTGTAGGATCCAGGATGACGTTGAATTGCTTGACCTGCTGGCTGGGGGAGTAGGGGTTCGGAGTTGAATATTCAGCTGCTGAACAACGCATTGAGGATCCAATGGAACTATTCCAGTGGCCCTGAACCCACTTTGAATGTTTGAAGCCTTGAAGGCTTCCCGACGTGCTGCAGGATAGGCATCTAGGAAATCTGCCTTCTTAATGGTGTTGAATCCTAGCCGCATTCGCTGTTCAACTAGGGTTCCGTACGCGCGCTTTAAAGGTGCAAAAACACCCACATCTAGTGGCTGCAAAAGGTGTGAAGAATGTGGTGGCATGCAGAGAGGAATAATCTTATTCTCACTGCAGATTTGGTCAAATTCCGGAGTAAGATGACTGCCGTGCCCGTCCAGAATAAGAAGAATATGGGTTCCAACCCTGCGTGGATTTGCAGCTGGAATAAACAGCCGTGTAAGCCATTTGATTCCTATCTCATCTGTGGTCCAGCCATTAGGACTAACATCCAATCTCCAGCCTTCCGGCAGCCCGTCAAACCAGCCTTCCTGAATATTGTGACCTTTGAGGATAATATACGGCGGAGGGGCCCATCCTGACGCGTTGACTGACTCAATTGCAGTCACCCACTCACGATTCCCAGGCTGTATAAGAGTTGCTCGTCCGTAGTGCTCAGCACTAGTAATGACCTTGGTAGTTGCACAGAGCCCCATTGCAAACCCAGCTTCATCAAAGTTGTAAATATCTTCAAACACAATCCCATGCTCAGTCATTACCCTCTCTAGGGTCTTAAACCAATCCTCCACAATCCTGCGGTCTTCACACTTGGCCCGATCATGGTTATAGCGTCTTGAGAAGCGGCATTGGAGCTCTGGACGGCGTGCCACTAGATTTGACACCCAGTTCTTGCCAACGCGAGGAGGGTGGTTTGTATGGCTAGGCTTCCGTATGGCAAGAAGATGATTAGCCATATTCTCCACAAATGCAGGCCGGGGTGGTAGTCCTCGTAAAGCTAGGTCTAGGATCCATTGAACAAGCTTATCCTCTTCAGCAGGAGTTAATTTATGTGAATTTGCGCGTAAATTCACCCGTGAAGATCGACCACTGAGTCTATGACCAAGTGTAGAGCGTGGCACATTAAAGATGCGTGCAGCTTCAGAAATAGAGGATATTTCCTACTTTTTAATAGCATTTATCGCGAGTTCAAGTCTTCCCTCTATCTCTATAGAGTTCCTAGCATCTTTAGAGCGAATTGGTGGCATAATTGCGCGTTGAAGTGGATGAGTAGGTAAATTAGTAGGTGGAAGAATTTGGCTGCTCGCTCGCTTGGGCTGCTCGCTCGCTTGGGAATTACGTTAGTAAAGAACGCATCAGGTATTAGTAATCACTGTACTTAGGCTGTAGGCCTCACTGTCTAAAAACAAGGCTAGTATAAACTATTAAAATGAAATATCATGTGCTGTGACTGTGGCGACTGAAGTTAAACTGGATTACGGTATTTTGTACAATTGTTTCCTGGTGATGATGATTTTTGTATCGGAGGGACAAGCGCATGTCGAATGATGTGTTTTTTACATTTCCAAATCCCAAACTGCTGTCAAAAAAGCGTTGCAAAATGGTGGTGTGCATGTGGCTCTATCAAAAACATCAATTCGCGCTCTCGGACATCTCAAGGTCTACCTTCAATTGCGCCGTCCCTTCTTCACATACAACCTGCAAATCACATATCTGTTCCTCAATGTAGACCAGGCCTCGACGAAGCGCATTATCTTCCAATTCATTAGCACTCTAGACGCAGGCCATTTTTTGGATGAGGCATTCGGCGGCCGCATATGCAGCTTGAGGGATATAAAACGGCGCCTACGACCATATCAGCAACATGACCGACACGAGTCTCAGCCACAACTGCACAAGTGCCCTGCTGCGCGATGTCAGCATCAATTTGAGACTGCCGATAACCTGCCACGGCATATCCGAAATACAACTGATCTTAGTCACCGGTTTGACAAAGAAATACTGGACAGGAGATACTGTTTTCAGTGTGGGAAAGAGTTCGCTTCAGCCAAATCTCTTTGGTTGCACGAGAAAGACGACCATTTAGAATCGAGCCGCTCCAGGATTGATGCTTGTAGGCAATTGCGCAGAGCTTGTGAGTTCCATTGCTCGTTTGAATAGCATCCACACTAACAGGGACAGTGTCTCACGTCGAACTACCTGCCACAGCACCAACTTGCTGCCCGTCAAGGAAGAGGAAACTTGGTGACCGCGAGAAGGGCGCTACATCAGGGAACCTTCGGGACCAACGCCAGAAACAATCAGATTTATCGAGAACGCTCTCTAGCGGAAATACTGTTCATTCTGCTAGAAAGCAAAATCAGCAGTGTTCCGACCCGCAACCAGTTGTTGAAGGGACTGCGGCGGACAAAGTTGGCGAGCTTCCCTTTCATGTTGTAATGCAGCCATCGTCGACCGGCTCCGAAATGTCTGCCTTTGATTACAGTGTCAATTCCATTGCCGATCCCAGTTCAATTCACTCCTCGTCTATCGGCCCAAGCAGATCCATCTTTGACTACAGTGTTGACTCCGTGGCCAATCCCGGTTCAATTCACTCATATATCGGCCCCAGCGGATCCATCTTCGACCACAGTGTTGATTACATGGCCGATCCCAGTTCAGTTCACTCCTCGTCTATAAGGCCCAGTGGATCCATCTTCGACTACAGTGTCGATTCCTTGACCAATCCCTGCTCAGCTCCCAGCCGGTTCATCTTCGACTACAGCGTCAATTCACTGCTTGATCCGCAAGCGGCTCAGCAATGTGCTCGCTTTAATTACAGTGTTGATTCTTCGGCTGATTCATACTTATCTACTTGTTTTTCTGAGCAGTGTGCGCCACCTTGACATGATTATACTGTTGTCCCTGTCATCAGGCGGAGGGGAAGCTACCGGAAAGTGGTTAACAAGCTTTGAACGTAGTTAGAACTCATTATTTAAATCCCATTGCCAGAAATGCTTGCCCCGTCTATGATGCACCATGTCCCTTTCTGTACCTATGCCTGCAGTGTCTATATATCCTAATAATTTCCCCTTGTATAAAGTGTGTTGTGTGGGCAGGCTTCAAAAGGCCTATCACGTCAAATTGTAACCCATCCGAATGTAGTTCAGCTGATATAGATCTATCTTTTTGCCCTTCGATCTTGGGAACCGATTCGCTAACCAACCATTGCACATGATCCTAGAGCAGACATTAACAACCGACATTGGGTTCAAGCTTAGGACTTTCACATACACGTCTCTACCACGGGCGCTGACAGCCTTTGTTCGCCCAAGCGCTTTACCCCGGCCGCTTGTGTCGTATTCCCATTCCCAACACGAACTATCGTCGCTGAGAAGGTGAAAGCAGGTCACAGCAATGACCTCTGGCTTCTTTGATAGCCTCTCCCACTGAGGTGAGCGGTCGATCGCGGACTTCTCAATTACAGAGTGGACAATATGTTCGCACATTATACATTTGAAGTCGGAGCCTGTTGCAGCAAGGAAATGACAAACGGGCTGAGTTTGTCAGTCAGGTTGAAAGGAATTTGGCGGTGGAGGTTCTCACCCTGTTCTTTATAGCCTCCTCCATGGAATCAGTATCGGCAGCGCCCTTGAAAATAACATATCCATCCGAGTTAAAAGCCTCCAGTACTTTATCACCCTCCTGATGGAGGTCCAGCGTGACACCAGATGCTGTCTCAACCTTAGTTTCCATGACGATGTGTTTCCGCGCATGATGGCGCGGGGCGTTGCGGACTCGAGACCGCACCGTATCATGAGGGGAAGTCCACGTGAATTCAACCTTGGCGACGTTTTCGGTTGTGGGGCCAATCGCCTATCCCACAGTCAGACTAGCTCCAGTTTGTCAATATATCTCGAACTTATTCTGTACAATGGTGTTAAATTCCAAACCTCCTGAAATATGAATCTTACTGGCGGCGAATCCATCATCTTGGGAAAACAGATCAAACACACAAAAAGAAGGAGAAAGAAATGAAAGAAAGAAAAGGAGCTTTTCCTGCAAGCGACTTTCGGCAGGCAAGCTTCCTTTTAAAACCAGAATTCCCGCCATCAACCTTTGGGCCTGCTCTCATTTGACAGCCTTGCGCAAGGCTGCCAGTTGCCTGAGAGGCTCTTACATACACCGCTCATTTCGCTGCGTTACATGGCATGCTCTAATTGGTAGCCAAGCTCATTCCCGGTAGCTCCTCCTGCAGAAACTTTCTTTAAACTTGGGAATTGTAAACTAGATGACTTACTACAAGGGAGCGGCACGGATGACCAACTCTATACCTCCCACCAGCAGAAGAGAAATAGAAGGATGGAAGAGTGGGTAAGGTAGACTAGGTTGCAATGTGTATCTAATACTAAAAGTAGAAACATAAATTGATATTGAGAAGCCTTCCAATCCGCTGCATGGTGCCTGTCGCTTTGCTCGTGTCGGCGATGTAATACCTAAATACGAATAGCTCTTCGATTGTACACAATACGCCCTGCAAATACTTTTTGTACTCCAGGGAGGATGGTCTGTGGCGGCTGAGGCAGTCAATCAACAACGGGAGCTCTTTGATAGAGAGAAACGCGAATGGCAATGCCGGTCCCTTTTTTAACTCGTCGCGATACGTTCGATAGTTGACGATGCTCGACAGCTGCAGGGGAATCATCTCGCCGTCACACCCAGCTTGCTTCAAACCGTAGAATATCGCAGTCGACCCGTGAAAATTTCGACGTTCGTATAAGCACTATGATCGCGCGTTAAAAAAAGAACCAGTGGGCAAGAATGCAGCATTAAGGCTTATCAAAGCAAGTTCGACTAACGCAGCACCGTGCTTTGAGTCAGCTTGAAGACAGTCGGCAACATCTTCACATCGACAATTCCAAGAACGACCCAAGGCACTGAGCCACTTGTGGAGGCCATTGACCCCCATGAACATGAGAGCATAATCATCGCGGAAGGACCTCAGGTCGTTTTCTGTGATTGAACTGGCTAGTAATCCAGGCGGCGTGTGACTAATGCCGCGGAAAAGTGAGGTGTCGGTTCGAAATTCGGCTATCTCATCGTTATCCCGTTGTCGGTGATAGGTCCGCCGAAAGCGAATATCCAGGAGGCTCAATACGTCCGGGGTCAGATCATCGGTTGGGATATCACGCAGAGGGCCAATGATGAAGTCGATATTCAGATCGCAGTTCACAATCCGTCCGTTCAGCGATTCGATGCCGCTCGATATCACCGTGCGTGCAAAAGGGTTTACTTCAGCGATGATCTTCCCTCGAGGTTAGCACACAATGCGAACAAAGCAACCGGTTTCGGCTTACCCCTTGAAGGTCGCTTTTGACCTTCTGCGCCTCGGAACACCGTCGAAGGCGGTAGTACAGCCGAACGCTGAGCACTTCGTGGTACCAAAGGAATGTATCCACCAAATGTGCGTTGCTCCCGGCTGCTTTCAAAACCCATTCTTCAAACGGAACTTGCAGAAATGCCGACCAGCTCGCTGCATCAATTGCCTTGGATAAACGGCGAGTATCGGCCGTTTCAACACCCGCCAGTAGGTTCTTGTAGAACAAATCCATACCAGATATGCGCTGCTGTAAAAGTGTGATGAACAGAAATTGTCGTGGAATCTGACAGCAGATAAAGAGTTGATTTTGAACTTACAGTCTTATCTATATACTTCTGGTACAAGCGCCGCGGCTCAAACATCAGACCATCCCACGCTCAGGGATAGGAGATGATCAACCAAGCAACGCCAAGACCACCCCTATTCGGGAATATCAGACTATTCACGCACGCTCCAACGCCAAGACCACCCCCAATCGGGAAATATGTATGGCCAGGATGGAATCGGTTCGTGAGGCGGAGTTTAACGCCAATGATCATGCCTGATTGAATAAGTATACGGGTATGGCAGGGGAATTGGGAAGACTTGATTCACTCGCAGGGGCCGCCTAGTTCGTCCGGATGGGCACAGAACATAAATGAATATCTGGTGCCCTCCGGACCATCTGTCCCATCGTGCAACTGTCTCTTCAGCCAGGTATATACTCAAGATATCACGCAACGTGTTTGAATTTCTCAATTTTGCCGGCATGGGCAGAGGCCTCTATGACACAACTGGAGTTCCCAAACCTCATCCTCCCGTGCGCGCCGAGAGAGGTTTGCACGGACACTCGGTCAGACAAAGATACAGCAAACAAGGTTGTAATGACGGCCGAGAAAGAGGTTCCCCAGCTATTGGGTACGACTTGCGATCACGAAAGATTGCAGCACCCCAAGGATCTCGGACGTTTTCGCCAGCCATACGAAGAAAAGATGCTCCCACGGCTGAAGCAGCAGCGTCCCACCGACCTACTGGCGGTTAAAAACGCCGACACATTTCCCAACTTTGAGCAGCCAAAATATCAGGCCACGACCGCTGCCACACAATTGCCTCAGCACTACCACAGCTCCCCCTCACATGTTGCCACTCAGGTCCGATCGGACAATAACCCTTCGGTTTCTTCTAGGACTCGTGAGCAACCGACCCAATTCCTGGTGCCGGTAGCCTCCCATGCAAACAGCTCAAAGCAGGCCTCCAATACACTCGGTGCTGATCATTATTTTCATGAAAGCACGCCACAATCATCCTACCATGTGTTTCGCCAGCCGCAGATGACCTCATCCTCAACACATTCCAATCAGCAGCAGTATCCCACAGGTATTTCTCTTGCTCCATCGCAACCGGGTGGATTGAGACGTTCAAAAGATGTTCCTCCGACGACTATGCCACAGGAAGCAACAGAGTTTGCGGAAAGATTATCGCGTATAGGCGTCAATGTCAATCAGAAATCTACGTCACTGGAGGCGAGAGAAAAACGGCTAAAAAATAGCGTTGCCTCTAAAAGGTTTCGCGAGCGGAAGAAGACTCGGGTAGATGAGCTAGAAAAGAGGGTAGAGATATTGACAGAAGAGCGTGATCATTATCGGGGTTTATATTATCAGTTGAAGGAGAGCAGAGACATCAAACACTCGATCAGCCTCCCTTCACTCACGCTGGCCATGTCTTGAACTGTTTTTGCACATCTCTCCGGGCATAATCCAACCAGTCTGTTGAAGTTAATTTGCAATTTTCACGTCTAGTTTTGTATCAATGCTACTGTAGAATGTTGGGAATCTCCCGCACCCCACATACCTTGCTCGAATCCCTTAGCATATCCACCTCATATTAGCCGACAGTCCTGACATTTGACACGCCATTCACCCACGAAAGCGTGGTTCAATCACTCAGGAAAAAGTTTTCTGTGATAGCCCTGTTGCCTTGACGTAGCGTATCGGTCCATTCCAAATGTTTCTCTATTTTCCTTCAATTAATCAATTCCATTGAAAAGCGAGGGTTCCAACTGTCAAAAGTGTCAGGAATCATCTCTCTGGAGTCAACGAGGCAGGTGGTAAACTTTGGCCCACCATCCCCAATATGGACTAATTAAATCACGTGATGCTTAGTTTTTCTAGCGGCATTCGCAATTCTTCACGCCCAGCAGCATTACAAAGGCTAATTCGGAGACTCGGCTCCCTTTTCTTCTAGTAGCATAACATTGTAAATAGAGGTCAATGGCACAGGATAAGTAATACTATCTGAATCTGTCTCAATATAGATCCACAGAATCTCCTAGATGGCTCACGTGCTTTTGAGGTATGGAGTAGGGTGACGCATCGACGCGAAAGAAAATACCGATCTACAGGCTTCTGCAAAAGAAGATTGGGATGTTGCTAATCTCAAGTGTTTGGAAAATTCTCTTCTATAGATTCGGAGCGCACTTGTGGAGATGGTGCAGACCTTTCACAACCGCAGCATGACAAAAGCATTGAGTGATTGATGAAAGCATTTTGGCTCTAGATGCGAGCTCATTCCCTCTACCCCATGATACGTTAGGTAAGCTCGCAGAAGCATTAGTATCAAGAGCTTATATCGAGATGAGTCGCGTGCATCTTGCCATCTCCGCTCTCAATCATCATTTGAATCTGAAGCATCGCAGCCGCATCATGCCCGCCTGGGCTATGCCCATATATTTGCTCCCCGAACATTCTCAGCTGCATTGGCATATTGGAGTTGCCATAATGCTCGATCACGTCTCTCTTTTCGATCGCACATCCTAAGTTGCTCCAGCCGCCCTTCGTGCCCACTGCCACACATTCTGCCACGTTCCCCTGCGACCACCATGCTGGGAGCAGACGCGAACCAGTGTTGACAAGCCTAAGGAAACGCTCAAACCCTCGCCGACCGTCTTGTACTCCACTGTAGATACTGTCCATGTCGACATCGCCATTAAATTTATATTCGTCCTCCATACGTAAGCGATAAGTATCGATAAGGAGCTTGTAAACGTCATCTTTCGGACGATCGTGCATCCAAGTTCTGGCATCAAGCCGATGAAACGGCTTGTCAATTGCAACAGATAAGCCTTTCGATGGGATATTGCTCTCAGGGGATGGTGCATTGCGTGCACAAGTTTTCTTGTGTGTCTTCCAGTCCCTCTTTTGACAATCACGAGAGCAGTAGAATTTTGTCTGACATTTTGCGCAGCGTTTCAAGTTGACATCAGCAATGGCGCAAGTACCACATTTCTTGGAGTCGGTATTTGCATCAGTCATGTTGCAATTGTGTGAAAACAGGCCAGCAAATAATATTAATCTTCGGTATCGGATAGCCCAAAGTTTATCATTTCTGGTGTTTGTAGCCACAGCTCTCACGGTTTGCCCCGCAAGGGTTCGGTCCCGCCTAAATATGAGACAAAGGTGCCCCGCGCCAAGGATGACATGCTTGCTGACGTACATCGGTCGTTCTATGCCAAGGTGTGAATAAGTTGAAGTGCCTATCACACCAGTTGTTCAACAATTTAACCGGCGCAGGTTTAGTTTCTATCTGAAAGCCGGCAGTGGTGAGAGTGCTCCGCGTCTCCGTGTTTCATACGTTCATGATAGCCCTTGAAATCCCCGTGTCCTATTCGGCGCAGGCAAATGGCTTTCCAAGTGTGGCTTCTGCAGGGGAATCTCAAGCTCGGCATACCATCCTGGAATGTTTTGTGCCCAGTACTTCTTATAGCCCTGCTCCTGGTCACCCTACATACCTCAAAATTCTAATAACCTGAGGCCAAAAACATGCCACATATTTTGAACTTTTCTCCATCAGTGATTACAGAGCGATGCCTCCGGGCTTTCCGGACTGAAGAAAAGGATGTCTGACAATCTGTGAAGTAGGAATGATAATCTGTATCGTGCTAGCAAAGCGTAGGTCGATCGATACTTTCTATATTTAGATCTTTCAATTAAGGCAAAGCGACATATAAAGTTGGATGTCTATTAAGATAAAGTCAAGAAAACGAGAAAGTGGATTGCAACTGTACCTGATAGGTTTTGATCGTCGACTCCAGGAGCGCAATATACGAAAATAGGGTCCTGGCGTCCGCGAGGATTACTGCACAGTCAAAGCCATCTAATTTATGGATATGCCGTCTCGTATATTCTTCCAGCCTCTTCCGGATGTAGCCCACCTCTTCCTGACTTAGAGGTTTATACATTTGCTGAAAAGGCATTATCGGTTGGCTCTCTGCAAGAGCTGTATGGATTGATCGAGTCCAATCCGCTACAGGTCTCGAGGGCTGGAGATTCAGTGGATTTCTGGAAAGAATGATATGGATGGCTTCCCCGGCAACGCTTTTTTCACAGCATACAGAACTATGGGCTGCCAATTCCCAAATGCGTGTTGCCTGCACCGGAGATGTCGGCCTCGTTGAGCCAGTAGAGCTCAGGGAGCTGTTTTCCCGAGACCCAACAGATCTCTGCTGCTGGGCCCTCTCAGCCATGGTTGTTCCTTGGTCAATACTATCGTTGTTTTCTGGATCCACATGTCAGTTACAACCCGTTATTAATAGGATGATGGGAGTTTCTGTTGCACCTGTGGCAGAACTTGAACCGCTGCCGCCTCTGCTGTCCACTGGGCCGGTCTCTGATTCCTCGACCTTACGAGTTCGAGTTGTCCGGGTACTCATGATGGAAATGTGGCGTCGGATGGTCTGCAAAGCTTGGGTGACCTTTGTGAGGAGAAAAGGGAAGATTGAGCGAGGGGAACAAAGTGGGAGGAGGGCTGGCTTTATATGCCTTCGGACCTACGCTGCCTCCCCCCCCCCCCCAACAAGACAAATGGGAGCAACCGCAAATAGGCCGCACCATGTATGGGATTTGTTGGCTATTGAAATAGGGACTGGTTTAAGGATCGTCTTCCACACTTCCTGTTGATGTGCATCTAGAAATGGGGTTTACAACGATAACTAACTTTCATTTATCGAACTGTTCTGTAGGGAAAACGCAAAAGTACAGACAATCAAACGCGATTCGTACGATTCAAGCGATGTTTACAAATTTGACCAACTTCTATCACTGATTGAGCTACGGTATAAAATCAGCCAAGCCGGATCTTGCGCCTATAGAAGGCGAACCCATCGATTCAGCATTAAAGCGGCGTTATCATCAGATACAATTTACCGACAGAGAAACGTGAGGCAGAAAGATATTTAGAATATCTGTCCCAGTCCATCTCGCGAGAACGTCAACTCGGAGTTAACATCTCGCCAGACAAAACAGCAGAGGGCCTCCCAGATTGACAATTAACATCAAACTTTCCATTATACAAGCATAAACTGACACGTAAGAATACGTTGGGTCCGCCAGGCTTCCGCGATGGATCAAACGTTGTGAGCCTGTGAACTCTCCGCAAGATCCTCGAAAGAGTCAGTGGAATTAATTGCGCGTGCCCTAACATAATTCTCCGGTTTTCCCCTTTCTTTGCTGGCTTTAGCAACCCAGCTATCCACATCAGCCACTGCGTCGGTAGGTGACTGCTTGCGTTCAAGCAGGAACGATAGTAGTATCTCCGCCGGGCTAAATAAGTGGTCCGGTATCTTGACGGCAAACTCACGCGCAAGTCGATCAATTTTTTCATCATCGGTCTTCGTTTCTGCATCAGTCTTCTTTTCTGGGTTGCTGTCATCCTCATCCGACCGCTTGAAAACCGTGCAGAAAAGACGAGAACTCATCTTCTCATCAGCGAGCTGAAACAAAACCTTTCTGTCCACTCGGCCAGGGCGGATGAGCGCGTCATCCAGACGCTCGATGTGATTTGTCGTCATAATCAGCAATCGACCTTTCCTGCGAAGATACACCGTCCAGGGCATTAAGAAGAGCGGACAGAGATATATTTCCCTGGGACTTCATCTGTGGGGGGCCTACCACGCCCTGGCTGGCGTTTTCTGTCGTTTCACTGACTTCCGTTCGCGACGTGCCAGCAGCATCGATGTCTTCTAAAAGAATGACACAATGCGGGGGAAGCTGGGCAAACAAACTGTTCAGGCGGTTGTCGTCGATGCTCGAAAGATTGAGGACATAGATATCCAGTTCAAAACGCCCGGTCACAGACAGGCTGAAACTGGACTTCCCGGTTCCAGGAGGCCCATACAGCAGGAACCCTCTTCGATAGGGAATCCCGCGCCTTGCATACCAGCCGCGGGCTCGCTCATCCAGGAAACCCTCGATATCCTTCAGCACGGCCGTTTTCTCGTCCTCATCCATGATGACTGTCGAAATTGGTCTGATGTCTCTTGCCTTCGCCTTCCTCCATTCGCCGTCATGATGCTCAAAGACCGTAGTCTTTTTCTGGATAAGTTTTAGATAGTTGGCTCGGCATTCACTCAGGAGGTCTCTCAGGATTTGCGACGATCCGCAGATGCAGGAGATGGAGATATCCTCCTTCGTCTCTTTTGCCACGCACTGGAACCGAAGCAGATGGTTCCTATACACGAAGAGGAATGATCCATTCCAAGGTGAAAACCGCAAAGGCTTTTTCTTGTACTCGTTCGAAAGCTCATCAGCGTATACTCGTCTCTGCATGCCGCCGACGCTGGCGAGAGAGGAGCGAGCTTTATGGGCGAACGGCTGGGTGGATACCCAGGTGATGACCATATCGTACGCTTCGTTGTAGTAGGAGACGTGGACAGTCGAAGCTTTCCATGGTTAGAAAGAGTTATCATTAAGGGGGAAGAGCCACGAACTGAAATAGGTCTCCATCAAGTCCGTCAAGTAACGGACGGCATATCTCCCCAAGAACAGGAGCATGCTGCAGAAGCACAGAAGGTGAGCGTAGCTGTTCAGATCACTAGCTAGGAGTTGCTGTATGGACGCTGAGATGCCGGTGAAGCCGGGGAAGAAGACGTCCACAATGGAGATCTGGGATGCGGCAGTGTGGATTGGCAAAGAACCAGCAGTGTTGAATGCGTTCATTCTGGAGTAGGAGACGTGGTTTGGTTTTCTAAACAGATGGTATTATTTGCAATGGGTTTGCGGCAATTGATACACGGTAAGTGATCTAATTGGTAGGGGATTGTATTTTCGGAATTCGGATTTGTGATGTCTCAGCATTCGGAGGGAATCTTGCCTCCTTATATGCTGTTGTATTGCGCCCCGCGTATCCATTCCCCGAGCTGGGTCGAGCTGTCTCCCCGCATATCCGGACGCAAGATATGTTGTATCCCGACCTAGATCCATGCGAGGCAAATCGCCAACGCTGCAAATATCCACATTTGATCTAGTATTATTGCCTTCATTGCGATCTAGATCCCTGGTTTAGACACAAATACCCAGGTTAATCGTCCTCGGTTCACTGGTTGCCATATAAGGCGTCGCAAGTTGCGACGAGGGGTTGTAGGAGATTTGAAAAAATGATCATTTCGCTATGCAATGCAATGTCACGATTTCTTTGGCTTGCAGAAAGTGTTTTCCCGCAAATTTTCGATAGGTCTTAGCTCCCCAATCGCACAATCAGGTGCTGCAGGAAACCATCACGAAAATAGACAAGATGAGTGATCGTATATGTGAGATCGATTTGAATGACTCAACGTACAGTAAGCTATTGTGGCGGACGTAAAGCTTGCGAAAACAGAATTTTCTGCCACCCCCTGAAAAATAGTAGCAAAACACCGCAGAAATAACCAAAATATCCACGTATCTCTAAAATCATTCAAATATCATCCAATTCATTCAAATACGCACCTTTATCATCAAATCTGCCAATATGCCCCCCCAGCTCAGTGAATTTACCATCAATGAGATCGTACGCCTTCTAAACGATGGTTATATGCCTGCTCAGATTGCGCGGACCATTGAGTGCTTCTGGCCACTGTATATCGAATCCAACGAAATATTCGCTGCTTTGAAACTGCTAGAAGTCCTCATTCAACATGGGGTGTAAAGCCAAAGATCACACCGGATATCTTGTCAGGTTTGGAGGACTTTTTTGAGGCATATCCAACTGCATATCGCGATGAGGCTTTCTGCTTTGTGAAGGATGAATTTGATGTTGATATCCACCCTCGATCGATATCTAGATTGTTGAAGAAACTGAATTTGACATGGAAGAAGGTGATTAATTATTGCAATTGTCACTTATAGAACCTGCTAATCTGTCAGTTCTATTTGATATAGGTTGAACCTGTGGCCAGTCAACGCAACGAAGAACTTCGAGCTGAATGGCGTATTCAAGTTACTCAGTATCAACCTGATCAACTTATCTTTTTAGATGAGAGTGCTGCGAATGAACGTACTGCAGATCGACGATATGGATGGTCAAGCAGAGGATTCCCTTGTCGCATTAGAAGGCCCTGTAAACGATCTCGCAGATGGTCAATCTTACCTGCAATAAGTGTCGATGGATATCTTGATTATGATATATATCAGGGGTCCTATAATACAGAGAGGTTCAATGAGTTTGTACGTGTCCGGATACTGCCCAAATGCCAACGAGGTTATCACTACTTAGTGATGGATAATTGCTCTTCTCATCGTTCACAAGCACTGCGAGATCTCTGCAGAGAAGCTGGCATTGGACTTTTATTCTTACCTCCATATTCTCCTGATTATAATCCTATAGAGGAGTCATTTCACGCGTTGAAAGAATGGATTAGAAGATACAGATGTCAGTTAGAGAATCAGTTTGATGGAGATTTTGAAGCCTTCTTGCATCATGCAGTTGAGAATTTCATGGGAGAAGAAGATGCAAGAGGATATTTCAGATCGGCTCATATAGGATAGTATTGTAAAATTTAAAAAGATTCTGATTGCAATTCAATTATGATATATAATATCTAAGTTTCAAATTCAGAAGCAGAAGCAGTATGAGATCTGCTGTCATCATTATAAACAGCAGATAAAGACAATTTAATTTCCTTCAACTGTGATTGTCAGATAGAACTCTTTAACTCATTTCTTATTATCAAGAATATATTCATTTCAATATTCAACTGAACCACCTGCTCATTTGTCATTGTTTGTATATGATTCAGTTCAAATTCTTCATTCTGAATAATGCTCTTTGCAGTTAAAAGAGCTTCTGCTCTTTGAGGTCTCTCTGTCATCAATCAGTTGAAGAACTCATCAATAAACAGATCCGCGTGTTCACCAAACTGAGGGATTGGACTACTTCAAATAGGAGGCAGGTTCGGATTCGATGGCAGGTTCGGATTCGATGACAGGTTCGGATTCGATGACAGGTTCGGATTTGATGGCAAGTTTGAATTCGATGACAAGTTTGAATTCAGTCCTCCCATGCCTCCCATTCCTTCCATCATATATTTCATCACCATCACATTGATTATCTCACTTGGAGACACAATATTAGATGAAGAAGGAGTTGAGAAAGGAAATATAATTGCTGGCATCTGAGGTGTCTGTATAGAAGGATTAGAAGCAGAGATAGATTCACTTTTTTGTTTCTTCTTCTTCTTTCTATTCATTAATCTTTTTATCATTTTTCTTGAGGGATTTTTAATTGTTGCATGTCCACATTCAACATCATCTATCCAACTGGCAATCTCGCTACTCAGGAGTTGAATATGAGTATCATCAAAAGCTATTCAACAAGTACCCTGCTCAAAGTTATGACAATTCATCTTTTGACAATGCCAGTGAGCAGTTATCTCACGCTCAATCCACAAAGAATCATGCTCATTTGACTGTCAATTTTGAGCCTTCTTCAGCTGCTGGCTAGTGGCCGTGGATCTTGTATGCGTAGGCGGCAGCTTTTCATCATCGGATATTTCATGAATTTGAGGGGATTTGGCAGGATGATAGAGTGGGATTTGGCAGATGGTGAGATTACTTCTTCTTTGACGTCTAATGCTCTTTTTGATGCCAATGCCTGGGTTGTTAATTGGGAATCTGACACTCCAATGAAAGCTGCAGGACCGCGTATTACAGAGGTGTTTGAAAATAGAGTTGAGATATCAAGAAGATTAAAAGAGGTGGTAATCTTGATACTAAATCTGCTCATATTCTCCTTATATAACTTCTTCAAAAAAGTGATAATCTCTCTCCAATCTGTCTCCTTCTCAAGGGTGATTTTGATTGAAGATCCATGTTTGTTTGATGAGATGACTGCTATACAATTTGCAACTTCTATCTCCTTGCAGTTCTGCTTCATAACATACTCTTCAGCTATTCTTTTTGCAGTATATTGAATATGATAGAAGCTGACAGTCATATCATTTGTTGTGACATTCCGTAACTTGATCTTTATAGGCTCCTTTATCCTATTGATAATTACCCGTTCATATAGCTTGAATGAGATCTCAGGCTCAGGGGTAGGTGTTCGCAGAAATCGAGGATCTTCTGACTGTGTCTCCTCCTCCTCCTCCTCCTTATCCTCCTTCTCATCATCAGTTGGATTCTCGTCGTTATCCGGAACATCCGGAACAGGCGGTTTGGACAGACGAAGGCGCAGGGTAGTTGGAGTCCTTTTACGAGCTTGCGAGGCAGTAGAACGGTGGGTGTTGCGGGGCATATTAGCAGATTTGATGATAAAGGTGCAGATTTGATGATAAAGGTGCGTATTTGAATGAATTGGATGATATTTGAATGATTCTAGAGATACGTGGATATTTTGGTTATTTCTGCGGTGTTTTGCTACTATTTTTCAGGGGGTGGCAGAAAATTCTGTTTTCGCAAGCTTTACGTCCGCCACAATAAAGGACAAAATCGCGAGGTTATCTGCCCAGAGCGCGGTCCACCATTCGCTAGAAGGCCCCGCCCGGCATTTATTTACGAAACGCCTCAAGAGAGCCCCTTCCCAACGTTAACGGAAGACTCAGCAAATTTCTTGAAGTCCTGTACGGGCGACAAACCAAAGCTAGCTCGACGCATGCATCACGATGGCAAGAAATACGCAGCCTATCTTGCGAGGCTTTGCTACTCATCGCCGTAGCCTATAACCCACTGGATATCACTAAAATGGGTCGTATCGAATTCGAATGTTTGATGGACTACGCAGAACCATACCTGCATGCGAAGCCTTTGCCTGAGAAATGGATATTCCGTAGGGAGATTCAAATGGTAATAGCAGCAAGCTCCGAGTTAGAAAACATATCCGTGTTCAGGAAAGGTGCGGCTCCAAATATACCCTCTGATGACTATAAACTGATGAAATTAGGGTACTTCATGCTTGAGTTTGATGCTGAAAGCAGGACTGATAAAGCGCGATGCACTGGAAAGCGTCGCCGGGATGATTCGTCTTCGCGGGACAGGGCTTCAGAAGGCCAAACAAATGATCGCGATTTATGGCATGACAGGGTGGCCTGGAGTTCAGAGGCACACTCCCACGACCATCAAGTGCAGGAGCTGGAGGCTGGATCTCGATCACCAAGCAGCGGATTGGAGGCACAGAACATACAGGAAACAAGCACAATGCTCGTTGCTAGGCAACAAACGCAAAATAGCAGGAGTAGGTACCATAATACCAGATGCTTTAAATGCTGCTAACAATACAATACTGTAGAAATTCAATTTATGTTCTCAAAATCTCCAACCAGCCTTATCCCCCTCCTTGGGAACTTATTGTCCGATGCAATCCACGCTAGCAATCAATGGGTGTCAGAAAGAAGAACGGGAGAATCGACAACGGAATGCTTGTCGGTCTTGATACCAGAAGGGAGGAAAAGGATATTTCCATCACACTTTGGACTGGGCGAAGACAGGCGTTTCAAATCATCGATATGTTCAGGATGCAGTGGACCTGGTCAGCGTCACCCAGCCATGTATCACCTCCGTCTCGTGGTATTTAGGAACTAGGAATGACTCTTCCGTCTTGAGATTTCTCTTGTCCGGCAGCTGGGCGTCTTTCATGTCCCCGTCTTTTATGTCCCCCCCTTTTATGTCCCCTGGCTTCATTACCCGGAACAGTGCTGCATCTTCGACTGTTATTGTTCTTTCGTAGTCGACGCCGGGAAATATATATTGGCTCGTATATATCGTTTTTGCTTGACTTCGTCTCCAATCTAGGTCAATGTGTCAGTAACTAGGATCGCAGTCTCGGGTTTTGGTTTATGTACCGCTTCGGCCATCGTTTTTAATTGTAGAGGAGCCAGTCAAGTATAGGTCTATTTGGATGTTAATAAATGACTAATGTGGTTTTGGGTGCCATACCGAACTTACGCACGTTTAAGATGCAGAAAGGTAACTTTTTATCCTAAACAACTGTATGATCAGAAGAATGGACTCCAATCCTACTTATGAGAGACAAATCTTCTCAACAGATGTAAAACTCGTTCGGTTGACGAAACTTGCCCAGGAGATGGAGGGGCAAAGGCATTTGCCGCGGGGCAAGATCTTGGATCCTTCTCTATTCCATGTGACTTTGTTAAGGCAGCAATGCATGAAGCATCAGGTTTGGGGCGGGGTGAGCGAAATATAGTTGTCGCAGAAAACTCCAATACTACCCCTAACTTTGAGAAATTCAAACTTGGCGTAATATGGGTTCATCCACCACAAAACAAGCACGACGATTTCACGATAGAACAAACCATTAGCAGTTACAGATGAGAAAAGGCGATGGACTCTATTTATAAGGAGTACATATCTGCTTCTTAACTCAGGAGCAAGCCTTCCATCCCTTAGCTGGCCTTCTTTTGCTCTCACTGCATTACAATATGGACTAGAGCGAAGCGCTCCATCTGGTCAGACCTCTCCCTATAACTAGATTCACCATCCCACATTAACAAAGTAGATGTTATCATTAAAAAGTTAAAGTGCATGTTTAAAACTGTCTTAGCTAACTAACCATCCGTAGTTAGTTAACCAATGCTGCAATCATTCAACTTCGATAAGTAAATGATATCATATCATGTGGTCAGACAAACAAGAATGTGTTGCCTGCTTCGGCCTAGCGTTGGCAACCTTAGTGCGGGTCTCTTACACTTAACAACCCTTCCATCCTCGAGTTGTTTGGCTGCCATACTCAAGGGACAGTATGTTTATGGCTTCATTACTCCATACTTTCCCATGACAGAAGACCCAAGCTGCATCACCAAGATATAAAACCCCTAATGGACAGCCTTCGTTAGGTCTAAACATCCCCCGCTCTCGCTCTCCACATCTCTGTATGCCGACGCGCCTCCTCCATGTTCGATTCACCCACTGTTGTGGTCAGCGCGTCAAACACTGCCCAGAAGCCGCAGGCCACTGGCACTGATATACCACAACCGCGGCTTCCAAGTCGCGCATCGTTCCAATCGCCTACCAAAGCTAGCCTCTCCCGCTCACACCCAGATGTCCTCGCACGTGTTCTGAGCCGCTCCCCACCAAAATCAGCACATCAGAGGCCAGTGAGTCGTGGAAGGGAAAACGCTAGTCTCGGTGTAGGAGGTGTGGAAGGTGGACGATCCGGGGTATCGGGAGGTAAGCTACCTACACCGTCGCCGCTGTCCACGACTTCGGCATTGGTGACTGAATTGCCGATTCGACAACCGACCCGGCAACTTGTCTCATTGACGCAACGTCATGGATCAAGTGTTCGTGTTTCTGCGTCGCAATCACTGTCAATGTCGTCACAACGATCGCGGGCCTCGTTCTCGCTGGAACCTGGAATTGAATTGCCCGAGCCACGACTTCCTTCCCGAGCTAGGGACCCGGCAAGTGGACAAACTGCCGATGAAACAACTGCCGATGGGAGACCTACGCGGTCTTCATCGTCCCCCGCTCAAGGAAATGGCGAGCCAGAGTTACCTCCAACTCCAACTGAGCTGGGTTTAGAGAGATTGCCTAACCGTCCGAGAGGTTTGTTGAGCAGCAGTAGCCCAAGCTATCGCCAGGAGAAGAAGAGGAAACGAAGGACAAGGGATGCCGTGAAAAAACCTAGCCCACTTAAACCTAAAGATGCAGACATTACTGGAAATGAACCTGGCGATGGGATTGCGTCCCCGCGCAGTTTATTTCCTGAGGAAGATTACGTTCCTAATAAATTTGAAGATAAAGTAGAGCTACGCAATGCGCTCGCAGCTCAGTTGGCAAGGCTGAAAAAAGATATTTCGAAAATAGAGTATGAGACGCAAAGATATGAGAAACCTGACCAATATCCAGCACCGGATACAGAATCTATTAAAAATCTAATGTAGGTTTTAGTTTTATTCCCACACTCAACAAAACTTTCAAGCTAACCAACTGTTCTAAAGCGAACTCCTCACAACCTCTAACCCCTCATGCGCCCCTCCACCTCCAACGCGGTCCTCCCAACCACCAGTTTCTTCTCTCCTCTGTTTTCTTTTGCCATTTGCATCTCCCCGATGTACTCCCATAATTAAACCGGCCCCGCCTACTTCAACCTTCCCTCCTCCACCAGAGAACCCGTTTGCTCTGCAACAGCCAGCAGACTTGATGCCATATCTCACGCTCTTTGCACCCCTCTCCCTCACTGCACATACGACGACAGTTTCCACTCCGATTGTTTCAATCTCACCACAAGAATCATCGCAGTCATCAACGCTGCTTATTACCCAAACACACAACCTTACTTTAGTCGCACCCCATCCCTTCCCTGCCCGCCTCTTTCAGATTCCTATAACCCTCCAAACCAACCCAGAAAGCCAAACAGTTATCTCCATTTCTATCCATACACAATCGCAACCGAATCATTCTGATACAAAATCAAATCATAATATCCCTACCGCTCTCTTCTCCTGGTTACAAATCCGACTCTCAAACCCCCTTCTACATAGAGATATCTCCGGCCTCTGCTGGGGGATATCCCGATACTGGGAAGCCGATTTATCGCGTGCCAAGCTTTGGGCGCAACTGGAAGAATTACGGGACCGAATAATGACTACGTTATCTTCGTCGCAGAAAGGATCTTTACCAAGCCGTGACGATAACGACAGCAACAACAATAACATCAAGACCAGGCAACTTGACACCCCACGAGACCTCCTTCCACACCTTGGCCAGACCTCTTTTCTCTTCTCTGTAGAGACATGGCGACAGCGTCAAGAAAGGAGATCCGAAATAATTGTCACACGCCAATCATCACCACAGCTCCTCGTTTCATGTCCGCTTACGTTGGATTTATGGACAAGCGAACCCCAGCTGCAGCCGGATATTAGCGTTTCGGTACCGCTATTATCGCCTGTAGGGAGCTTGGAGAAAGTGGAGAAGGAGGCGAAGTCGGTTTTTGCGAGCTTTTTAAGGAGTGGTCGGGGAGGGAAAGAAGGTGGATATGGACAGATGGAGATTGATGGGGATATCGCGATACTTGTTCGGGCCGTTGAAGGAGTTGCTAGGCTTCTTTTTGGAGTGGCATGAGTGGCCATCGGGATGGTTGCTTGCTTTTATAGGCGGGCGGGCGGTATTTGCGATTTTGTGTATATATGTATATGTATGCCCGGCCTTTTTTTCTCTGTTTGTTTTTTTTTTTTTTTTTTTTTTTTCTTTTTTTTTTTTTTGTTGGTTGGATTGGAAATCAACATGTATGCAAGATAACGACAAGGGTTTGGCGCAACTTGGAAAAGAACCTTTTTTTTGAACTGTTGTGGAGGGAGGATAAATGGAGTTGTCCTTCGTCCTTTTCTGTTTTTCCTTTTGTTATACCCTTTCTCTACTTAACCCATTCCACAATAGTATCCATGCATGAGGACCATCAAAAAAATGAGATTTATAATGTTCTTATTAGTCCCATCTAGCTGATGTGTTTCAGTGTGATTGATATGCACGTAAATATTGTTGGGGGTTTGGTTTGGTCCGTCCCCTCTATTACTGGCATGGCGCTGGTGGTGGTGATTGAACTCTTCTGTCCTATGGACTAACAAATATATATAGTCTCTGGGCGTGTCGGTAGTTACCAAGCTGAACATCCATTTTGCTGAAACTGGAGCCAACTATGCATGGTTTTTTCTTATTGTAACAAACCTGTAAATAGGGATGTTGCTTGTAAACAATAGGAGCTGGGGTTTGTGTCCTTTCCACTCTTTTTGTGCTGCTCATTCTCGAACAGGGGAAATTTGTAAACCGTGTCACTAACAGCTTGAAGGAACGCGGCTACGGACAATCTAGTGATGGGAGAAACCGGGAAAACTTAAATAAATACGGAGTATTTATGTCTGGATATTTGTATTTCTCTCCCATTATCAAAGGCAGCTGCCAGGTGCCAGTTATCTCTTTTCAAACAATCCATAACATAGCATACTCTTTCTCCGTCTTCTTCCACACCCCCCTCCCCCTCCCCCTCCCCACCCCGGCTGGCTCCCCTCTTCCTCGCGTAGACAGCAAATCATGTTCAACCAAGTAATATCCGACGAACCCAAGCAACCCGCTCCGTCATCAGAATCAGCATTAAAACGGGAGATGAGAGCAGCAATAACAGCACAGAGAAGAAGGATAAGACGAGATAGAACATTTCGACAAAGTGACGGCCATTCATGATTTTTTCACCTAATTTTTTCTCTTTAGGAAAAAAGGAAAAAAAAGGAAAGAAGCTCACTGGACGTACGATTTTCGTTGCGAGTGATGATGGTGGAGTGCGTAGACGTAGAGGCGGTGCTAGTGCTCGTTCTTCCGTTTTGGTAGATTGCGTTTAAAAAACAAAAGAAATAAGGAAAAAGCAAGGAAATACAAGGCAAGAGAGAAATAGACCCATTTATCAAACTCCCTTTTTGTTAAGAATTATATTCTGGCTCTTTTCTCTCTATTTCTTCGCCGCTGCAGCCTCTTCAGCCTTCGCCTTAGCCCGCTTCTCCCGTACACCAACTAGTCTTGCTTCGCTCCGCGCGACTCTCAATTTTCGGTATGCGCCACCTTCGACACCAGCACCTAGGTCACGCTTACTGATTTCCGAAATGGCCCCGGCGTGGCTGATGTTGTTCACAGGCAAGAGGGCGGTGATTTTCTTGGCAAAAGTGTCCTGGGCAGCCTTTATCTCATCGGCAGAGGAGTCGAGCTTCTTGTGTTGGCCAGCACGGCGGGGGAAGAGGATCAAGCGAGCCCTGTACTCTTTTAGGCGAGCGACGTTGAGAGTGAGGGATTCGGTGGAGGCATTGACGCGGCGGTGATCAACCGCAATGCCGATTGTTGGCGCGAGTTTACGGGGTATTCCAGCTTCCTGTGTTTTTGAGAGTTAGCGAGTGATTTGTTGACCTGTTATTGCCTCCAGTTGCGGATCGGGTAACGGAACCCCTCCAAACCCTAGGGATAGGATGTCGTACTTTCAGTTCTTGAAGGGTAAAGCCACGCCCAGCTCTCACGCGACGATTGTATTTGACAGTAGGGCACCGAACGACAGGACGAAGCTTATCAACAGGGCGCGGGGCAACCGCAGCCGCCTTTGCGAGACGAGCCTCTCGACGACGGTGTTTGCGACCAGGCTGTATGTATAAGGGGTAAGGAGGGTTTTGTCAGTTGTATAAATTTGGATTTCTACAAAAATTCACTTTCTCGGAGACATAGATATTTTCGAACGTTTGGGGTTGCGTTAGGGGTGAGTGGATGGCGGCTGGAATTTCGAGATCCTGTTGGTAACATACCTGGTCGAAATGTACCCGAACACGGCGAGCCCAGTCCTTGTGGAAATCTGCACACACGCAACAGAAGTAAGTCTCTCCGTTGCCTCTGCAAGCATAGTGTCTAAGTATATTGGTAGAATACAAGAAGGCATTTAAAACTCACGATTTTTCGGGATGGTCTGGTTATGCTTGATCGCCTATATATGATCACACGCGCACCCACAACGTACAGGTCAGCTATCCATTCCATTTCGCTACTTAACTTCTCCTCTATTTCCTCTCCGAGCAGAAACTCTCTGTAATAGGCATAGACATACCATGGTGACGGATGGGGATCAAGGAAGTTGAAGGTGATTTGCGTGCACGGTGGTCGGTGGTCGGTGGTCGCTGTTCAAACAAAACGAGACGAAGATAGAATGAGATACGCATATGTGTGGTGATGTGTCACGTGGTGCGACGGGCGCCAAGGGTTCTTCCACATGCGGCTCGCTTAGCGATACAAATTAGCCCTAGAAGCTTCCTAATTGGGTAGTCAGGACGTCAGATAAACTTGCTGAAATGCTCTATATGGGTATTCGGACGACAAGGAATTGTAACTGGGTTTGTTGAGATATTCTCAACTGGAATGGGTCCATTAGTTGGGAAACAGGTAAATCCCAATGTTGATATATGAAACTCCTGAGACCTATGTTCTAATGAGTGTGATGAATGATATATTGTTTTGAGATACTTAGTATTCAGATTGCAAATAAGCCAAGGCAGATAATTATTTCTCCTTCAGGCACAGCATCTTTTATACATAACATACTAATGTCTATATCTCCCTCATCCTCTTGGTAAAGTTAAAAGAGAGCAATAAAAGCCCAAACGAGAATCACCAGGCGCATCCAAACACATTTATTTCATCTCAAGAAAGAAAATACCCAAGAAGTATGAATGAAAAATATAAACATGGAAAAGGTTCCACATTTGGAATAACGAGACAACGGAAAATCAGAAGTCATTAGAAAGCCCTGGCCAGAGTTTTGTCTTCTGTGTCAAGTTCGGTCGTTACAATCGCATATCGCAAGACAAAATAAAAGGGAAAACAGGAGGGGAAAGAAAAATATCATCGTGGACGTTTCATGAAGTCTTAGGTCGAATAAATAGTAGATCAGTTCCCCTGATCAACTAACCAAACGTTAAAAAGGGTGATAACGAAATTGAAATATTTCGAACATGAAAATCAGTAGATTGTAAAACAAAGGAGAAAAAGACAAAATGAGCATAGGAAAATTAAAAGACAAGACTCATCATATCAACCATCAACATGACACAAAAAAGCAAAGAGCAAAAGAAAGACTCCCCAGAATGGGACAAATAACCAAATAGAAGGGACTCAAGACTGAATTCCGAGCCCAACCTGCTCCCCAAACCTTAGCCTCTTAGCCGCAATCTCCTCCCCGCTATCGCCATTGCCATAACTAATAGATTTCCGCTTCAGGATATTATTACACTTATCTCCACTACTCTCTCGCTCAACACCAGCCTTCTTAACATGCCCAAACAACTTGCTTTGTAGGATAGAGCTAGATTTAGAGATATTCGAACTATGATGTTGGCGATGCTGTTGTTGCTCCTGGCTGCTGCTTCCGCCAGGATACCGGCGGAGCATGCTCGTAGCTAGCGAGCTGGCCTGCGAAGCGGGGACGTCTTGGTCGGTAAGTGCCTCTTCGTCGTCATCATCAGATGCGGATATCGTGCTATCGCGATCATGACGGTCAAGCCCTTCGCCCTCACGGAGTAAGATTGAAGCAGAATCGTTGTGGTGGTTGCTGCGACGAGAGTTTGGGGTCCGTTTGTTGATTGGAGTGAAGAAATGTCCTTGGGATTCTCTGGCACAGGATCGTTGCGGGGTTACAGGAAGGGAGGATACGGGGTGGGTCCCGCAGGTGCGGTCCTGGTGGTGGTTGTGGTTATGGTTGTGGGGTTGGGAGTGGGAGTGAGAGTAGCGGTGGGAGTGACTGTTGCGTTTGTGGTGGGAGTGACTTCGCGATGGTGTAGAGTGCGCGCTGACATTTTCTCCATGCAAAACTTGGCCGGCTGCAAGTAGTGCAGCGATCGGATCCTGGCTGCCAACCCCGCTCACATGACTTCGGGCACTATCTGGGTATCGAGGAGTAGTAGTTTTTCTTTGAGGGGTGAGAAATTCGGCTTGTGGACTGGATGCCAGAGATGCATGGCCCAGCATAAGAGTAAAGTGCTCACGATTTTCACGTATGCGCTTCTTAAGACGGCTGTTCTCCTCGAAGAGCAGCTCGTTCTTGTCGGTTTCATCTTCAATTATTCGTTTAGCTCGACGCAAACGGCGTTCCAGTGTGATGTTCGCGTCCTCGAGCTCTTTGATCCGTCTCAGTGTGGCATCTGCCTGACAAGGCTTGGGAGACAATTCAGGGGATTTCTCCAAGCTGAGGCCGCGTCGATGGCGATATTCTATACTCTGCAAAATCTCGACTTCCCTTTTTGCCAGCCGCTGTTCCACTTCGGCTCTGTTTATCGCCTCACTGCTGGTGAGCGATAAGAGGCTGTGTTGAAGTTTGAAGTGAGCAGCTGACATGCGGAACTCCTGTGCAAATACGAGCAATTCTTTCGCAACTTTTCGTAATTGCACCTCATCTGCATTGTCGATATCTCTCGAGGATGGGAGATCTACTGACGCGCCGTATGCTACGCAGAGTGTTTTGTCAATGGTGGCCGGTGGTGATGCGAGGAAGGTGTCTGAATCTGAGCGTGGTCGACGGAAGGGAGTAGCTGCAGCATCGCCCATATGTTGTGACGTTGATGAAGGGGGAGTCATATTGGATGAAGATTTTCGTGGGACAGGCGACCGGAGCTGATCAGACATGGGGGGGTATTGGCATTGGTCGACGGTTGGCCGACCTGGAGAGGCTAATAGACTAACTCGAGAAGGAACTGGGGTGCTTGGGATCTTTATCTCCGCTGGAGGTGCCAATGAGCATTGGGACGACCTCTCTTCAATCCCCTTTGTCGTCATCGCCGTCATCAACAAGAATGGAGAAATAAGGAAGGCAAGTCGATACGGATATTCGAGAAGAATTCCGTTGGTGATAATTTAAGGAGATTTGGTACACGACGAAGAAAGAGAAGAGCAGAAAGCCACGTCACAGTCGAAGTGATTGAGCAAATCGAGGGACAGGAAGTTCCTGGCGGGTCTCTGCTTACTTTAGGACTGATAATCCAGGTATCTTGGCTAGACCAAAGACAAAGTGTTTCGAGGGTATATAACTATGTACCGTCTACACACGCACACACACACACACACGCGCATATATATATATAGCAATAGATGAGGCGAAGTTATATAGACGGGTTGGCCGGGGACCTCAGGACGGAAAAGGGAATTTTTAAGTGGAAAATGGCAAGGCGGGCAATGAGGCTGGGGGTTTGTCGTGGATTGTTGTGGAGGCAACGGATGGGATGACCCACTTTTGTAAATCAACAGGCGAGACCACGTTCAGTATTACCATGAGAGCGGTATACCGAATACCGATATTTGCAAACAAGAAGCAACAAGAGAGGCAGAGAGAGAACGGATGAGCGGAGAGGGAAGAAATAGGAAATGGTAATACAGCGACGTTGGTGGAGGTTGTTGACAGAACGTTCAGGCGAGGAGGGTGGAAGCCGCTTCCAAACAAGAAATTCGGAGGCTAGGTTTGATCTCCAGCCACATTTAATGAATCAGGTGACTGAAGAGATTGTTAGTGGGTACTACGGCTACCCTATCACGTGCCCCCCAACATATTGTATTGCTCTCGCGTAGTTAGTTTAGTAATAATGAATGAACGTTATCCTCCTACAGAGATATCTTCATACGGTTAGTTCATCGGACGCTCCGGAAGAATAATGTGCCGGTGTAATCTTATCCCAGAATGGAAAAGTCATATCAAATTGCCCCAGTCAGGGATAAAGCTTGGAGAAGAAAGTTACACAGCGGACAAACCTCTCCTCGATAACTACATCGGAATCTTCTACATAGAACAAGACAGCACTGCTATTGGTGCTATTGGGAGACAAAACAGGAGCCATAAACCAACATTCTACTGGATTCCCTCTTCAATTGGCTCTCCCTTAGCTATGCATCTCGTCTTTAGTTAGGTACCTGACGCTCATCGATTGTTACCCCTTGTCAGAATCCATCCAGAACCATGGATCACGGCTATTCCATCCCAAAACATCCCAGTGGCATACCGCGGCCCATGTCCAGGCTCCCGCTACCCATCTATTCTGCTTCTTCCAAATCGATCAGACCCTCCCCATCTCGCGAGCGACTACAGGCTGATTCAGGGTTAAACTTGGAGAGATTGCGGAGGCCGTCACAGGAACTATTTAAGAAGCCCCAGCTTCCGTCTCCAGCGAAATCTCGAGAGAGTTCATATGGCCAAAATGATAGTTTGGATAAATGGATTACGAACTCAGGCGGTTCTGTGGCGGAAGATGAGGATGAGGGAGATGGAGACCACCGTGAGAATATGTCTTCCAGACCCTCACTATCAGATCGAACTATCGAAACTATAGCTCAGATCCCGTCTTCCCCGTCTCCTAGCAAGAGGAAGTCGACTTTTTTTGCCCCTGAGAGCCCCATGGCATCACCTTCTCGCCCATCTTCTTCGCTGAACAACCACCATCCATGCCCATCCTCCCTCCAGCATGGCACCAATGGATCAGCTCCGCAATTCTCCTCCATCACACGAACAGTGTCCACACCTCGAACACCGTCTAGTGCGCCTAATATGGCCCAGCCAACCTTCCTCAAAAGATCGGTTTCTATGTATCGAGATTCTCACTCGAGGTCTTCGATAAACGGTGCTGGTGCCATACAGTTGCCGACTCACAATAACGTCTCTGCCGTTCCACCAATATCAAAGAAAGAATCGAAAACACCAGCAACTGGCCCACGAACTTCGCTTTATGGGGGTAGCAAAAGCGTATCCATCAGATCACCCAAAGGGCGTCCATCACTGGCTAGTAACAGTTTCCCGAACCAAGTAAATAACGAAAGTAACGGCAGTAACGTCAAGAAGGCTGCAGCTAAGACACCCGTAACGAAATCCCGAAAATCTTCCTCGACGATTTCTTCCAATCTCACCTCTCCCACATCTACAACCTCAAGAAAATCACGACGGACTTCAGTGACATCCAACTGTAATCCCTCGGATTTAGCACCTCAAGAACTAGATACAAAGAAAGCTGCAAAGTCGTCAAGTGCTCTTCGAGAAAGTATTGCCAAAGCAAAAGCTGCGAAAAAAGCCGCAATGGAGAATAACGTTAAATATGGTCTGGGCGAAGCTCTGGGTCCTGTTGACCCTATCGATCCCTTTGGGCAACTGTCCAAATCCGAGCCCAATAAGCGCGTATTGAAGAATAGGGCTGCTGCGGCAAGAACATCAGGGCACCTAAATATCGCCGCCATGGGATTAAAGGAGATCCCGGAGGAGGTGTTGAATATGTATGATTTTGATCCAGAAAGTGAAGGCGATTGGTATGAGAGCGTTGATCTTATAAAATTTATCGCGGCGGATAATGAATTTGAATCGTTATCAGATGCTGTATTTCTTGATGTTGATTTTAATATCATGGACATGGATGAAAACGCCAAGGGGTATCAATTTGGGGGGCTGGAAGTTCTAGATCTTCATGGCAACATGCTAACTACTCTTCCCAAGGGTCTACGAAGGCTCCAACGGCTGCGCTCGTTGAATCTTTCCCACAACCAGTTGGATGTGGAAGCTTTCGAAATCATTACCGAAATTTCGGCACTAACTGACTTAAAACTAGTAAATAATAAACTTGGGGGCAGCCTGACTTCCACTATTGGCACTCTCTCTAAACTAGAAGTGCTAGATCTCCGTGAAAACGGCCTCACTGAACTTCCAAATGCTCTATCTGACCTCACCACATTGCGCATTCTTAATGTTGCCGAAAACCAGTTGACTTCGATCCCATTTGAGGCTCTAAAGGCCCTTCCACTCGTCGAGATTAATGCGCAGAAGAATCGTCTTCGGGGACATCTTGTTCCAGCCTCAGTTACACGCTTGGAAACGCTGCAAATTTTGAATGTGACGAGCAATTTCTTGGAAAGCCTTTCTCTCGGCGAAACCCTGGAGTTACCCAACCTCCAGCAGCTATCTATAGATGCAAATCGTATCAAGGCTTTGCCAAACATCTCAACATGGAAGTCACTCCTAACATTAACTGCAGAGGATAACGCTATCGGTTCACTTCCGGAGGGCTTTTTACAGCTCGAAAACATAAAAGTTGTCGAGTTCACCGGTAACAACATAACAACGTTGGACGAGAAGCTCTCTCTATTAGAGAATCTTATCTCCTTCCGTATAGCGAACAACCCGCTCCGAGAGCGCAAATTCCTCACCATGGACACCGACGAATTGAAAAGAGTCCTGCGCGGCCGATGCGAACCCGACCAGCCAGAAGCAGAGGAAGAAGATGGGTCAGTCCAAACTGAATTCACCCTCGCTCCAGAGAGCCCAACAACCGCCAACGCCTGGCGCATAAAATCTGGCGGCGTTCTCGACTGCTCTTCCACCGATTTGGCCAGCCTTGACCCAGCGGACCTGGAACCCTTCCTCGCTTCCTCCACAGCGATAAAATGCCTATACCTGCACCACAACTGCTTTCACAGTCTTCCTGTAGTCAGCCTCTCCCTCCTCTCCCATACTCTCACTGACCTCGACTTCTCACACAACCCCTTTTCCTCCACCCCCACAACACCCCTACTAACAACGCCGCTCTCTCTCCCTCATCTCCAAAACCTCACGTTAAGCTCCACAGGCCTAACAACTCTCGAGCACCTCCAACGCCACCTCTCTGCTCCCAACCTCACCTTCCTCGACGTCTCCAACAACCGCCTCATGGGAACCCTACCGCACATCCGACACAGCTACCCATCCCTAATCACCTTCCTCGTGTCCGATAACCAAATCGACAGCTTGGAGTTCGACGCCGTGTGCGGCTTACAGGTGCTGGACGTCAGTAATAATAGCATCTCGTTTTTGCCGCCTAGATTGGGACTGTTAGGGAGCGAGGGGACCGCAGGAGCGGGGAATAGTAAGTGTTCTGGCGTTTCTGCTGCCGGGGCCACGACATGTTTGCGCCGATTGGATGTGGCAGGGAATTGCTTCCGTGTCCCTCGCTGGCAGGTTGTGTCGAAGGGGACAGAGGCGGTGTTGGAGTGGTTGAAGAATCGGATTACGGCTGAGGAGCTCAGGGAGTGGGGAGTTGTGGAGGAGGAGGGTGTGAATTGAACATGGTTTCTTTTATTCAGAGAAAGAGAAGAAAGCAGGGGGAGGGGTGTTTCTCTGGAGACCTTATGGCTTATACCACCGCCATTTATATAGTTGGTCATGTAATTTTTTGGGATCTTTCTTTTAACTTATTTGTTTATTTTAACAGCTTATCTGTGTGTATTTCTGTCGGCATAGCTTACTTTCTCTCGTTTTGACTACTTTCTATACCGGGACCCCTTGTTACCCCATCTGCATTATCTTCTCTTTTTCGGCCCTTTATTTTTATTGTATCGCTATGGTCAACCTCTTTTACCTGATTTCCCCACAACATCCAAGATCCCCCCTTGAAGATGCTTACGGGGTTTTTCTTATCTCTGCTCTTCCTGTATTGATATTCCTTGCTCTGCTACTTTCTTTGCTCTTCCTTTCTTTTCCCTTCCTTTAACACATTCATTGTAACCCCCATATGCCTACCGAGATATAAATTAGATGAAATTCATAGATCATATAGAGTTTTTATATGCAAACAATGCTCCTTAATAATGAGGAAATGGAGGGTTGTGGGGGGGGGGAGAGTTATTCCATGTTTTCTGGTTCTTGAAACCAAAATCACTATGTGCCTGAAAAAGTTGTTACTAGGATACTTAATTATATACCCGAGTGTATATGAACCAAACACCCCCCCTTCCTAGCCCGACATGAGCATTTATGCACTTGTTTGCCTGCTGCCTCCGCTGTAAAAATAGTCTACGACTCCACTCCCTTCGCTTTCCCCTTTGACCTCGTAATTTCCTCAACAACCCTCATCCACGTATCCGCCCATTTCGGAAACTTATCTTCTTCACCCGGCGCATTCTCCTCTCCTTTATCATTTCCTCCACTCTCTTTGCACCGTACATTGTCATTGCCATTTCCAATGAGTGGCATCCGCGCCACTTCAGCAGCTGCAAAAGCACACTTGCAGAGTTTATTAGTATACATGACCGCATTGTCGATGTCGTGATCATATAGGGATCCAGCAGCTTCGTCGACAAGGTTGGGCAGTTCTCTTAAATGTTGGAGGAGGCGGTCGAGTTGGGAGATTTGGGTTGCGGAGAGGGAGAGGCTGTGATGACGTTTCTGTTGCTGGTCACTGCATGTTGGGGAGGACGAGATATTCTGCCGTTTCAAGCGGTGGGAAATTATAGCTGGATATATCTGGGCGATCGGATTGAGGAGGCGGAGGAGATGGGCCTTTTCAAATAAGAGTTTTGCGATGGCGGACGTGGTGTCGTCTTCGCTACCTTGGCCGCTGGCTTTGTCTTTCCCCTTCACCGTCCCTGAACCCTTACTGAAGATCTTATTCTCTTTACACCAAAGCTCATCGCCATTATTGCGGGCCACTTCATAATCCCAAAACAGATCATCCTCACCATCATCGTCATCCTCTTCCGGATCCCACTCCTCCAGCTCTCTTATCCCATCCCTAACTAGCTCAAAGTACTGCCTCACCTTCCCCACCACAAACACAGCAAGCCCTCCCTCTGCAAACGACAGCAGCTGCTCACACACCTTCCACAACCGCCCCGTGCATGCCATGACGTCTCCCTTCTGCTGCTCCGTCACGGTCACTTCCTTTCCATTATCCCCACCACTTCCCCCATTCGCAATAACCTTCAGCACCTCAATCAAACCCCCAAACTCCCTCAATATATCTTTAACAAGCAATTTTGCCTCATTATGAAACGCCTGCGTGGATTCCGCTGGTATCGTGAGAAGGGCAGCGGTGACGAGGGAAGGGAGTATGGATTCGTTTACAACTGAGAGGACGGTAATGAGCGCTGAGGGCGTGAAGGGGATGTTTACAGATAGGAGAGAGAGTTTTGTTGTTTGAGCTTTGAGGGAGGCCGCTGAGGTGGAGAGGAGGGGGAGAGACAGTTGGGCGGAATTGCTGCTGTTAGTGTTGGCGGGAGGACATAACGGGGTTGAGAGTGCTGCATTGGATTGGTCAATGATAATGGAGGTTGCCTCCAGGATGCTGGAGAGGGTTGGAGGCATTTTGTCCTTGTGGCGGTTCTTGGGTTGAGTGTAAGGGAGGTGAAAAGAGGGCAAGCGTTATCTCGGTAAACACTTTCTGTCAAGCAGGCCTAAGCTTCTCAGCCAATCAACAAAATTCAAAATTAGGTGACCTCTCATCATTTTATAGAGAAGTAACCCTAACCCCTCCACTCACTCACTCATCAAATCTTTATAAAAAAATCAATTAATTGAAGCCAAATAGATTACTTATTTAGACAATATAACTAAATTACCATGCAAAAGAAAGATGAAATATTATATATTTGTTGGCATACTTGCTTAAACCTTGTATTTATTTCTGTTTTAGTCCTGGTCCCATTTCGACAACCAGTCAACTTGATTTTGAAGGTTTTTATACCTCTTTGCAGGAATCAGAAAACCCGACCTCGCCTTTCTGCCAAGCTCAACCTGTCGCCTGTACCCACACTTGACCTTGTATACTAATGTATACAGAAATATCACTAGTAACTCTCCCGCCAAACCCCTGCGGACTTGGCAACGGCCTATATATACCAGCACTCCCTTTGGTCAATAGCACCATCGCGCAGACACTGTGATAAACTCTCGGGGTCAACTTTTTTCTCCATGTTGGTATGATGTTTTCTGTTAATGCTCATGGTGGAGGTCAATCTTATCTCCACCCCACACCCGAACACCACATCCGCCACACTTGTCAAGGAAACATCGGTTGGTGTTTCTTGGAGAAAAAGCGAAGTGATATGTGGAAATTTTTCTGAAAGTAGTACGTGGCATACATCCACAGCCAGCGCGTGGTTCCAGTTGCATTGCATACCGTGGGATCAAGTTGCATCAACTCGAACCTTTCTTAACCTGAGGAATGAAAAATCGGAACTTCAAACAAGTGCGGTCCACGAACACGCCTTGGATTGCTCAGTGATTGGCCAAAGAGCCACAAATAAAGGACGCTTGTATCATATATACCTGTGAACCAGTATACATTTAGGCCTTACTAAACCTCCTCCCCACCCAGGCAGAGCCATATTCATGATACTGTTGGCGGGTGATTGCAACCCCTTTCAGCGTCTCCTTGTTGTTTGCAAACCTTGAACCTCCCAGCCACGTGGAACGTATAGGACTAGAATTACCATCGTATGTTAGTAAAAGAAATTGAATAGGTGGCCATCCTCTATAGCAAAATGTATAATCAAGATCTCGGGGCAGAAGCATATGTTATGTGAAGTTAAAAACTTACTCATCTGGCCGCTTGACGCGCACAACACACTCGGCTGAGGCAAGTCTCCGGAGCTCAGTTTCTCTACAAAGATATATGTTAGCATTTTGAAATACAATATTTCCCCTGAGACAAACCAAACAATCTCATACTTACAGCCGCTCCATAAAGCCCGGAATTAATGAATTGCCCCCAACTACCATGATATTTGCCAAGAATGCAGGATGTAAGCCGGTTGGTAACACGGACAATGACTGCATTACCATCTCAGGAAGGCCAAGCTGTTTCATCCCGATGTCTCCTGGATTGAATAGTATTTCGGGGACAGTGAACCGTTCGTTTCCAAGCACCAAGACATCTTCCGCCATTGTACCCGGAATGGTGCCGGAGAGAAGTTCTTTCTTTCTCTGTGCAGCTGTAAGGCTCTCGTGCGGGCGTATAAAACCCTTTTTGTGGGCGTTTGGGTCCGGAAGAACGTAGTCCACGACGATCCCTTCTGCCGCACAATCATCATCAGACTTTCGCTTTCGATTCTCTCTCCAGATTCGCTCCATGTCTGCGGAGAAATCGTCACTAACAAAACATGCAGCTTCTTTGACTTCATTTATTATGTGTGTTTCATCGAGCATGTTGTACTGTCGAACCGACACAAGTTCCTTAAGGAAATTCGTAAGATATTTCCCGCCAATCTCCAGTCGCCTGATGCCTCGCTGCAGTGGCCTTCCTTTGTAGACAGGTGTAACAGTCGTGTGTGAATATCCGGAATCAATAACAAGAAGGCACTCGATAGGGGAGATGGTGGAGTTTGGGTCCGAACCCATCGGATCGCCGAAAAGAGCATGAACTTCATTCCAAGCATTAAGTGTTGGTCCTGCATCAAGTAATTCATCCTTAGCGATTGGCAAATAATATGGGTTAAGAAAAACGGAGCTACCCACCAACGCATCTAAAATACCCCCCAAAACCCCACTCCTCCATGATGATCTCATCCGCATTCTTCTGCAATGCGGCCATTGCATTTGGAGCCTCCGTATAAATCAATGTCGTATTTTCCGGATCCGCACATCGCACCTCCGGTTTCCGCGCTGTCCCCTCGTCAAAAAAAGCATGGTCCCAGATTTCCTTCTCTGCTTCCCAACTCACCACGTAGCCTTTCTCAACAGGCCGGCGAAATGCAACCTCGTTCCAGTCCGAGATGTGCGTTGAGAGCTGAGCACCGATGTAGACCCGCTTGTCACGCGTTCTAGCCACAGCATTTGGAATTACCAGACAAGAATTTAGAGGAGGTTCAGTGCTCAGTTGGTCGGGCGCATACCCAGCTTTCATGGTATAGGCGCCATTGTCGATGATGAATGTTTTTGGGGGTAAAGGTGGTGGTGAAGGGACGCGCTTTGTCGCGCGAGAAGGTTTGGATGTTCCCATGTTATTTTATTCTCTTATGGCATGTATGGGAATAGTAAATTATTGGTTATACTGCCGTTATAATCCGCCGGCATCTCTAAGGATTGTCGTTGCATTGCCTTGATGGGTTGTATGGCGAAAAGTAGCTCTGGGTTGAATCCATCTTCATGGATCTGATCATGAAGAGCTGTGGGGTCGGAGCCTGGATTTTCCTTGGGACTCTCTTTTTGACTCTAAGCCGAAATAGGCCAGAAGTGGAAATATGTATATACTGCATCCAGGCCCGGTGGAAGAATCGAAAATAAAGAGAGCAGTTGGCTACTAGAACTTTCCCAGAAAAGATAAAACGACAGTTTGAATATTACCCTGCTGCTCTCCCATGAAAAACTTTTGATATGGCTCAAACTCTCAACCATAGCAGAGTTCAAAGTTGAATGAGGCTCGAAATATATATCTGCAATACGCTAAATTTTCTCATTCAACTTGAGTTTGGTTAAAAACTCCACACTCTAGTACGGGTGTAGCTATGTGTGCATCTACTGCGTAGAGATTGTTCTCTATATTTTCAAATTCTAGCTCTCTAACTCACCCTTTAATAATATCTTAGTTCCGGTGATGAGATGATCTGAACCCCACTTATACTTGAACCTTAATGGAACTGTTGGTCATCGCGGGGTTGCAGACGCGGTCCGCTAAAACTGTGGGCTCTGAAGCCCCTATCTTTTCGGGCTTTTAGTTAAAGCTTAAGCCAGACAACCTCTACTTTTAGGTCACACACCCTCGATTGTAAATCCACACCAATTTTGCCACGTGATTTATAGCTCTGTTCCATGTCAGTTTTACCTTCACTCTCCACAGCTACAAAGCTACCCTCTCTAATGAAGAAACTGTCTCTCCTGCACCGGCAGCAGTTCCGGGAAGGGAGTCTCACATATCCCCGCTGCTTTTACAGCGCTTCGAAACAATCTCTTCCTGCAACCCCTCCAGCAACACCAACTGATCTCCGCAAACTTTTGCACTCGACCCCACCCCGGCATCAACAGGTAGCCACCCACACTCGGCGGAATCAGGAAGATGGAACACCCTCACTTCCCTCCAGTCAACCTCACCAGACATATCCCCTGCGGGGCTACTATCTCGAAATTCTCTCCAACCCCAGGCAACGCACCATACCCCGCCTCCCCAAAGAGAAATCAAAGCCTGAGGTCCAGTCACAAACCTCTCCCCCGGTAGATACCCGGAACCAGCCTCCGGAACCAGCTCCCGAGCCTACCCCCGCGGAGAAAATGAGGATAGTTTTCGGAACCCGCCTAGCGGGACCGGGCTACTCCGGTTCCTCAGGTCGGTATGACCCTGGCGGCCGCACCCCCGAATCTACATGGCGTGTCTTGAACGGTGTCCCTATTCCACCCCGTCCCCAGGAACCCGATAACTGCTGCATGAGCGGCTGTGTCCATTGCGTCTGGGATGACTATAGAGATGAGGTTGAAGCATGGGCGGAGCGAGTGAGGGAGGCAAGGAGAAAGGGAAGAACACAGAAGAAGAAGGGAAAGCAGAAAGGAAAGGAGAAGGGAAAGAAGGGATCTATTACTGAGAAAGGGAGCGATAGTTCGGTTGCTGGAGAGATGCGACATAAGCCGCGGAAGGAGGTCGAGATTGCTAGTATGAGTATGGATGACGATGGAGGTGGGTCAGAGGCAAATTGGGATGGCGGAATTGGAGACGGTATTGGAGAAAATGCAGATGACTTGTTCTCGGAGATTCCGGTGGGGATTAGGGAGTTCATGAAAACCGAGAAGAGGTTGAGGGAGAAGAAGCTGATGACTCGAGCGGAGACGGGGACGGGAAGCGGGGAAGGGGAAGAGCCTCGCTTTAAAGGTTTCGCTAGCTGACTCTGGCTGAAAACCTCCAGCTATGGGACTGTTATGAATGTGTGCGGCCAATTGCCCGCTCAACAAAATGGCCTCCCTCTATCCCTTTTTGTCTCCCCCTCCAAAATCCTAAAACTCGTATTTGGGTATATCCCCGCCTGGGTCGATTCTTGTCTTTTGGGCTGTTTCCTCCCCTTTGGGGAGAGCCCCCGTTTTTTCACACTTTTTTGCGTTGGGTTGGGGGGGGGGGGGGGCGGAGACTGGTGGAAGCAGCTCGATTATTCTACATAACCGATCCTGCTCTTAATCTGAACAAAATCAAGGATATCTGGCGAATGAGAGACCCCAAATAGTTAAGAACAGTCCAAATGCGTGGTAGAAAATGATAAAAGGAATATTTCAAATGAATACAGGTCCATTTCGAGTTTAAGTAATGGTACAGTACATATTCGGACGGTTAATGTCGTTATCCAACTAGGAAGAAAAGCGAAACATGAAACTAAGGCAGAAATAATTGCACCAGATGCAATGCATTCGACAAGGTGACGATGGAGGTAGCGATAAAAATCGTGATGTAATTTCGATTATCCAACACGGTAAGTTTCTACGACATCCCGCATGAGATCCTCAAGTATCTCCCTTCTTGCGCCGGAAAGTGCTGATGACTATTTTAAAAAAATATGTGGTTAGTTTTCAACGGGGAAATGGAAAAAATATATAAGGTGTATTGAGACCACCAACGAATAGAAAATGATTAAAGTGACGAAAGAAAGCTCACCGTATTCTTCAACAACCCATCTACAAGAATAGTCGCGTTATCCCGATCCTTCGCCTTCTTCAGTCGTACTGTCTTCTCCTGCGCAGACTCTCCACCCGAAAGCTCGGATATACCCATCTTAACTGTGTCCTGGATTTGCTGGAAAACGCTCATGTTCTGCAAACTATCGACTACCGCCAGAGAGCCGGAGGGTGTCGACGCCATCAGGGCAAGCGCAAACCAACCCTCACTTTGCACAACAGGCCACTCTGTCTGAGTTATCATCGTTCCAAGCGGCCAAGCGACGTCCCCATGCAGCTTGTACAGGCATTTGGAGAGATTGGAAGCTTCAATTGCCGCCTCAGTTCCTTCTTGTTGCCGCTGGTTAATGGAACGGCATATGGCGCAGATCGTACGGCCGATTTCTATCTTGATTGGAGTAGCGTCGGATTTCCCAAAAAGGGAGAGGAGCAAAGAGAGGTATGTACGCGAATTCGCCGGAGAATCCGGGTCAGAGGATAAAGGCTCTAGCAAACGCGAGATGTTATTGAATGAGGAGACAATGACTTGGCGTGTGAGGCTGGCTGCGGAAAATTGGACCTGAGGCAGAGTGTCGAATGCCCAGAGGCGCGATACAGCTGTGATAATCCCAGCGGAGCCTAGCGGCTCTTTGTTGTCAGTGGCAATAGCAAGGTTCTTTAAGAACCCAAGAACAGCGTGTAAGACGGCAGCTTTGGCATCGCCATTTAGAATTGATATCAGGGGTACATGGACTTGGTAATCCTTGACCATTGATGCACAAATTTTATCCTCTCGAGCTAGGTTTCCAAGCATGACGCAAGCGCATATTTGCAATTGGTCTTCTGGTTTCTGGAGCCAAGAGCGCAGTGTTTCCGAAAGGTCACAATTAAGAGGATAGGCTTGTGAGAATAGGGGCAGGGCAGATATGTCTGAGAGCGCTTGGTTGAGCCTTATCCGTAGTTGAGTGAGCATTTGAATGTCCCCTGGGCTAAGTCCATGAGGAGCAAGGTCGTACGACCGGTAAAGGACCGAAATAACCCTTTCGACAAGATGGTGAATAATGCATATATTTTGAAAGCGCTCATGTAGCAGATATGAACCAAGACAGCTAGCGAGTGTTGTAAATTGAGGAAACCCTATGTCTTCATCTGTGGCGAGATTGATAAGTAATGGAAGAGCGGCATCCGGTACACGTTCAACTCCTTGAGCTGCTGGTATCAGCTTTTGTTCTATCTTTCAGTTGCAGCTGCGAAGAGAGTGAATATCGACGAACCTTGTTCAGTTGCTGTCTCGAGCAGTTCGAGAGCATATGTTAGGAGTGCATTTCCTTCGATTAAATCATCGGAAAGTAGCGTGAGGAGACTGTATCCAACTCCGTTTGCAGCGACTTGCGCCTGTGCGGGCTCTGTCGATATAAATTAGCTTTGACAACAGCCCGTGTAAAGGAGAACAGCGGCGGAGTGTGAGGCCTCACCAAAGTCGACGCAAATATTATATATAACAGGGATGGCCACATGGACTACAGCAGGGTTCCGGAAAAGGTTAATAATCGGAGATGTGTAATTCTTATCAACGACCAGTTGCCTATTTTCATCTACACATCTTGCAAGTCAGCCAAGAAGGAGAATATAACTAGGGCTGAGATGGTAGTCCATGAATTCAATCACGTACCAGTGTCCGCACAGGAGTTTCCGATCAGCCGTAAAGAGTGAAGTAGGAGATCATCTTCCACATCAGATGTTGCAATTACTTGGAGGAAAAAGTCCAATATCCCAGTCTGACCGTATGCCCGCCGCCATTTCGCTGTTATCAGCAAAATATAATTGATTAGCCAAAAATTTTCCGAATTGTCCGAATGAATCCCTAAATAGATTGAACGTACGGTCACGACTCCCATTAGCCAATACCTCAGCAGCTTGGACCATGAAATGCGATCCGCTCCTCCAGAGAAGATCAAGGTTGGCTTTGACACCCTTTAGGGCATTCATCTTGTGTCGAGTATCTTCTTCCGCCCCCTCCAATGCAGTGAGTAACTCCTTAATATCGAAATTTTTCTCCTCCTCTTCAGCAACCTGGAATATAGCTTGCAGGGCCCGAAACATTTCCTCCTCTTCTTCCTTTGACAGCTTGGGCCCGTCTCTATACGGCGCAGATGGGGCAGAAGAACCTCCGGGTAAAGGGGAATCCGTACAACGAGAAGGTGGTTTCTCTTCCTCAGACCTTGATTTTGATAACGAGAACTCGTTGCATTGGTTATGCACCGCAGAAGGCTGAGATGCCTCCCGCGGGTGCTCATCTTTTATATTACTCATTTTCCAGTTATATGACTTTTGCTAGAAGTTGACATAAAGCAAATAAGCGGATAGCTGCCTGGCGTTTTATTGGGAATATGGGCTCTTTAGGAAGAGGGATAAATTTCAAATGACCAGGGTCAAAGCCCGAAAAGCCACAAAATGAATATTCTCCAGTTTTGTTCGTATGATCAAAAATGGAGAATAGCCTCTGGAAAGAAGGGAATGTGACCCTTGAACCGGCAGATATTGCGGGGAATGTAAAATCATAGCCTTGGAACCAAACAATCTGACTGGGATCTAGGAATGTAGCCAGGTAGAAAGTCTGAGATAGAGGGACAGGTAGTCGGGCTCTAGCGTCAAATTAGGCACAACCAGGCTAGTGGATCCGATGGAATAACTAAATGATAGCGCTACTCAGCCAAGCAAGTATTAGCTATATCTAAGAAGCGCGGAATTTGTTTTCAAAGGGTTAGAGGAAACGAGACATTGAACCAGCATTGCTGCTGCATGAGAGAGGGTGAACTACGTGTGTGATGGTAAGAACATGGTCCTAGGTTCACCAGATGCCGTTTCAGGCAATTAGGGTTTGCGATCTAGGATAAGCTTCCGCGTGTTGAGCGCGGATACTCCCACATCAAATCTCCCCTGTTCTCAAATTTCCCCCGAATTACCCGTGTCTCTTCTCTCTGACTCACCATCCGCTGTCCTCGCTCTGTCCCCGCCGCTGCCTAATACTGCATGTCTCATCTTCTTCTCTGTTTGGCTTTGCTAATCTTCCTTTCCCTTAGGTAGTTACCAGAGTCAGCTGAAAGCTATCCGCGCTAAAATGTGCCAATCCTGAGTGTAGAAACATCATTTCTCTTGCATCTGAGAAGGCTAGACTTGTAGCTTCCTGAATGTGAGTTAATGATACTTGGTGATACACCTTGACGCACACACTCGCCCATATCTACGTCTTTCAATGACCCGAGGAAAGGTTGGGCGTGTAGTTTACGCTAATTAGACGCTGTAGGAGGATGATGTTGGTTGTGTGATTGTTAACTATCTAAGCGAGAGCAACACTATGTTAGGTGGCACGAGCCTGGGTTAGCCGTAGGTAGTAATGCCTAACAGACGCGAAGGCCATGTGATTTGACTTTACACGCGGCAACCAAAAATATGCCCAGCAGCATATCGAAAAAACCAAGATAACACACAAGATAGCCCAACAGATCAACACAACCTTTGACAATTCCTCTACACGACCGTGGGTTGATCCCCTCACACTTTAGGGATATTAATTGTGTGATACATATACTGATTCTCTTTTCAGTTGGGGCCATACCACCACACAACTACTTATTTTGATGAGCTACCTACAGTATCTGACCTCCCATCTACCACAACTCCCACCCCTGTTTTTCTACATACATCTTGAAAGATGACCCGAGCCCAACAGACTCTCTCTGTCCTCCTCTTAATCACATCGGTACGCTAAAATACAAAAATAAAAACGATTTGAAATTCAATTCCTCTACCGCATCACCACGCATCAGCTAACCAACCAAAACAAAAAAAAAAAAAAACACCAGCTTTACCTCGCCCTCCACCTCGGCCTCATTCCTCTAAATCCCACCATCCAGAATGAAATAATACCAGTCGTGCGTGCTACAACCCCCCATCCCCTCTTTAGTTCTACGGCAATCCCTTAAACAATCTACCCCATACCCCTCAATAGTACCCAGTCAGGATACCTCTACAAGCACCCACCCATCAACTGCCTTGTGCAATGAAAACAAACTAATCTAAATATAACCCCGCGCTCCCGCGCGCGCACACACACACACACACGCACACAGCTCCCTTTCTACTCCCTCATGGTAATAGGCGCATACATGCTCTTCCGCCTCGGGTGGGGTGTGTATGCCTTCAACGATGTGCCTGAGGAGTACTCATCGCTGCAGGAGGAGATTCTGGAAGCGAAGAACCAGTTGCGGGTGGCGAAGGTGGACGTTGATTAGGGTGGTTTTATGCATCTTTGTTCAGTCTTTTATGGTCTGGGTTGTGATCAATGAACAACGGCCAGGAGGAAGCAGGGGAATGGGAGAGGAGTGGACAGGAGAGGAAAGAAAGGTTGGAGGTAGGAGGAGACGAGACGAAAATGTCAGGCTTCTTTATTGAGATGGGTGCAAAGAATGTTGAGCTTTGATGAGAGAAATTTTTCTTGTTTTTTTTTTTTTTTTTCTTGTCTCTTTTTGCTGTTTCTTATACCTGTTTGTTTGGCTTCGTTCATTGCTAACAAGGTATCCTCCATAATTCAAGGCTCTTTCTTTTTCCAGTGCAAAATATTTCTAATATCTATAGAATCTTCAATTTTAAGAAATTCTATTTTAGATCAAACCTAATGTCAGGCTACGTCATAGTTTTTCATTTATTTTAAAATCAAAGGAAAAGAAAGCTAAAATAACGATGCTAATATGCAGAATGCAGAATAGAAACAGAGGCGGGGAGGGTTGGGGGAGCCGGAGAATAAAGTAATATAAAAGGTAATAGAGCTAGGAGACGGAAGCAGAAAAGAAAATTCATAAAAATTTTCCACTATTAGCTTTTGTGTATTGGCAAAGGAACCAATACTGGTGGAGGCTAGAAAGGAAATATATAAAACATCAAGCCAATGGATGTTGAGCCGCCAGGTGATCGTGCTCGTCAATATCTCTGTTTGCGTATGGAATTAGCAAATACTTTAATATGGCAAGCAAAACTCTCATATATCTATTTCACAAAAGGAGCCAATCGACAGAAAGATCGATTGGGCAAAGGGTTGAACGATGCGGTTAAATAAACGCAGGGCCCAGGGGCGGAGGGGACGTAAAAGGTGAAGGGCTAGCCAGCGACTGCCGTGCATGATGTGTTCAAGTCTTTGGATAAAGTATGTTGCACGGGTCATACATACCATCCCCGGGGATGGTTGGTTATGTTGGAATTCCCTGTAGCACAATTGGAGGGCGGAGGCTTGGGCACAGGGGAACGAAGGGATACGGAAAGATGGGAATCTAGAAGATATGGGAAATGGTAGGAAAGACGTACTTGGCCTCCCATGGATAGCAAATCCAGACATCACCAGTGGTGACTGCAGCAAGGTATCGTCCGTTCTCCATCATGTCGGCGGGCAGTGTACCCTTCTTGTCTTTGTTTTTGTTCTGGTTGGCGACGAGAGAACTGGTCAGTTTTCCTTTTTTCCTTTTTTTTTTTTTTTTTTTTTTTTTTATCTTTTCTCGATTAAAACAATATTTTCGATTCTTCCTAGCAGATAGAGAACATGCTCGTGATGTTTTTTCTTTTGCCGCTCCCCCTTCAACTCCATAATCTAAATAAATAATCCCCCCGCTATAGAAAACAACAAACGAGAGAAAAGCAAAGGCACTCACGTGCAGCACAAACACAGAGAATGTAGTCGTCTCTCCCTCTCTACCCAACTGCTGTTGGGCTAGTTGTACATCTTTCTGCAACTCCCGCACAGCGTATTCCAACGTCGTCCGCGTGTCATCGACCTCGTCGACAATCAACACATTTTTCCCTATCAGATTGGCCATTTCCAGTGAGCTGAGATCGAGCCATTGCGTGCGCGTAACTTTCGTTCCGAGCTGCTCAATCTGGTCGTCTTTTCCTAGGTTCTCGTACAGCGATAAGCCGATGGCTTGGATGGGGATGTTCGCGCCGCCAGGTTGTTTGAGGAAGGACCTAGTTTTATTCAAATAAAAAGGAGAAACGCTTGAATAAGAAGCGGAACTAAGACAAAATTATGCTGATGTGTATGGGTGTTTTTGGCATTTTGATTTTAACTCTGGTGGATTGGAGTAGAACAATATTTTGTATCCCTCTCCACATCCACATTCACCCTACGTTCCGGGAGAAGGAGAGGGTATTTAGGAAATGGAATACCTTAGAATTCTTGCTGGAATATATCCTCCTCCGCCAATGGCGATCATGAGGTTTGGTTTGAAATCATTGAGGATGCGGTCTGCCGAGAGTTGACACAACGTGTGCACCTATGATATCAAGAAAAGACAGGTTATTCGCATATTCGGCGTAATGTAAAGGTTAGGTTCCACCACCCTTCTCCCCAGTCAGCCTCACAGTCGTTGACGGTGGATGGGGGTTGATAGAGATGTCACGTTGCTCAGCAGTCTCTTTCAAGCAAGAAAATGGCTGAAATACAAACCACTGAGGTTGTGAGACCCCCCATGGTTATCAGCGCTCCTCAGTCGAACACTAATATACACGCTTTCTCTCTCTTCTTTTCTTTTGCTACCTCCTCCTTCCTCCTGACATACCTGGTTATATGTGACATAGACCTTTTCTACCATTGTGGTCTCGTTTGGACTTTCACGTAGATAGACTTGGTGGGGTGGAGGGGTGCGAACGATCTGATAGCCCTGTGCACCCAGGGAAGTGTATCGCTCCTGTTTCTTGAAGTCTCCGTCTGTGGATATCCTATTCGAAACGAACAGACGCTGAATTAGGACATCTAGTGTGACTATGGGAAAAGGACAGGATGGATAGTAAAAGCTTGAATCTGGGAAACCTTTATTCATTCCCCCACATTTTCCATACTTTTTGTGTGTGCTTGGAGCGTTAGGTACTCACAAAATATATTATGTTTCTGATGAAACCCACTTAGCTTGTATGAAAGAGAAAGGAGCGGAAGATGAGAACGGTATAAATATAGAAATATCCGTAATGGGGGAGCAAAAAACAAATGGGATGATCCAACACCAAGCTTCTGATATCTCTCTCTTTAAGGTTTAAAAATCTAAGTTAACCTAGGATTCTGTTTTTATGCTCGCGATAAATTCTCCTCGAGGAGGATAGTTTTTTTTTTTTTTTTTTTTTTTTTTTTTTTAGTGTGATGGACTCACCGTCGCCATTATTTATTTAGGCGCAGTTTCCGTTCTCGACTGTTCCAAACGCTTGCTTGGCCGCATTCTGCTATCATGTCATCACTGCTCTGGGCCGTCTGTCCCTCTATCTCAACCGTGATGGCGGGTCCAAAACCCAATCGAGCAGACAGAGCCTTACGAGCACTCCCTGGGTTCTTATCGAATTGACCAAGCAGATTGACATCAACAAATATTGTATGTCCATACGATATGACAACACGTAGTTTCGTTTTTGTGAAACCATTTTCCGTTCCGTGCCATTCTTATCTAAAGAATGCGCAGTAACTACTTCTTTTCTCAATGGTCTTCGTGACCCAAATTAAGCTGGCTTTAAATGCCGGTCCAATGTCGACATTTAAATGTCTTCTAAACCAGCGGCCTGAGAAACACAGAATGGATGAGAACTATATTTTCTAAATGCCATACAGTGAAATAAGAAAATTTTGCAAAAATTACAGAGGCTATAAGAGAAGAAATGGCCAAGAGGATAAAACAAAACTCTCTCCCCTTCTCCCAGCTCTATCATTTCCCCAACATCTACCTAAGAGACTTACATCCTACCAACCGCATCGATCTAGAAACGATTATGCTCTTCCTCCTAGGATCGTGGTGTCAACCTAGTACAACTCTACGGAGGCCGAGCCGCGACATTGAACAAGATGCATACCCAAAGCAGGCCAAAATTGTACCAGAAGTGGGAGTAATAAACATCAAACTGAGAGATAAATTGATCCCCAGTGGCGAGAATGCTAGCGGCAGCAACAGGCGGACGCGCGTTCAACAATTTCCCTCCAGATTCAATAGAAGGCTCTGTTCAGGATCAGCGAAGAGGCCCATGAACTCGTCGAATGTCATGCCTATCGGCGGCATGGTTTGGAGGGACTCGGTTTCGGTGCAGGTGATGTTCGCGCTCGATAGCCGTGGCCATGGCGCCGCCGACTAAGGTACGTGCTGGATGAGACGGGGCGCATGAATCTCCAGAAGTTCGGGAAGTGACGCTGAGAATTTAAATAAAGGTGGGAAGGCTGGCATTATTTCGCACTATTGTAGTGGATCCAATAGAGATAAATAATGGAGGGAAGCGCGTCGCTTTTCCCTGGTTGCTTGCTTGATTGATTGTTTGCTGCTAGCAGCAGGGGACCAGGCTGAACATCCACAGAAGCCCAGTGAAAGCATCACCAATTTCAGCATTTGGGTGGAACACAGGTAATGCCGAAATGAGAGGATTGGGCTGTGAGTAGCATAAATGCCAACAGAAAGAGGAAGGTGAGGGATCACGTCTTGGTCTGTAGGGTAATGCCAGTAGAAGTAGACTGAAACAGCCATCAGAATATTCCAACGGGCTTCTATCCAGGGCTAAGTGAGAGAAAGTTTACAGGTTGCTTCATCATTTAATGTGTTGGCTACATGGAACCAATAACATATGAATAATGGCATATTAGTACATTGATAAAGTTTTAACAGCTGTTCGGGAGTCTTATATCACTGAGGAAAACAGCTTCCGCAATTGGTACAGATTAGTATTGAACATGACGGGAAACAAGGGTGGCATAAAGCTGGTGTGGAACGCCCTGGCTGACCGGATGGAGTTCTCCCCGTTTGAAGGCGAAGCTAATTTAAAAGGAATGGATAAAGGGCGCGAAAGGTCTGGTTGAAGAAGACCCCTTTTCCGTTTCAATTATCACAACCTAGAAAGAGTGAGTTCGTCAAGAAAAAGCGAAAGGAGAAGTAAAGGTTACATGTAGCGCCAGAAATGCTTCAAGGCACGGTCGAAAACAACTCGAGCGGGTTGAGATGGTTCACTAGTTAGCGGCCTCCAAAGCATGTGCACCTCCATCCACAGCTGCAAGACTCTCGCCAAATCTGGTGTTATTATAGTCGATATCAAACGTGCCATCTATCCTTGGCTTGATATTTGCAAGCATCTATTCTGCCTGTTTAGCTGCTGTTGCACATTTTGGGGAGGGGGGGAAAGGGTGTTTCGCTCCAAATAATCAATTGGAGACCTTCTTGGTTGAGTATTGAGTTCTGCGAGGAGAAGGAAGAGACATGTAATTATTACTAGGGATCATGGCTGATTTCTTCCTTTCATATCTTCATGACTGTTGCTCACTACTAACTTACCCCCCTGAGTAAAGGGCAAAGTGCTGTATGATGGCATCTGGTACAACAGGAACCGACCAAACTGGTCATAGAGAAGGGCCAATGGCCTCAGTGGCTGAGTTTCTGTTGGCGGTTCAGGATGATAGTATCGAACGCAGAGTGTCTGGCATGGTACAGCTGTGGGAGAGAGCCCCCTGAGCCTCCCGGATGAAGTCCTCCACCACTCATGATCGGGGAGAATGAACGGATTCAACAGCTTCATGGCATGCTACTGGACTAGTAATTAATTATTTGTATCGATGAAAATGAAGCTGCAGGGTAAGGCTGCATTGTTCTAGCAGAATTGTGCAGCGAGACCGGTTTCAAAATTGACAGAATGGATCTCTCATAAAGATATCATGAATAATGCCAGTAAGAATGAGACAAAGGAGGACTTGACCTGTCTCCGAGACCACCTTGTCCTGACAAAAAAAAAAGGAATAACAGATCCGGTAAAGCTCGTGTTGCCAGTTGTAAATATCTGGTCAGCAATGAAGTTTACAGACGGAATTCTAAAATATCTCAACAGCTGGAATAAGTTTCTGGAAGCTGTCTGGCTGTCTGACTGTCTGTATCAATATATCAAACAATGCATCTCGGCAGACTCGCTATTCTTTTCTTCTTTTCTTCTTTTCTTTGCTTTTTCTTTCTCCTTTTCTTTTTCTCTCCTTTTTGGGGCATTCCATTTTTCCATTTTCCTTCGGCTTCTTTTTCCATTTTTTCTTCTTTTCTTTTTCCTCCCCCCAGGCTTTGCGCCCACTGGCTCGCCGTTTCGCAGTGTTTAAGTTGCATTTATTATCCTATTACTTATCCCTCCATCTAGCTACATCGGGAAGCTCGGACCTTAATTGTTAATTCCAAGTTGTGGGTTAGCGTATTTAAATACTGCGTAGTTACGGGCGCCGGTTGAGGTTCTCCTGGTCCTGTCTGTATGTAACTCCAGCCAGGATTGCCCGTACTGGGTCGGATCTGGTCTTGCTTATGCTGTATCCGATGTTGCTATTCCATCCTGCTTATTATCCTCTCCACGTATCGAATTGCTGATGCAATGATGCCAGTCCTGTCTCGACTCGGTATATCTCTCTCGTTGCCAGTGCCTGTAACGCCGCAGTAACTGGCTTGTTCACTTCATTTCTGGGACCGACCCGTTGCTCGACTCCAATTGCCACCATCGCTCCCACCATCGCTCCCACCACCAACACTACCACCACCACCACCACCGCCGCCAACCACTAGTTACTGGTCCTACTCCTCCTACTACTTCTGCTACTGCTACCGTTGCTACTAGCTACTACTACAACTTCTCCTCCTACTACTACGAGCATTACTCTTTACTCCCACTCCTCGCTACTCTTGCAACCTGGCGCAATCCATCGACCCCCGTTCCATCGTAGTCAACCCCTTGCATAGAAAAATAGATGCGTGCTGTTCTTCTCGCTGGCTACCCCAGTACCACGACCGTCGAGCCTGGTTCCTTTGCCTCCCTGCACCTCTTCTCGTTTCTCTCCCGACTGTCCTGAGCTTCCCGTCCACTTATCAATCGATCCTCGCCTGCAAACATCACTGCACTAGCTTCCGCCCTACGGTATAACCTCCTCCAATCGTCGATCCCCCATCTATTTCTCCCTATCTCCATATCGAATCGATTTAGATTACCCAGCCAGTCTAGAGCTGTCCACCATCGGCTTCACTCCCCTCCGCTCCGCTCCACTCCACTCCACTCCACTCCTCTCCACTCCCATCGCCCCCTTTTCCGCCCGACTCTGCTCTTCTCTTCTCATTCTTTACGCGCCATCGCTGGGACCCTCCGTCGGCCCTATCACACCCACCAATACAGTATCTCCATATCTACTGTCCACTATTACCATAACCTTCCTTTTTCCGCCATGAATCGCATACAAGAACACCATGTTCGAAGCCCGTTCTCCAGCCCAACCGACATCGGGAAATCCAGAACCATCCCGGTCCTCTCCTCGTCCCTTGCTCCATCCGATCACCACTCGCAAGGTGATCCCATGGACCTCTCGCCGCCTGCATCGGCTTCAATGGCTCCCCCCACCAACAATAATGGCATCCCTGAGTCGGAACACGGACCGGCTTCCGCAAACCATAATAGCAATAACAACAACAACAGCCATGCCAACCACAGCCATAGTAGCCTCAATAATAATCATGCGAACGGCGCTGGCGCTGGCGATGCATCCTCAGGTGCGATGATGGGAGGTGAGCCTGCCGGCCATGCGCAAAGCCAGCCTACAGGCGCTGCTGCTGCTGCGCAACAACCCAAGGTCGTTCAAACAGCCTTTATACATAAGCTGTACAGGTAGGTTGGGACATCATTTTGCTTCCCCTAAATTGAGGAACCATGTTTGATCCCTAATGCAATTCGCCACTGCACAGCATGCTACAAGACCCGAGTATACAACATTTGATTTCTTGGTCCAGCTCAAACGAGAGCTTCGTTATGTCTCCCTCTCAGGATTTCTCAAAAGTTCTCGCGTACGTTCTCCTTATCCCAGGCTTCTAGAATAGCATTGCTTGTCCGGCTGTAACTGATTACTGACCTATATTGTGCAGTCAATATTTCAAGCACACCAATGTTTCCTCCTTCGTGAGACAGTTGAATATGTATGGGTTTCATAAAGGTACCTTCGGCCATATCCACATAATACCTGGTTTTGAATCAATTGATTCGTTCTAACTCATATTCGACTCTGACCTGTCATATGTTTATAGTCAGCGATGTCTTCCACACAGGATCTCCTGACTCTCAGATGTGGGAGTTCAAGCATGGCAATGGTAATTTCAAAAAGGGAGATGTAGCCGGTCTACGAGAGATCAAACGTCGCGCATCAAGACAGACCCTAATTCATCGCGACTCTTTTTCGGGACACAAACCAAGTTCTTCTCAACCTGCAACTCCCGCTGAACCGCTTCCCGAAGCAGCTGATTCCAGAGTGATCGATTCCAGACTGCTCAATACAGAGCACAATATCTACGATCTTCATGCTCGTCTTTCTCGCATGGAGGAGAACTATTCTCAGTTAAACTCCAGATGTCAAGCCTTGACGGAGAGTTTAGTGCGATGCCATCAAGTGAGAATACTACTACGCCGTTTTTCGGAGCTTTTGGTGAAGAATGTCCTCCTTTACTGATCTGGATTTATAGTGGTCCAATTCCATGTCGCATTTCGTCATGTCCATTGTCCCTGACCCTGATAACGCGATTCATAGAGATGGTGAGTCTGAGCCAATGAGCTTGAGCGAAACGAACGTTGTTTATTTGGGAATCGGAAACCGTTACTAATTCTTTGATCCATCAAAATAGCTGCCAACATGCAACGAGAGATTTCGCGGCAATTGGATGCCATTCGTGCCTATGAGAATCCTCACGAGTCGCTCCTATCCGGTCGACAACCGTACTTTGGCAGCATGACCCTCCATTCCGGTCCGCCACTCTCCCCGCGCCAGATGCCTCAAGACGAGAGCCGGCGCCCCTCCATGGCCCAAGCTCCTGTTCCAGCCCACCTTGCCGTATCCCCTCGTCGATACGGGTCAATTGGTGCCGCTAACTCATCACCAAATTACAACCGCCCCCAAATCCCACCCCAACAACTTGCCCCTCATCCCCTCTCCTCTGTAGCGGCCGCAGGCCCTAATCTCGGCCGCCGTCACACCTCTGCAGACATTCGCGAACATGGTTGGGGAGCAACAAACAACAACGCTACCTCACCCTCCGCCCCTAACCACGCTTCCCCTCAATGGCCACCTTCCCCGCAACAGACCGCTCACCACCCAACCAACACGAACACCAACAACAACTCCATGAATCAAGCCCCTCCGCTCCCGACTGCAGACCACCAACATGTCCGCGATCTCCTAGCCAGGTATGAAATGGGCTGCCCCCGCCGTAACACCAACCAAGACACATCCAGACACTCCTCCCCGCCGCCGCCCATATCTATCGACCCTGTCGCCGCCCCACCTCAGCTGCCCAGTGCAGCACCGCACCCGCCTTATCCACATACATATTCGCAAACACAATCACACCCACACCCACCCCCACATCCACTCGCTGCACACTCCTCGTCCTCGTCCTCCTCGTTGAACCCGGAAAGTGGATGGTCCGTTGGCGGGCCGAAATTCCCTCGCCCGGCTGGGGACTCGTTGCCTGCCACGCGCCGGTCGAGTATGGCAAGTAATGTGCATTCGCTATTGAATCCGACGGCGGCGACGGCGGAGCGGGAACGGCCGGGCGAAGAGGATGGGGTTGGGGAGGATCGAAAGAGGAAGCGGTTACAATAAGAACTGCGGAGGGGAAACGAGCGTAGGTTTTGCTAGATGATTTTATTATTTTTATTTTCATTTACTTATATTTTCATTTCTTTCAATAATTCTACCTCCTGACATGTTTGTTTATATTATAAGTCATGGCATGGCACAGCACGGCAGGTCCACACCTTTCCCCCAAACCGTGATTTGTTTTGGTAACAATGTTTTGTTCTTATCTTCTTGCTTGGACTAACTCAATTTCATCTCTAACCAATCCAAACCGTGTTTTCTTATTTCTTTCATTTACTTCTCCCTCCCACTTTCCTTTCTCATTCTTCTTCCTCCCTTCTTCTCATTTACTCAATTAGCTACTTAACCCTACATTCTTTTTTTTTCTTGATTATAACTTGTGATACACCATATTTTTTTTTTTTTTTTTTTTTTTTTTTTTTTTTTTTTTTTTTTTATTTCTGTGGTTTTTTAAAAGAAGCGCATACATATATATGACCTGTCTAGTGTTGACCTTGTTTTGGCTTGGCTGTTCAACCTTTTTCTACGTTACTATTTACTATATTCTATATATAATGATTATTGGAATGTCGGAATTGTTTGGAATATGTATATGTCGGATTAGTTGCATTTGTCATTTAAATATTGATTTGGCTAATCAAATATGCGTTGATTTTATGCTTCGTTTTGTTCTTCTACATTTATTTACTTCCTTGAGCAAAAGCAACAAAAAAAAAAAAAAAAACAGCCGCTCTCCAACCCATCCGGTCCGACCCAATTCAATCTCATGCCCCAAAATATTTTCCTTGTACTATTAGTCGGCCGGCTGGTCGTGGGCCAGGCAAGAAACATGGGATCGCACGCGGGACGTACTATACATTAGAAACGCAAAAATTAAATCTCGGCACTACGTCAACTGGTCAATGTTGGGTTCAGAGGCATCACCCGAGTTCCCAAGAGATATCCTAGGCAGTCTTATGAAGGACACACACAATAATGAAGGACACACACAATAACAGCGGCCACTGTTATTGAAGCCCGTAACATACACCTGCAGGTGTTGTGGCATGATAATTCCGCTGCTTGGTATGCCAAGGTAGCAAAAGTTACATGATTGATACCAAGTCAAAATCAAGATTTGATTAACAATTGATTACATTCATCATGAACAACAAACTGATTATTTTATTAAAATGGATATTTAATATATATATTTTACATTTTTCTAAAAATTTATCAGAATTAAAGCATTAGAGATCCATCAAGTGCTGGTTTCATGAAAATCTAGATATCTTCTCAAAGACAATCGAATGATAATAAAATGCCGTATCATGGTGTATGAGATATTTGCATTGAGGTGGCAGAGATTGACATTTGTGGCAGAGGTTTGCGCAAGGTGGTGAGAAGTCCTACCCCTCCTCCTAAACCAAAACCAACTTGATTATCAGTGCCGGATCCCATTGCTATCAACTTATATAACTTATATGCGCCATGCACATGAGATATCCGCCGATGGCACTGGTCCGCTCAGCTCACCTCGTTTTCCAAAGATGTTGGGAACTGATTGGGGTTCAATCTTAGCAACAGAATTTCCCTGTTATCTACGAAAATGTGGAATCGATTCTGATGAATTTATTCCAGGGGCCCCGCGATCTATTTATACTGCCTGTTGAGAGTTTTTCATCAATGTGAAAGAGCACACAGAGGAAAGGAAAAATGGTGCCCGACTCCCACGTTTTAGAGTCAGCCATTTTCAATGGGTTGAATTGTTCTGCTACATAAACTGCTACGACTGCTTTTTGTTCCTTTTCCTCTTTTTCTTTTTCGATCGTTCCGATAAGAGCTCGTCGAGATAACTGGCTGGTTTCTTCCGTTGAGCGCTGCGTTGCGGGCTTCCATCATCTGATTTAAGGTCGTCAATATCGCCATTGCCATTTGGCGTTGCAGTCGTCGTAGGGATAGCTATAGCAGCACCATCATCTGTCCCAGCCTGAATTGTCTTCTCCGTTACGATCTTTCTTTTATTCCTGCCCAAGGAAGATCGTCCTTCATCCTCGTCATCGCTTTGTGGCTGTTCTTTGGCATGTTGGCGGTGTTGCTGTTGCTTCTTCTCCAGCACCAGTCGAGGATCCCGTGAACCATTCACCGGCACTTTTGAAGTAAATTTTTTGTAATTCTTGCCCAGAAGCTGTTTTCGTAGTTTCTCGTTGGAGCTGAGCTCTGTGCGATTGAAGCTGTTATCTTCCTGGCTTTTTGGGATGGGTGCACCGAGTCCTAGCCTGGAAGGAAAAGGGCAGTTAGAGTTCTATTTAGTGTGCGACATATAACCGATTTATAGAGCGCAACGATGGTGTATACGTGGGGGTGGACAGGACTGATTGAAGGGATGATAACACACTTCTCCGGAACGGGGGTAAATATCTCGTCCTCTTCCCGCAATAGTTCCTCCTCGGTTTTCGTGTTGGCGATCTCTTCAGCAGTTTTGGGGGGCAGCCATGATGCGATGAGGCGCTGGCTGCGCGCCAGGGCCACGTTCGCTCTGTTGAAGACTATATCTGCTTCGGATGTGGAGATAGACATTTTGAAGTTATTGGCGGATGCCTATAACAACGTTAGTTAGATGTTGTCTCTCACCAGAGAAATATACTAAAAATACATAGCGTGACAGTGTTATTTATTTACCACTAAACCACATCCGTAGCTTGGATATACCGGTCCAATGTTACTGCGACCTCATCCAACCGCAGCGAACTTTCCCCACTGCTTCTTCGTTCCACCCTTCCACCGTTTTCTTCTTCTTCTTTATTATACCATCTCTTTTGTGTTCCTCGCCGAGTTGAATTGTCCACGATGTTCAAACTCGTCCGTAGCAATCCAATTGCTGCCAATTTCAGAGCCTCTGTAGTAAGTTGTCAAACTCTCCTCTGGCTACCATTTAACAACAGCCCCGGTCAGAGAAAAGACATAAATAGTACTAGGAAATAAATATTGGCAATCCCGTCAAATTTATCGTACTTTTTCGAGGCAGAGAAGTAGTGGGATATTACCAATACTTGTGGCTTAGTACAGGGCGTAGTCGATGCTAATTTTTATCCCATCTCCCTTACAGAGGACGCCGATTCCTAGTCGCTTTGCCCAGCAGCAAAGAAGAAACCTCTCCATCCATGAATACCTCTCCGCAAACCTCCTGAAAACAGTACGTACTTCTCCGGGCCATGCCGGAATAGAAAATGATAGGGATGGCACTGATGAAGGGTGGATATAGTATGGGGTAGGCGTTCCTAAGGGCGAAGTTGCCCGAACCGCAGAGGAAGCAGAAGCTGTAGCCAAACAGATTGGTTCGTTCCATTCGATACGGGATAAATGGGTGTCCGTATTGCTAAAAGATCTCTAATAGATGCGGAGGATCTGGTGATTAAGGCCCAGGTTCTCGCCGGTGGCCGAGGAAAGGGCACTTTTGATAATGGCCTGAAGGGTGGTGTGCGCGTTATATATTCGTACGTTTTTTTCTCTCTCGTGTGCGCAACTTTTTCTTAACACATAGAATCTATGCTGAACTTGAGATGTAGACCAACTGAGGCCAAGATGTTTGCCGATCAGATGATCGGCCACAAGCTCGTCACTAAACAAACCGGCGCACAAGGTCGCATCTGCAATGCCGTATATATCTGCGAGCGCAAATTTGCCCGACGAGAATTCTACCTAGCTATTCTGATGGATAGACAGACTCAAGCACCAGTCATCGTTTCTTCATCACAAGGTGGTGTAGATATCGAGACAGTCGCCAAGGAAACGCCCGATGCCATCACCACTACCAGTGTCGACATTAATGTCGGTGTCACAGATGAGATGGCAAGAAATATTGCCAAGGACCTAGGATTTTCGGAACAATGCTTGGAAGAAGCCAAGAATACCATTCAAAAGCTTTACAAAGTCTTCATGGAGAAGGATGCCACACAAATCGAGATAAACCCTCTTTGTGAGACTACTGAGCATGAAGTTCTTGCCATGGATGCTAAGCTTGGATTTGATGATAATGCCGAATTTAGACAAAAGGAAATTTTCTCATGGAGAGATACTACCCAGGAAGACCCGGATGAGGTCAAGGCTGCGGAGTTCGTTTCCCCAAATTTCATTTTCGATAAGTTTACTCGCTGACAAGGAATGTGTTCTAGATCTGGATTGAACTTCATTAAATTGGACGGAGATATTGGGTGTCTGGGTAAGCCAACCATTTAACCGCTGACTTGATGATTCTTTGGCTTACGGCCCCCCAAGTCAACGGCGCTGGCCTTGCAATGGCAACCATGGACATTATCAAACTCAACGGTGGCAATCCCGCCAACTTCCTCGACGTTGGTGGCGGCGCTACCCCACAAGCTATTAGAGCTGCTTTCGAGCTAATAACCAGTGACCCCAAGGTCACTGCCATTTTTGTCAACATTTTCGGTGGTATCGTTAGATGTGATGCCATCGCTCAAGGTTTGATCAATGTAGTTAACGAAATGAATCTTCGCACACCGATTGTTGCACGTTTGCAAGGAACTAATATGGCTAAAGCGCACGAGCTGGTATGGCTATCTATCCTAATTACCACGTAGCCCTCTCTGCAAAAAATAACAATGTGGAAAAGTAGCTAACCATGAACAATAGATCAACGAATCGGGCCTCAAAATCTTTTCCATGGAAGATCTGCAAAATGCAGCTGAAAAATCTGTCCAGTTCTCCAAAGTCGTCAAAATGGCCCGTGATATCGACGTGGGCGTAGAGTTTTCGCTTGGTATTTAAATGAAAAGCCACATGGTCTCCGAGCTGTGCTATTTTCTTTCTTCCATTCCTCTCCTTTGCCGTTATCTGTCTCCCTTGTTCTTGATACGCTCCGCGCATACGTCACCATGTCTGCAATCCGCCCAATCCCCAGGGATGTGTATTTGTATACGTTCGTACTCATGATAATGATTTCAGCATCCTGGTTCTCTAATGAATACGGTACACACCCATGCGCACACGTTTCCTAGCTGCCTGATGCGGGAAACCCTGCTCTCGTCTCCGACACTATGTTTAAAAGAAACTGCAAGTGGTGTTCCCGGGAGTATGCTACAGCGCGTGCACCTCTGCATTCTCAACAGTAAAACCTCTTTCGACAACAAGAACAAGGTTATCCCCTCTTGCATAACTCTTTGCCGCCTTCCATTTCTACCTCCTTAATTTAAATCTCGTGGGTTGCCTATGTGAGGGGTTCTCTGTTTTTCTGTGTGATTTTCTGGATAAAATAAACTTTTAAGGTGCTGTGCAAGCTCCGCACCGCCCACGGCCCTACCCCCTTTTGTACCATTGCTGCCATTGGATGTCATTGCCCATTTCTGTTGTACCTTATTACTTTTTATAGAGGTTGTTATTTTCGCATAAGTGTACTTATGTATTTTCTTATTTACTGCTTTGCTTGGGCTTATGTGCATTCTTGGACCATGTTCTACTCTTATTTTCCCTTTCTACTCAATGTAGAATGGACTGGCTAGCTGAAATATCATCATCGTACATTTCTAGAATCCATTTCTAGAATCCACGAGTATTCGGATCCATATATGCGGTAAAATGGCTCGTTAATCGGGGGCCCCAAACCACTAGAAATAGTCCCAATTTGGCTAATTTGGCTACCTGGGAAGGATGGATATTCAATCTTTCCCCCACCATATTGTCGCGATCTTGCAAATGACGAACAGTATAGTACAATAGGGAGAGGGGAATTTATTAAAATACCTTCTAAACCTAAGTCTCTCTCCATTATCATCATCCATCCTCCTCTCATCCACTTCTCACCATCTCACCCCCTCACTTCCTCAACTTCCACAAATTAAATGTCCTGGACATCCACCACTGGATCAAACCAAACCACGTCCACCCGCAATTCAAAAACCATAAAAGAGTTGACCGATTCCCTGCCCAAACATACTTACCACTCCTGCGTATTCCAGGGCCCCCAAACGGCCACAGAAGCAGCCAGCGGATCCAACGCAACGGGGCCGACCCATACAAGACCTGGGTCACTACGGTTCGTGCGTAGGCTTCGTTTGACAAGGCGCCCTCCTGGCTGTGGCCGATGCGTCGTGCGTACTCGGCTTTGACGGGCTGATACAGGGAGGTTTCAGGGAGGGTGTGGGCTGCACGCGCGATGTTAGATTTCACGCCGCCCGTTATTATGGTTGTTACCTGGACTCTGGTGTTATGAGAATCAGGAATGGAAATGGTATGGTTAGCCTTTGCGGTCCGCCAATTTGGCTTTGGTTTGATGCAATCAATTTTTTTTTTAAAGGTGGGCGCAAGGGTCGTTATCTGGGTAGGGAATGAAACAGCTGTCTTGGACCGAAGGAGGGGTTTTCAACGAACCCGAATGGCGCAAGTTCTACTCTGAGAGAATCACTGAGAGAGTGGAGGGCGGCCTTTGACGCATTGTAAACGCCTCCAAAGACATATGGGATTATCTGGGATGAATTTATCAGTGAAATCTACCCAGAAACGAAACTGTATCTATAAGGACTTAAAAACACTTACTCCTGCAACGGACCCTATTTGAACGATTGTGCCCTTGGCCTTTATAATCAACGGTGCGAATTCTTGGCACATTGCAATGACTGAGATGAAATTAGTCTCGAAGACTTCTCGGGCTTCTTGGAGGTTAACGTCCAAGACAGGGACGGTATAGCCTAGTTCATCTAGGGTTAATATATGTTCGACAATGCATGCCTAAAGCATAGCAGAATTGTTCTCATGTCTTAATTTTTCAGACCTCCTATTCCGACGGTACAGATTAACATACCTAACCCACTACTTTAAATTAGCATTGGTTAATCAATTCAAGAAAAGTTAGGCACCCACGCATTGTTAACCAGATAATCAAGACCTTTCCCCTTGAGCAAAAGCTCAACTTCATCACGGCATGCCTTCCTACTCTCCTCCTTATCCACGACTAAGCTCAGCGTTTCAATCCCCTGTTCTTTGAGGCTGATGAGTGCACTTTTATCTCTTGCAGTCGCGAAGACGCGGAGCCCGTTGCGGTGGAACTCTCGCGCCAGGGAATGGCCAATGCCACCGGGAGAACAGCTGTATATGCGTATTACACAGTCAGCAAACTCGGCTATTCGTGTGATACGTTAAATATGTGCATATGAAAATATTGATTTTCACAACCTACCCTGTGATCAGGACGGATTTGCGGTTGTCAGCCATTGGCAATAAGAATACTTGTGATTGTTCCCCTTCCAGGCAAACGAATTCGTGGTAATCCTTTGACAAAGACGTATCTAGAAAAGAATTGTTATGGTTTGATTTAGAAGCTCAGCTCAACCAATAAGTCTGGGTAGAGAAAGCTGTTAGTGGGTACTACGGCTACCCTATCACGTGCCCCCCAACATATTGTATTGCTCTCGCGTAGTTAGTTTAGTAATGACTACCAACGTTATCCTCCTACAAAAGCGCATATCACATGATATCCGGCCAAATTCCAAGGCTGGGAGAAGTACTAATGCAGTTATTTCAAGTTCCCGAAGCTTCAAGCTGGTGCAGGTATCCGTTGTAAGATGAGGGATTGATCCTTCTGTTGCAGTGGAAAAACCGCACAAAATCCCGTCTCACAGGGGCTGTGATAAAACGGTTCTATACAACCGTTATTTGACTCAAAGCACCCAGTTACACAAATTGAGTAACGCATAGAAATTGGCTCTCTTCAAGTTGGAGTTGTTTCCGGCCATAGTTATCTAGAGCCTCCAGTCGTTCACATCTAGGATTCATAATAATAACAGCCTCAAACTTTGAGGGTTCCCTGGCAGGCAGATATAGTATATTTGACTTCCAGGAGGAGAGGTTTGACATCATCCGTATCGGCGATTTCTCACTGAACATCGTGAACACGATTCCGATCAATGGACAGTGTGCCGCAACAACCAACCCTTCAAATCTCCTATATGAGAGAGGAACTGACAGCCCACCATTTATAACGCTGGCTGACCGGCTAGCCTCGCGCTAGAGACTCTCCACCACCAGGCAGACCTGGTTCCCGGCAGCAGAGGATCGAGCTCAGCTGTCTATCTACGGCTATTTTATAGGACATCATGACCTCAATCAACGTCCTTGAGGTCTTTGATATCCAGCGGCCGTCAAGTTTTTCTTACATGGCTTCTGGATGCTATTTGTCTCGAAGCGCGGAAACTGCATGTGTCTGAGGTGCTGGATGAGAACGATATTACCCAACGCCGCGAATATACAAATATATATATTTTGAGGTATTGTATGATTGTATTCTTGTGGATAAACCCGGGATATTTCACTCTCCATAATCAACCATCCGGGGTGTATCTATCTACATGGAAACCGAACAAGCAATTTTCATATCCTGCGTAATGTGAGTTCTTACTGATACTTCATAAACTCCCTCACCGAGAGCGCTACTGACAACCTGGAGAGAGTAAAGCAAAATTTCCCCGCATTTTAGAAAGTTCATTCTCATAGGGCAACAATGCAGAGGAAAAAAGCAAAAGAAAAAGCAACGCTGTTAACGCTCCAAAAATTGAGGGGATGGCCCCTCATGCCGTCACATGGCGACATTTGAACCTTGTGCCATTTGTTCAAAATGAGCTAATCGTTCCTCTTCAATACGTGATATCCCCTCTGTGACATTTTATGCTCTGACGATTGAGATGGGCGAGGCGATGGAAAATAGTTGTGGAGGGGTTGGGGATTGGGGGTTGGAGGAGGAGAACTCCGTATATATATACCATTCTACCTTCCAAGATGCCAATTGTTCAATATAGTTGAAAGGAACTGGCGATTTCGGATCCCGATATTCGATCTGGCATCAAGACACCACAAGCTATGCGAAAAACTCCAAGTGGAATTTACTTCTTGTTCATGTGAGTGATGGCTTTCATGTATTGCAAAGGACAAGATATTCACTTTCCTATGAAAATATTTCAGATGAAACTGCCATATTTCCCCCAAAGTGGATATTTGTAGTTTATTTGTTATATTGTAAGACAAATAATCAACAAGCTTGACTTTAAGATGATGTTCTTTTATGTTATTACCCAATCCAAACTGCAAATGGGACTGGATGCCATCTATGAGAATAACAAACAACACTCCATATACATTTTGAGATCGTCTACTAATTATGGCATTCAGATCATCCAACTCCGAAACACGACAGGGAATATATAAATTTACAATATTCCCAGATCTTATTCTAAAGGCACAGCTTATTTGCATCGTATATATACAAAATACCACGAACCAGCCACGACAATGGCAACTCCAATCCAACAAAATCTCCACGACCAAAATACCCAGTATGCAAACACCTTTGATCAGGGCCATCTTGCCCTGCCACCCGCGAAGAAATACCTCGTCCGTATGTCCATGGATAATACATCCCCTCCCCAATCTCTCCCGGAAAAGAAACACCTTAACACTGCCTACCAGTAACATGTATGGACGCCCGCATCGACCCTGCCGCTGCATTCGGCATATCCCTCGGCGATGCCCATGTAATCCGCAATGCCGGTGCGGACGCCAGCGATGCTCTACGCTCTATTGTAATCTCGCAGCAGCTGCTGGGAACTCGAGAGATCCTACTCGTCAAGCACACGGGCTGTGGCATGTTGACATTTACCAATGAACAGGCGCATGGGCTCGCTGAGGAAAATTTAGTGGGCGATGTTGCTGCTGTTGCTGCTGCTGCTGCTGCTGCTGATGGTGATCAAAGTACTGTGGATATTGGGTTGAAGGTGCGCCAGGCGCTGAGGAGCGAGCTGGCGGACTTTCGGCCGTTTCCGCAGCTTGAGGAGTCTGTGAAGGGGGATGTTAAGTGGTTGAATGAGCATGTGCTCGTTACATCTGGGATTCCTATTTCTGGATGGGTGTATGAGGTTGAAACGGGGAAGGTGAGGAGGGTTGTTTAAAACCGTGGAGTCATGGATTTTCATCATCTGATGAGGTCAATTCTATTTAAATGAAGTATGCTGTTCTATATTTGCCGATGGATGCTAAAATGAGGTAAATTATACCTATTTGGGCATCCAATTTTTCCCTTCATCCATTTGACTCCCTAACTCCAATGGAAACACCATTCACACACACACACATAGATATATATATATATATCTCAGCCAAGAAGGAAAGAAAAGAGGAAGTAACAACCTAATCAAGAGCTGTTATGGGCATCACAAAACCCAGACAACCTTCCTCGAGTTCTCCCCCCAGCCAAGAAAAAAGAAACGAAAAAGAAAAAGAAAAATAAATACAAAGGAGAAAACTAAGGAAAAAAATTCTGACTTTGTTAAACTAATAATCCACTCTTACCGATCTTTAGTAATTTATCCACCCTGGGTCGGGGGCGCAGCTGGCTGAATCTCGCTCATCTTAAACCCACCCTCATCCTTATCCTCGCCCTTCCGTGGCCATAAGATATGGCGCAAAATGATTGCCCGCACCATCATACTCGTGACAAAGCAATATGTCACCACTAGCAGGACGGCCATCACACAGCCCACGACCTTGATCGCCTCAGACCTGAATGCATTGCCGATGGCGAAAGTGGCAGCCGCCAGCGCCGTGTTGGGGAAGACGAATGAGTACCAGGTCATGGAGAAGATCATACGTCCACGGCCAACGGCTGACCAATGGGCGAAGACGGCAATGAAGAAGAAGAAGATGGCGAGGCTGGGTTATTTTATAGTTTTTTTGCGTTAGGGTCTCGCTTCTACACATAATGATTTCAGAAGATACGTATCTGCATGAATGAACATACCCCCAAAGCCACAACGCAGTGAAATTCGCCACGATGCGAATGACATCCGCAGCCAAACGGCCGTCGCCCATGAAGCCCGGCGGGAACGCCCGGCTCGTATTGTTGGCCATACCCACTAGGCCAGCGACTGTAAACGCACTCGGCCCCACGGAGACAAACATGCCAGGACGCAGATTTTCCTTCGGCAGCTTCTGCGTCATCAGTCTGTATATGAATGCTGAGTAGACTGTCAATGAGACAAGAAATCCGACGCCTTGGATGGTCGTGCCTCCGATTATCATGTCGAGAGATCGTCTCTGCGATAAGCTCTTGCTTAACACGCTGGCGTGAGAACCGATGATCAGCATCGGGTACGCGGGGAATATCCATATCGGTGTCATCTGGGCGATTGTAAAGGTTTGAGTTGACCATCTAGACAAAACCGAGTCAATAGATGTTCAAAAAGTGGATACAAGGTACGCACATAGTCAAATATATGCCGGCAGAAAATATTACAGCCAGTGTGGCGTTGACCCAGAATAGGATCCACATAGTTGTACTGAGCCATTCTCCGGCTTTCGGAGGGCCATATTGTGAGAGATTAATAAGGATAGTCCCAAACGAGACGATCGACGCCGGAACATATAGAGACTCTGTCGGATGCGTGATGGATGCTTTGAATGTATATGGGTAGTAATAAAACCGTGTGAGCAACAGGCCCCAGATGCAGAAGTATAAGAAAATGTTGATAAGCATGACAACACTGCCTATTGTATCTAGGCCTCGGAAGCGGTATGGAACTGGCAGGCCCTTTAGTATTCATATCCAAGTAGAAGTAAGATTGGCACATATGGGAGAAAATAGACATGGACCGCAGAGGGATATAAATTATATCTGTTTGACATACTTAAATATAACACATTCGCCAAGCCCCCCGTGGCCATCGTCAGGGTGAAAAACGCCCAGGTAAAGTGTCGAATTCTCTCCTTCCAAGGTAAGTCCAGCGGCAGCGAATCAACATCGTTATTACAATTGTAGAAGGATTCGGAAATATTGGTCGATTTCCTCTCGTTAAGTTGCATTCCAGTTGTACTGGCATCATGGCCGATGTGTCTCGAGCCGGTAGCGTATTGAGATGCGCGAGAACGGAGTCGATCAAGGACGGGCGTAATGGGCATGTCACATTGTGATTCCGATACATATAGCAATTCTTCTGCGAATGGAAACTCGCAATATTTCTCAACATCTTCTATTGTAGGCGTACGGTATCCATCGTCGCCCGGTCGGCGGAAGTGGCGTGGGATAGAATCCGGCGTCTGCATCGCCCGCTCTCAAGGGGCCGGGCATATGTATGATGTTTTTGGCTTCAAGACGCAAAACCCCGGGCTTAAAACCTTGGAAAGGGAGAAAATTCCTTTCAGTATAATGGCTGAAGTTCTGATTTTATAACATGCTTGAACACGTTTGTAAAAGTCGTTGGAAGAGGCGTTTCAAGCTGCGGACCAAACTGAAGGCAATCCTGAACCTTGGTTCGAAAGTTTATGGATTTATCCGTTATAGATAAATATTGCGGATGCACAGTAAATAAGTCGATATCGATCATGATATGAAACGGCGAGGAGTAGTTAGTTTTTGGAGTTTTTAATCTAATCAATAAAACTACTTGAAAAGAAGTGGAAAAAGAAACGAAAACACTAGCATCAGACAACATCAAATGAAGAGGGGTAGCCGAATATTTTTTTCCCTTTCACCGCCGTGTCCTCCTATCAAAACTGTTCGGCGATCTGGCAGTTGATGTTGAACCGTTTAATTCTCGTCAACATGGGACAGAGCAGGTTTTTTTATGTAACTTGTTTAGGCGTCATTGGTGCTTTGCAAAAAGTTTCCCAGCCGGGGCGAATGTGATGTCAGCTAGTGAACCATAAGCCTTAGACTGTTGGCTCCCCTTTGCCCGCTTGCAAGGAGTCCCATATTTAGTTGGCTTAACCTTGTTCATGGCATCGCACGGACACCCATATATATTTGAACATTTTAAGAGCAAAAAGATCTATAGAGTATGGGCGAATGCATGATGTATGATATGTAGATAGGAATGATAGGTATATACATATATATATATATACACACACATATAGTCGAAAAATAAATTGGGAAGAATATATAATATATCACACAGAGAGAGCAATAAAAAATAAAAAGGAACCACCTCGTCTACTTAATAGACAAAGTCCCGCCGCTCTATTGGTCTAATTAATTATCTCATGGATGAAATAATACTCACCCTTCAAATATTTGGTGAGAGCAGATCATACTTAACGCACATCTCCACACTCTCAATGCTCGCTTGCAGAAATGTCCGCGCCTCAAGCCCAACCCATACCTTCAGCATCGACGTATCGCCCTCCCGCACGGATTTGAGCAATGTCGTGCCAGCTCCAAGTTGCCGGAGGATGGGGAGTGCGCTGACAATACAGGTCAGCATGTCTTGTTCAGAAAACAGTTGGAAAAGACAAGAAAAGAAATAGGAACGTACCTCTTAAACAAATCCAACTCGGGGTCCATACTCCGCCCAATCCCTTCCAGTAAAAGGATGGATATGACGACATTGACAAAATCTCCCTCAAGCCGCACGTGGTGGGCGCGCACCATATACAACACCTGGCTCAGAACATCGCCAATCTTGACATTGCCTAGCGCAAAGGTTCTCCCCTTCACCGCCAATACGAGATGCTGCATCTTCAGAGCAAATATCTCCGGGTCGATCACAGCGCCCGGTTGCCGGCATCGCTCCACCATTAGGTGGCCAGATTTGTACCCGTCAAACTCAGCCACTGCACGGAACAGGTCGAGGAAGTTGCGACGGTTGTGACCGTTAAGCTGAGTGACGAGGCCTGTGTCAATGAAGATGAGTTGCGGCCGATAACCTTCCTTGTCGATCTCTGAGAGAACAGCATTCCACTTCTCTGGGTCCCCTTGGTGAGGCCGGAGACGGTCGAGCACTGATTCTGTTTCATCGACTTGGGTTTTATCTCTAGCGGGCGTGTTTGGTTGGTAAGTCTTGAGAGAGAGATCGAGATGACCTGGTTTGTAGAAACGGACCATGATGTTGCCGGGGTGGAGGTCCGCATGGACGAAGTTGTCGATAAGAAGCATGTGTAAGAAGGCATCGAGTCCCTCACGGGCTATTTCCTGTTGGTATACGCCCCCACCGCTCTCCAGGAATGTAGATAGCGGGATGCCCTGGGCATATTCTTCAACCAGTACCTCCCTGGTTGCATACTCAGAATATGGATATGGGAACCATGCAGTCGTCCGCGATTTAAAGTTGTTACGGAAAATCTGGAGGTTTGCAGCTTCAATCCGCAAATCCAGTTGAAGTCGCATCATGTTTCCAAACTGCTTTACTTCATCCGGGAAAGAAAACCACTCCAGTGTAGGAATTGCATTGATTAGGTGTGCAAAAAAGGTCATGATCCGGAGATCTCGCCGCACAATTCTCTGAACATGAGGATGTAGTACTTTTATTGCAACATACGACGAAGGCACCCGCTGCGGGCTGCTCTTAACCAATGTATCCACATTCCTTTTCAATTTAGCGCGCAGGTTCTGCGGCTTATCATCCAAAGCTATTTTATCCTGCACACCAAGATCCGGACGCAGCTTTGCCTTGTATACTTGTGCAATAGCCCCAACCCCTAGGGGCTTCTCGTCAAATTCTTCGAAAATATCTTCAAACGGCAGGTCGAAAGCTCTGCTTATAATCTGCTTTGTAGCATGTAATGAGTGAGCTGGAGCGTCCGAATGTAGTGAAGACAGCTCCGCGCACAACTCTGGGGGAAATATATCAGACCGCGATGCCGCCCATTGACCTAGCTATATTATTATTTAAACACGGATTTAATTAGCAAATTCCATCTACCCTTCCTATTACCGAATCACACCTCCGTTCCCCTTCTTTTGACGGAAGGGAAAAGCCCACTCACCTTAATAAACGCCGGCCCGGCCCTCTCCATCCCCCCAACTAAAAACCCATACCACCAAAGTGTCCCACTCCTCTCCCCATCCCGTTGCTTCACTCTCCGACCAATCCAAATTGCCGGCACAGTGGCAATCACTGGCACAAAAATCGCAACGAGATACAAAATCCGCAGCGCCGTCGCGACGGGCTCCACAACATACCGATCCACGAAAACATATACACTCCGGCAGAACCCGACGATGCCATGCAGGTCGTCTGGAACCACCCGCCGCGCTTCCTCGCGGGATGCGGCGAGCATCTCGCTCTCCGCGGTCGTGGTGTCATCCTCGATGCCGTTTTCAGCGAGCTGGAGGAAGGCAGCTGGAGTTAGAGCGGCGGCCAATAGGAAATATTTTGTCTTGGGCCAGGTATGTGGGCGGCGAGGGGAGTGGTAGTAGCTCCGCCATGGAAAGTGATGGTGGTGAAGGGGTTTCCGGCCATGGTGTTGACGGCATAATTGGCGTATGAGGTGCGGGTGACCAGCGGAAGAGGGAGGGGGGATTCTACCAAGCAGAGAGCGACATAGTTGAGATGTGGGTTTCGGACAGAGACGGCCCAGCCAAAGGGCCGTTCTCATATTATCGCGAGTTAAGGCGGCTTCGTTTAGTGATTGTCATTAGTTCGTCCTGCCAAATACCTTGTTATGCTGTCAGTTGTTGCTGCTATTAGTGTACTGCGAGTATTGTTCATGATTCTGTCCAGCACTCTCAGCATTGGATAGAGAGAGGTTGGTAGTTGATTTGGCTCGACGTCATTAGTTTTCCCGATACGAAGCTAAATATTGTAACTATATGATTCTGGCCTGGAAAGAAAAAGAGAGAAAAAAAAAAAAAAAAAAAAAAAGAGAAAAATATTTACAGCGAAATACACGCCCAGCACAGCCAAATATTTGATAATTTCACAGCACTCATAGCTAATCCCGGTCAGCGACGAACAGTAAATAAAAGTCGGAGGAGCTCCTCTCTGCACGTAGATACCCTGCATGGATGCTCATAGCCACTAGTTATCGACTCCGCAAAAGGCGGCGTTGCTCTTCGCTCTTCGCTCGTCACACTAGGTCTCGAAGAAGCCAGCAATTCCACTGTTCACATGCTATCACACATTTGATACTAGTATAAACAAATGCACATGTAAAATATACAACATCTCGTCCACAAGCCGAATAGTAGACAAGAAACACCAAAAGACATGGATATCAACACGAAAAATAGCATTTTCCCTAGCGGCTTCTTCGTACATGGAGAAACTGCATTGCTTCTGAAACTCATGCACCGGCGTGAGATCCACGCCCAGAACTGCTGTTATATCTGGGAGACCTGCCTCCTTCATCCGATTGACGCTATCCTGCACAGCAGATAAACACTCTTGTCCCAAATGGAGGGGCATCGGATGCATAGGATGAGCAGGTGTTAGTTACCTGGAGTTTTTCTAATTCCATCAGGAACAGAGGCAAAAAATTCCGGGTGCTTCCGTCGAATCGCAACGGCAATAGCTAGGTTAGCAATCCGACGAATATCTCCAGTGCCAAAGTCCAGGATGGGTCAGCAAGGCCGATGTGAGACACCACAGACTTTGCAGTCATTTTGATCCCTTAAAGCTTGAGTTTGGGTTCCGCAGACAAGATCATGATATCGGCTTCAAGTCCGAAAATCTTCTGGGTGAACTCTGCAAAATAATCGCCCAAGAGTCAGAACTAAGGATTACCAATGTCTCCTCAACATTTGAGGTAATCGTCAGCTTTTGCCTTAACTAAACCAACTGCTAGCTTCCAAATGCGCGACGCCTGAGGCTGGGTGGGCCCTCGACCGCTTTATTTAACCCCATGCTTTGGGAGTGGAATTGCAACTCCTATCCCGGCATTGGAATCCTCAACACCACGCAACGCGACAACGTAGAAACCTCGCTACATGATGCTAGGCAACTTCTTAACAAGCTCCCATAAACAACACAGCTTCTTCTTTCATTTCAAGCTCCATTTTTCGTTCCCGCCGTTCCTTTCTCCTTCTCTGCCACCATTAATTTGTACTTTTTCAAACTCCTTGGCATGCTTCCGGAGCAGGTCACCCCTGCTTTTCCACTCCTCCCAGTCCCCAAGATTCAAATTTTCACCTCAGGCCATTCCTCTTGCATTCTTATGATCCATATGAAGGTTTTCCTTGTTTATGCGCCGGAAGCAATGCCTCAACCTTTTGCGGAACAATCTTCTATAGATTCCTCTGGGTGCTCTGAGGGTACGGCCAGGCAAACGATGATGGCATCACAGGGCACGGACGCAAATGGGAAATCGGGGATAGAGTATAGGCTGTATATATATATATCACTCTGATGGAAGAAGCCGTTAGTTCGAAACGCGAATACGAAGACATCCTATGGATATCAAGTAGTATATGAGATAGATAGTCCACTTCAAGGCTTCCTCGCGGCGCAACTGCCAATAACCCCTATCTCCGAAATGTTATATATAATCAATCAAAATCGACGTGGAACTTTTTTTTTTTTTTTTTATTTTAGAGCGAGGGGCTACATAACAGGGGCTCCATTACTCAGATAAATAGTACCATTCGTGCAAAAAGAGAGACCGTTGAAAATGATCAAAAAAGCAAACGATAGTACAGTACAAAGGACAAATAATGGCGAATGACCTTCGAAGACGCAAGGGGCCAGAAGGGCTCGTTCGACTTCTTACTTGGTTGAGGCCGTTAAATAAACGGGAAAAACATTTTGAACAATTTTTGCAAGTGGTCAAAGCCCGGAGTCCAGCTCTAAAAAAGGTGACGCTAATGACATAATTGGCAAGGGCGATCTTATCTTATCTGCAGCTCAGTTGAGCCCTCCCTCTCTTTCGTCACCTTGAAAACTGATCAGTCTCCAACAAAACCCGACAGCAATGAAACAATTCAATTCATCAGAGGTTGCCTCCCATCCATATCCGGATCTGCACCACCAAGGTATTTCCACAACCGACTAAGCTCGCGAACTGTCATTCCATCTCTATATCTCTTAACACCGCCTTCGTCGTCCTCGTCGGGCTCATCCACACAAATCCCACTGCCATTACTCACTGACATAACTCCGCCACTAACCTCACTGCCACCCCCATTTCGACTAACCGGAGCAGATGACTCACAGCAGACCGGGCTTTCCACTGCCGAAGCGGCAGCGGCAGCATAATAAAAAGCCTCCCTATCCCGACATGTACGCTCGTCAACTCTAACCGCTTGATCCAGGAAGTCATTAGGCGCATCGGGGCGATTACTCCCATGTCGCAGCTGAGGCGTAGTATCTAGGGGAAACATATTGTTCAAATAATGCTGATTGAACATATGACCCGTCGCGCCTTTCCGGATGAATACTTTGCCACTATATCGCGTCTTGGTCAAACGGACGTTGTACAGAACACCCCATTGCGGCACGATGTCCTCTCCATTGACGTAGTGCTCAATGTGTCTGATGACGCCTTTGGAACTGCGATTTCGCGGCAAGAGTGAGGTAGAGATGGGTGTTGTAACGGTCTGGATAGCGCGCATGGGGTTGTTGAAATGTGAAGCGGCCGAGCCGAAGGTGTAGACTTCGAGTTTGGCCATGTTTTCTGCGGAGAGGTCTGTGAATAGGAGGTCTAGGGCCATGGAGACTATGATGCCACCCTGGGAGTGCGCGATTAGGACTACCTTATGCACCGTCGGGTCTGTTAATGAGCGTTTGAGATAGTCGTAAGTATAGCGTGTACTGTAGGTGTCGTAGGCGAAAGATCGTTGGAAGAGGCATTCGAGGAGGTCCCAGAGGAGGCCGTAAGTGGGGTTGTGGATTCCTGTGATTGGGCGGCCGAAGGTTTTGGAGAGGCGGTCGCAGTTGTTTCTGAGGCCCTGATTTCTAGAGCAGTTATGCGGCGTTTAGAAGAACTCTCCAGAGGTAGTCTTTTAAAAAACGAGGGGAAGGGTAGAATTTACCCAACCATTACTCCATTCACAAAAATCCACCTCTCGCCTTTCCGAACATTCCCACAGTCTTCCTTAAGCCCGGCACACGACTCCACCACCATCGGCCCCCGAATCGGCACACAAAGACCCCATATCAACCCAACCGCACCCACGAGAACCCCCATGCTCAACCACCCAGGCAAAAACGTCACCGCCATCAAGACCAAACCGCATAGAAGCGTCTCGAGGGCGGTGACAGTGGCCAAGCCACATAAGTACCAGATATTCCGAGGGTTGAGGGAGAGTTCATCGGTTGGGTCTTTGGAGGTGAACGGGATGAATAGTTTGGGGAGCTGGTAGAGGACGGAAGAGAGGGTGCGGATATCCCGCCAGGTGAGGGCCAGTGGGGTTTCAAGGGCCCGAGGGGTTGAGGTGCAGCCTTGGTTGTCTGATTGTGGGGGGATGTAGCCAACTATGCTTGGGTCTGGTGGTTTTTCTGGGATCATTGGGGAGTGTGCGTTTGATAGATGGATGAATGAGTACCGGTGCTCAGCCGCTAGAAGGAGGGATGAAGAATATATGAGCTAATGGGTATACAGGCATTTCTTTGATTCTGTTTCCTTTTCTTTTGCTTCCTCTTTTCTGATTATTTTTTTCTTTCTCTTCTCCCTTATTTCTTCTCCCTTGTTTTTGCTGTCTAGAAGAAATATGGGTCTTGTGATTTTCAAGGAAACAAAGTAGAGGATTAGAAGAAGAGCAAAGAGCTAAAACGAAAATGAGAGAGAGAAATGTTTGATATCCACAGCGATTGCGAAAAGCCGTTTCATATGACATGTTCCCAGGGTCTTGATCCATCACATGGTTGAGTAAATATAGCAACACATGGCTTGCCACCACCCCCGCAGCCACCCACACATCCAAAGGCAGAAACATCAGACAACTTCTAGGCTGAGCTGGTTGGGGACCGCGGCCCGTGCTCTGGTGAGAAGCACACAGCTATTGGTGATCAATCAAAGGAAGGGAGGAGAAACGCAAGGCAGAAACAAAGGTTTGTGGGAAACTCCGTTTCAGCTGGCCCACAGAGTGGAGAACCACCCTTTGATGAATTTTTGGGCATAATGAATACGAAGCCGCAGGCAGAAATAGCACCTTTAGGAGGATGAAGTTGTTTGTTCGGCTCTGCCTGGAGGAAGTTGAGGCTGGGTTGGAGAGCTATTATCACATGATTAATTATGACTTGCCGAAGTCATCAAAGTAGCATGAAGGACTGACTCACTGAGCTATACAAAAGATGTTTCACAAGATATCGGAACCATACAACGAAAGACGGGAGTTGAGTATGACCTGCATTATCAGCACACCTAGAAAGGTAAAGAACCAGAAGAAAAACTCCATCCAATATGTTATGCATCCGTCCCAGGCCAGCTCATGAACTTATCCAGCGAAACAAGAATAAAGAAAAACATAGTGTACCAAACATACCATGGGCTGAAGAAAATGGAAACAGATACGAGAAAAACGACAGAAAAATACTAGGTAATACAAATACAAAAGGGGACATGCATAAATGGCTGTAGCAGTGTTGGCAGATGCGTATTCACCTCCCATGAATCCCATGAGTATTTATCAGACAATACTCATAAAAATCCGAAAAAGAAAAAAAATGTACAGTTCCAAATTAGACAGGGAACAATTAAATGTCTAAAAAAAAATTATTTCTTCTCCGACTCTCTTGCGGCTCCACCGCTAGCTCTCCACCATACATCGCCGCCCCATCTCATCATCCGCTCAATCGCTGCTGTAGGTGTATCGATTGCAGGGCGGATATCCAGATAAAATACCGGCTCGCCATCCGGCCCCGGCGGTCCGGAGTAATAATCAATCACGTAGCGAACTTCTTTAGGTCCAGAAGATGTCTGGCGCTGTACATACCAGTCGTGACGGTCGAAAGGGGGTGATGTTCTTTTTTTTTTTTGAGATCCGTTACGTTAGACATACATACCATAGCGGGGCGGTTGAAGCAGAAAGTTGGATCGACAGGCGCAACTCACCCAAATTTGGCCGGATAAACCCAGCCCAACGCCTGCAAAATGGTTGCCTTGGGCGTCCTCTCCTGCGGCCTACCCATGAATCTCACCAAGCGCGGCTCAGCACGCGGCTCACCCTCTCCACCACTCCCCATCTCCCTCTCCTCCCGATGCTCCTCCCTCAACAAATTCAAATCCCCTCGCTTACACCGCAGCCATCCCTTCCACAGCCCGCCCGCAAACGTGCGTTCCCAGCCCACAATCTCCTCCCACGCGCCCTCGTTGAGGAAATTATGCACGGCAACCATCGCCTCAACGGCGTCCTGCGGCGTGTCCGAGTAACCCTTGCGGAGGAGCGCGTTGTACATCTGCTGGGGCGACGGGTATTCCCACCTGCTGCTGGAGCTGTCGGCGCGGGGGATGGAGGAGACCTCGCGCTCGACGCTGAGATCGACGGTCTGGTTCGGCGCGCGGCTTTGCGGGATCGAGGCGAACATGTAGTTTAAGGGATTGAGTCTGGAGAGGGTCGATTGGGGTTGGGATGTTGCGGTGTCGGGGGAGGAGGTTGGGTTGAAGGGATCATCCTTTGCGCGGACGGGGCAGGAGGGAGCAGGATGTTGTTGTGTGTCATTCTTGTTCTGGCCTGGAACGGTCCTGATGGGACAACCGGCTTCGCACTGTGGGCGTTAATGGATCTAGTTAGCCAATATGTTCAAGAAAATGGGAACTTAGGATTGCCATTGGGAGGCATGCTTACTGCTGGCAGGTTATCTGATCGTAATAGTCCGAGTCCCTGTCGCTCCGCGCCTTGGATGTATTCATTGGCAGTTGGGGATGTGTTGGAAGCCCAGAACCAGCCCATATTTATATTTTTTATAATCTTTTGTCTTTTCCGGGATGTTAGATATATATAATTTCGCAAAGAGGTTTATTCTGGTAAGTAGATGCCAGACAGAGAGGGGGGCGTAATTTGAATTGGGGTCAAAATCTATGATAAAATATTTTTTTAGGCCATGGAGCTTTTTTATTTGGCAACAAAAATCAGTGATGATGCCGATAAACACGTGATGGCGCAATATCAGCCACAAGTTCTATGTTTGTATCCTTTTTTTTGGTATTTCTCACCAAGGACCAGACAAGCAGGGTTTTGATATTTTATTGATACTAGCTAGTATATATATGAACAAACAAACCGATAATGAATACAATCCAGCTAAGTAATACCCGCGTATCCCTCTACCCAGACCAATATCCAAAAAGCCCTTTTCCCCCATATTAACTCCAATCCAATCCAATCCAATCATCTATCCCAGAACACCATTCCTTACGTAGAGGTAACCATGTTTCCCCCTTGCCCCAGGGGCTCAAAAATGGAAACGCCTTCTTCTGCCCTCGAAAAATAAAATATAAGCGAAACGATGACGTGACGTCACCCCGCAGAGGAACAAAAATGTCCAACAAAGCCAAACTCCCTGACCGATCATCCTGAATTAAACTGCCTCTCTTTCCTTTTTCCTCATTTCCTTTCTTTTCTCCTTCCCAGGCAGAACACCAGATTCAAAATCAAAATCAAAATCCAAAAAGTCAAAACGCCTTATAAATCGAAGTATAAAAGGATACCCATTCCATCCCTCCATGCCTTACCTTGCCTTGCCTTGCGCTTTACCCAACTTCCACAACAACAGGCCCCTCCACAACATCTTGCCAGATGCTCCGGAACACCCCGCCGTGTAACTCAGGAATATACAAGTAACCCTTCAACGCCTCCTCGACCGCCGCCCACCCATCTTCTCCATTTCCATCCTCTCCATTCCCATCATCCTCATCCCACCGTGACCCAGACAACGATCCAGACTGGATCCACCCTCTAACCTCCGCAACCTCCCTCAGCCGTTGCAGAAACCACGGCTTCGCCTTTTGGCCCTTCGAGCCGCGCGCACCCAGGAACGCCGCCCAGGTAATCAAATTGAGCCACGCGTTCGGTAATCTAGGGAATGCCGCAGTTGGGAACCGACTTAGCGCCATCGCGAGGTGGCGACTTAGAGCGCGGCCGAGGCCGGATGACGGTGGGGAAACGATGAAAAAGTTGTTTATATGACAGATGGCTGCGACTCGGGCAACGTTTTCGATGGGTTGGAGGGAGATGGGGGACTGGGGGGTTGTTTCTGAGGTTGCAGAGGTGGAGTTGCGTGCGAGGCGGAATGGATAATCCAGCAACTCAAATTCCACCTCGTGACTTTTGAAGAGGAAGATTTCGTTTTCGAGGGCGGAGAAGTTTTCTGGGTCCCGTGTGTTTGCGTGTTCGAAGAAGAGGATTTCGCGAAGGCCCATGAGGGCTTTTTGGAGCGGGTTGGAGAGGGCTTCGTTTGTGCAGAGGGCCATGCCGATATTTGATAGTGGGGAGGTGTGCGGTGGGATGATCCTTTCTTTGGTCTCTGGTGGGATGGGTTGTGGGTCCCAAGTTAGGGGGAAAAGTGGGCGGGACATTAACGCGGAGGCGGACATGATGTCACATCTATTTTGGTTTAGACGATTTAACAGAGTTTTTAAACGTAGGTTCAGGGGAAAACCTACATTAAAACATTAGAGAGCAAACGAACTCCCTCGCCTTGGAATGAGGGCCCGAAAACGCCTCCGCGCAGGTCAACCATTTGCTTCAATCCCTGGATATGATCTCTAGCTTCGTCGAAATCACCAATGGTCAACTGAAGTAAGTTTTACACGTATAATCAGCACATCATTGATCGAAGCACGCAAAACACAAGCCAGCACGTATGGCAAGCACAGGGAGATATGTTGAGGAAGATATATAAAAAACTTACGGCACAAGACGTCAAGCTAACAACGATATCAAATGCTGAATCCGTCAGTGCCAGCACTGGATCCTGAAGTTTCCTATTCATCTCACGAATACATCGAGCTTTCATCATATAATAATCTGGCTCGAACAGAACGCGCTCCTTGCCAGCCCCTGTGGGCGCAGTAGCCACCAGTTCCGAATGCTTCCCCTGCAAGACAGCGCGATGGGCGGCGCACAGACTCATGTAGCCGAAGAAAGGCCCTGGTTCAGAGATTGTGGCGGAGATGATAAGGGCCATACGGTTCTTGCTGTCTTGAGGTTGCCTTGTTTCGGCGGGGAAAGTCATTGGGATTAGGACGGCGGAGACTTGTTATTTTAAATCAGTTCTGGGATTCCTACGTTATACTTTTAGGAAAACAAGAAAAGAATTAGAATAAAAACTTACAATATTTTATCAGACCATCTATTACATCATTAGTCGAGGGGCTTGCACCTGGGAGCGTGCTGAAGGGGTCGAAAGCCCAAGAAGTGGTGTCCCCCAAGGGACTGGGAAAGGAGGGGAAATCCGAACGATCCTGCTCCAGTATGAGGGAGGCGATCGATGTTCCTTCTCCAGACGGCGATCTGCTAATCATAGACAATTCCGAAGTCGAAATCGGACTTGGACTCATCGTCGTCCTATCTGAAATACTATTATTGTCAATATCTTTTTTCATGTCCGCATCGGTAGCGTTAGCACTGGCAATGGCTTTCCGCCGGTCCTTTGTGCTGCAGGTGGTCTCGGTGCTATCTTGATCGGCGGAGGGTGGTGAAGCTTTGTCCTTAGTAGCACCACGCTTGGACGTCCTCTTTAGACCAGCCAATCTCTCCCTTCGCCGCACGTCGCGCATGACATGGGATCTGATGGCCTTTCGGGCTTTCTTGTCCTTGATCCTTTTGGAGGTGAGATCGTCATCGTGGTCGATGAAGGTGAAAGACGGGATGTCTGAGGGCGTTGACGACTTTGATGATTTTAAGGCTAATGGCATTCGCAGCGACGCAAGGTGAAGGCAAGATTAGCATACGAACATGTAGTAATTGTGGATGGAAAAAAAAATGTTTCAGAAGCTGGGGTTTTATTTGTGAAATATTGGAGGCCAGGTCGTGGGTGTTTGATAGGATAAATGGAGTTCATGTTGTTCGTTGATAACTGCCATTTCTCCGCATTCTCAACAATACTAGTACGATATGACAAGGAAGGGCCAGGAATAGGAGCACAGCAATGAGAGAAAGTAATATAGCAAGAAAAAAGGCTGTTCATATTACACCAGAATATCACCGGAGGCTACTACTGGGAATAGCTTCTGGCTGGCAGCCTGACAGCATAGAAGAAAAGAAGGCAGGAATGAGGACATTATGCAGTAAACAAAAACAGCGCACCTTGAGCGGACTTGGTAGAGACTTTGGACAATGTGTGGCCCTTAGCCTGTATCGGTACGTGTTGCTGTTGCGGCTGCTGCGGCTGTTGCTGTTGAGGTTGTAGTTGTTGAAACTGATGTTGCCGCTGCCGTTCGTACTCGTAGTGGGCGTCGTTTGGCTGCTGTGGAGACGGCGGGAGGATCTGACCCGCCTGTTTCCACGGTCGATGATTCTCCATAATAGGTAGGTATATATGGAGCGAGATTCGGGACTCGCTTTTCCCACCTCCCTTGTCCCCGTCTACTTCCACTTCACGTCAATCAAAGGCTAAACAGGTGGCTAAATCTATCGTGTGGTAACCGCGGGAGAGCAGTGTGGGAGAGCGGGTTCATCCCTGGCATAGCGTGCCAATCGGCGGAGGCGCGAGGCGGGCGGCGGCGGGTAGCTTTCAGTAACAAGAACCACACAGCGGTCGTGCGGAATTTGGCAACAGAGGAGTGGAGGGAAGAGACCGGAATAGTAATAATATAGTGAGAGAGAAAAAGAGAGAGATTCGACGGGGCAAAATGTGTGGGGGACCGTTGGCAGCGGAATCTGGGGCAGGAAGAAGGCGGATGTGGAAGGTGGACAACGGTTGACCAGGGACAGCCAACGACAACGGGCAAGCAACAGAGGGAAAACGACAAGGCCCGGCAGGCGGAGGTTTTATTCTTCTACACAGCAGACGGCCACCATAGCATAGATTGCCAGGTTTATCTTTTTCCTGACTTACGAAGAACAAGAAGCGGAGGAAGAAGAGGAAGAATTAGATGATGAAGAAGAACGGAACGGACAAAAAGTGACCTGGTCAACGAACTGTTTAAGTTCTAATTTCTGCAGCTTCCCCAGTCAGATTCTATCTATATGTTTCCCTCTAGCTCGCTCGTTCGAAGCTCCCACACCAATCAACCTCTGCTTAGCTTCGAGGTTTATTCTTAGCTGCGTCTGGTCCCGAAGATACGCACAGGAATCGACATTGTATGTACACTATACATCCGTGCATGGAGCATGTATGTACTTGTTGGTAAGTGCGATCCCTCAGCGAGGGTGCCTGGAACAAAGAAGGATTATTCTTGTCATTTCGCTATTCCCCATGGAGATTTCTTCATGTATAGATTGGATTCTGACGTATTTGACGGTCAAGCGCTCCCCAGCTTTCCATGGCTTGGGTCGCTGTGGACCGTGGGGAAGACCGAGATAAGCTGCGATCCAAGATCCATGAACCCTGGATGCTAGATAAGAGAAATATACTAGTATAACTATATCCTGCACCTTGATTCAGCTACAACATGAGACTGCAGGGTCGCATGGAGTAGTCATACCTGGCTGGGTACCTGCTGCTATCTCAGCCATTTTCTGCATCCAGGGCTTGATCTCCCTTCCCTTCCCGACTTATTAAAATAGTTCCCATGTCGCCTTTCGTCTAGTTATGTTTGAATTTGAACGGTTGCATAGATAGATATTCACGATACCAAAGCGGGCCCATTCTGCAGAACCTGGGGGTGTCTCACGGATCTAAATGTCTTCAACTCGAGGGAGAGCAGAAATAACTCAGAAGTATTACTTCCAACATCATCGACCTCAACATCTTCGCTGTCATGACCCATCAATAGCCTTTTGTCGCAGCTCATCAAGCTTCCCCGCCCTTAACTTTAGACAAAAGTCTGAGCTCCGCACTCCAGACCTTCGAAGGGTGATCCACGCTGCGCAAGGCCCAGTCCTTCCGCGCCCGCCGCCAATCTGATTTTAGCTGCGATCTAGTCAGAGATTCATCGAACTGAACCGGCCTAACGAGGAGCTTTATTAGTGTTTTTGCAACAAGGTTTGGCGTGTCCGAGTTCGTTTTCTCCCATTTTCTCGCCACGGATGCTGACATGATATCGGTGATTGGTGCGGAGTTGCCGGTGGCTGAAGCACGTACTACCCTCTGCCCAGGACTCAATTATGGATCCGTGTCCAAAGTTTTCTTCCGAGTTTGTTTTACTTTCTAAATTTGAGCGACAAAAGGCATTGTAATTAACTGATTTTTTTTTTTTTTTTTTTTTTTTTTAACGGAGGTGACCAGGATCCGCCGCCCCCTTGTGTGGCTGAAATAGTTAACTTACGCAGTAACTAGATGAAGGAAAACTGAAAAAAAAAAAAAGACAACCAGATAAGGAAAAAGCAAGTGAAAAAATGCGGGGGGTAGATATGAACAGTACGCCTGGCCTCCCTCATACCTCTTCCAAGAATAGCCATATAGTGGAGCGCCTAGATAGAGACTAACTACCAAGTTCTATAGAACTTACTAAGTTCTCGATAACCGTTCAAATACACGAATGCCCTGGGCTGGATGTTGCAGATTCTATGTCCTGCATCGTTAGCTGTCGCGTGCATTCTCTTATGTATGCAAGGCATTTGCTGTTTCTGTTTTGAATGCAGCTACCAGGGAGAATGTCAACCAAATGACAGACGAAGTGGATACATCAATTTTCTATCGTTTTATATATCTATTAATTTTGCCTTCAGCAACCTGCGGGAGTATTTTTGAGGCACTTATTTTATTATTGTAATATGGTCAAGGCAGCTAAATCTAATGAAATTGAAACATATAAACAATAATGCATTTCACCATGACCTTGTGGGATGGTTAATCTCTCTATTGTTATCTATGCACAGAAGCTGGGCTAGGGAAAGGCTTGGTCGCCCTCCACCTTAAAACAGCCAGACTTGCTTGGCATGCATGCTATCTTGGCAGGTGTAGAAGTGGAACAAATTTCCTTATAGAATGATCTCAATTTCTGTGTAGATAGAAGTCAATGATATCCAAAGTTTTCCCTATGGACTGGCCGAAATAATAATTCAAAATGCTCAAAAAATGAGTAGAAATTATCAAATTCTTGCTGTTTGGATACTGACAAGATGTGCAATCGATGTGAATGGCTAAGCTTATATCTACATATGATTGGCTGTCCTATTTGTGCTGTAGGTGCTCCCAAGAGATCAACCATCCCACAAACATGCCCAACACCAACAGCAGGCGTCGATGCTCGGTTACCTGAGACCCCAGTCGTATGCAATTATGAATATCAGGGGTATAGAAGATACCTCACCTCCTTCCCTCCACTTAGCTACAACGTCCTGCTTCATTCCCAAAGTCCATATAATTTAATCCAGCAACCTGTGCCCGCCATGGCTACCAGTGACCTGGTATACTCTGTTGACCCAAGAAATCGCTGACTTCTTCGAGAAGACAGCAGTGACTCGCTCAGCGTGTGACACTTTTGCGAGAGAGCATCTTGGTGGAAACGTCGTTCCAGTGGCCGTGCAAGGTGTATGCAGCTATACCGTCTACGCTGGACCCAATGCCGAATTCGTTGTCCAGTTTCGCCTTGCGTCCCTACAACTGGGTATGGATATTGCAAATCTCGCTCGAAGCATCTACGGCCACTTTGCACCCCATGTGACATTTTTGGACCAAATTGGAGAAGGAAGCGAGAGCAAAGAATCCCTTTACATCTATGTCATGAGCCGAGTACGAGGCATTAGTTACTTGCATTTTATCCTGGCAAATAACAGTCAGGTGCCCGAAAACTCACCTAAGTTTTCCTCATGGCGCAGGAATCTTGTAATTGATATTGCGAAGTATGCTTAGCTTCTCACATTCTCGTTACAAATACGCCAAGCTGCTGATTATATGCATATATACAATGCTCTATTAGGTTCTTTGCTCTTTCGTGGAAAGGCCCACGGCACGTTGATCAAACGTACCGCGACCACTTGTACCATCGATACAAAGAAGAACTGGATTCGCTACTTGTTTCTCTCCCAGACCGCTTCCGCCCGTTAATCCAAGAGTCTCTTAACTCATTACCGACTATTTTTGCTCTTCTTATGGTACTACTCCACAAGGACTTTGGTGTCTGCAACATTATTGTGAATGAAATGTCTTGCAATCTAGCTGGAGTGGTTGATTGAGCTGAAGCAGAGATCGCACCATTTGGCTTGAACCTTTACTCTCACCAACGACTAATAAGTAAGGTCCATCTCAAGAATGGTTGGGTTCGGTATGACGATTATGTCACTTTGGAGGACATATTCTGGAGCACATTCACTAAGGAAGCTGGAGGGCTGAGCAGTGACACAATTAGAGCCATCAAAGCTGCACGAATTGAAGGACTACTGCTATCTCGTGGCTTCACAAGTCGTCTTGCGAATATGCCGGAGCCAGTACCTATTCAGGATGATGAAAGTGGAGCATATAACATGCATGATCTGGATGGGCTGTTAATTAATCCAGCTACAAGGTTTACGGATTTAGCATACACTATGGATACTGAAAATAGGATGGAAAAAAGAGGATAAGAGATTCAATAACCAACAAAGGGGGTCAATGTCAGTGAGAACTGCCTTCAGATCGTCGTATTTTCCAGTTTAGGAAGAGGCTTCTCTGCATTGAAGACCTTGTGATTGCCCGATGTCATAACCGCATGGTTTGATTTGCAGAGCAAACACGCAGCCTACCACCGGTCATCTCGAACTTCCAGCCTGTGATGAGGGTTGGCGCCGTGTTTTTGATGTTTTTGACATAAGTCGACCCCAGCATGACAGCTCCATGATCGAGAATGAGTTCCGACATGGAACTATCACTCCACCCAAGGACTTGAAGACCAATGAGACTTGTGAGATTGTTCTTGACAATATAGTTAATGAACCCGTCAAGAACCTCCGGTCCAATGCCAGATAGGTCAGGAAGAGGCCGGCCGCCCTGTAGCTCGCAAGCACACAGGTCGTCCTCAGCCAGGGCGAAGATGTGTCCATGAACACGGGAGGGATCAATCTTGTCAATATCGGTGACTTTAGTCCACTGAAGGGAGGGGCTTTCAAAGTTGGTCCCGAGCATGACGGTGCCTTTGGGAATCTTGAAGTGACCGTGGATCAAGTGAATCCCAAAAACCTTTTCGACATTGTGACGGATGAAAATTTCCGCAAGGTCCGTAATATACGCATCAGCAACGGGGGGCTGGTTAGAGTCATCAAGAAGTGTGTTATACCTGCAGGGTGTCAGATACTGGACCGAAATCTTTCTACAGATAGAAAGGACAATTGGATTCACACAGAGCACCACTTGCGTGGAAATCCTGGATAGATAAACTGTTAGACCACTGGGGCAAAAGAGCTTTCTCACACCAGCGCCATGCTGGTAGTAGAGGGGACGAACCAATCCAAACCCCCCATAAACATTAACACTTAGGGTTAGGTTGATGATTAGTCACTCTAGTAAATAAGCTAATCTAAAATAGGCAATGAGCTAACCCAAAAAGGCTCAAATCACATGACGTCAAAGACTTGTAACTAAAGTAGTTTAGTGTCATGCTGCTGCAACTGAGCCATAGAGGGTCTGTGAGATTCTTAATACACTACATACTCGTTTATATTTTCTAACTCACAGTCGAGGTTGTGAAATGCTCTGCACAAGCTCACCACCAAGCACAAGATATATCACCTCAGAATGTTTTATCTGAGATAGAGGATAACACACCGTTCAAAGACATCGAAGTGCAAGAGCCCCAGAATCCCAGAATTCCAATTATTCCCAGTAATGGAGCAGCTCCTGTCTACCGGTCTCGATCTACAGTTTTGGAACTTGGTGGTATTGTATTCCTTATTCTCACTGATTTTGGTCAAATGAAATTGGCTCAAAAAGGTGGGAATCAGGAATGATGCATGCCAGATATCTACCGGGCTCCGGAGCTTCTATTAAAGCTCCCATTCAGCTTTCTAGTTGATATGTGGTAAATTGGGGTCATGGTAAGCTGTTCCGGCTTGAGTAAACTCCAAACATACAGTAGGGCCGCAGCACCGAGGACTAATGACATCTTATTGACTTTAGACTCTTGAGCTGATGGAAGGCAGAAATCTTTTTGATCCCACTGGTCACATTCACAACCAGTATGTCCTTCCGCTGGCATTGGCACAGTGTATTGCATATCTTGGGCCTCCATCCCTTACACTGATCCAACGGAGCCCCATCTTTTTGACCTATTTTGACAAATATGGTAAGTACCTAGACTCCGGTTCATGTGCACATCGATCTTTTAGTCAAAGACCTGTCAGAAAGAATGAGCTTAACCACACATCATATCTATTATAGGCAAATTTAAATTCGAAACAGAAATCCCTAAGGCTTCTCTTGAGGATTTTGTCACCACAATCTCACAAGGAGAAGGAAAAGCGCACCTCCTCAGCTGACTTCGAAAACTCTTGACTTGGGATCCGGAAGCTAGACCAACCTCCTCAAAAATGGTTTTAGATGACTTGCTAATGATGGTATATGAGACAATGATGTAGGTTGTGCTTCAAGCTTATCCATCCATGCGCAAACCTCTGAGAATCAATATAGAGAAGCGCACAAGCAGATTAAGAGAGAGCATTGAAATATATGTTAGACAAATAACTGAGACAGGGACAAAGGCAGTAAACATACAAAAGAGAGGAAGGAAAAAGAGGGAAGAAAAGCAAAGCCATCTGTGCCTAATCCGTGCGCCGCCTCCGCTTTCCCAGATTCCAAATAACAACTATAAAATAAGAGTATTGTGACAAAAAGAATCTTTCTTTGCTAGTAAATGACAGCACGTTTACTTGCCCGTCGATTGATTCGCATGTTCCCTCTATACAGGTAGGCGAAGATTATGAATGATGCTTCCACATCTCAGGAGCATGAAGGCATGTCGTGTATGAGTATAGGCCAGGTATGACAGGCCGATATCGACGCGAATGAGATCACTTGTGAAGAATCAGTCTTTCACAATTGGTTCTGGAATTTCTTGTGTTTCTTCCGTGTCCGCCCATCCATGGTGGGTGACAGATGACAGATGACACCAGACACCAACATGTCCAAAACTGCAAAACGCAACCGTTTCGATTCATGCACTCCCGTCATCAAACAATCTAATCAGCAAAGCATATCCCAGCACCACTACCAACCCAACCCACATCTTATGTCGTCGAATCCAGCTCTGACCCACGTCCCGTGCAGCCTGACCGCCTTCCATCACCGCCCCAAGCCCCGCCGCACTGCCCGCATGTCGTCTGCGCAATGCGCTCGCTTCCGGCGAACACATTGTTCCACTCCCGCCATTCGCGGAAGAGCCAATGTTGCTACTAGGATCCGGCAAAAATTGACCTGTAGCCGGATCCACCCGATTCTCCCTCATCCACTTCCAATTCTCCTGGTCCAGCTCCGCCCACTCGGTACGGAACTTCAGACCCCCATCGCCAGCTTTCACACTCCCAATGCTCCTCGTCGACGGCGACACGCCTGCCACTGCTTTAGCATGTGACCCGCCACCTGTCGAGTTCCACCACCTCGAGCGCGCAGCGAGGATCTTGCGTTCAGACTCAGAGGCACTGACGGATCCGGTTGTCATCTCCTCGCTGGTCATGAAGGAAAGGAGGCCGATGAGGATAGTGGAGACTTCCCAGGCTGGATTGAATGATTTGGGGTGGAAATCGCTGATGCTGAGACAGAGGCGGGTGGAGGGCTGGAAACGGCCGGAGGGAGTGTGCATGCGGATGGCGGGCGGGGCAAACGGGTATTCCGGTGGGAACATTAGGGTACCCCAGTATTGGCCATTTTCATATGGAGTTTTAGGAGGCCCGGTGATGATGTAGTGCCATCTGTGAGTAAATTGTCAGCTTCCATTTTATTTTTTGGAGTGGCTGAGGGACAGGTGGAATAGTTTACTCTAGAATATTTGAATCGGATGGGTGTGCTATAATATATGGTGGCGGATTTTTTTGGATGTTCTGGTATTCGCGCACAAGCTAATTACAAAAAAAGCATGTCACTGTTAGTAACTGCTCATTTACAATGCTCTTTCCGTATACTTCCAGAGATAGCACACTCACTCGTTTATTGGCGGCTCTCGTAGCCATCTCACCAACGGTGGGTCCCTCACAAGAGAATGGAGCGCAAAGACGTAGGAAGTTGCGAAAATAGAACAGCACAGGATTCGTAGGATGTGGATATAATAGGCGGAGTCAGGTAATGAAATGGGAAGTGAAGTAGAAGAATGGCGAGGATGAAGAAGGGGAAAGGTTGAAGCTGAGGTTGCAAAGGCCAGCTGGACCGCCGTCGTGCTTGCGCTTCACGTGACCGTGACCATTACCGTATCATGGTTCCACTCCCGCTTCCCGAAAATCAGCAATTCTTCGATGGACTCAAACAACTGATATAGGTCAGCCATTGCAGAGCGTCGCGATGGGTTCACCGCTTGCAAGTGATGAGAATGTGAGTATCTAGTGTATCCGTAATATGCCGAGTCCTCTATTTTGCTTGCTGACCAACTATACTTGTTCCGGTGGTGATTTTTCCATAGTTCTTCGAACTGCTGCAGCAACAGTCAGCCGATCCGAAGCTGCTCGAGGAGCAGCAGCAAGCTGTTAATGAGAGAATAAACGCCATATATCAAAAGGCCCAGGCCCGGCTCGCTGAATTGGTTCGTCTTTTTTTTTTGTTACTATTTCCGACCCTCGTCGTTCTGGAACAAAATGCCGCCCTCAAAATTATTGCGCTGGAAAGGAAGCCGATTTCGCAATTGGAACAATGACGCTTATGAATGAAATCAAAATATTAGATTGACCAAAACTCCACGCTACCATGTACAATCTCATCTGTCCAAGTCCTCAATGCGAACAATACAAGGAGAGGTTTTCTGGAAAGAGTCCTCAGTCCTCTCTTGAGCTCAAATAATCACCGGCCGTATACTCTCTCGGAAGCCTTAAAGGAAATCTCAGTATGCACGGATACACTCAGCCGATTTGGTATGCTACCCATCTCGATTCCTTTATCGTCTAATAAAAGATATATAAACCAAACTAACCAAAAAAAAAAAAAAAAAAAAAAAAAAAAAAATATCAGACATCTTCGAACACCCCATCTCCGTCTTTCTCGACAAACCTTCCCAGGTCGACCCTTCCACAAGCCCCACTGACCTCGAAGTCTACCTCTCCGTCAAAGAGAAATCCCGTATCCTGCTAAAAACTGGCACGGATCTTGGAAATGCAGAAGGGTCCGCCTACACCAACTTTATGTGGCGGAATATTTTTGGCGGGGCTGAGTCACTGAATATCAACGCTTCACTCGGCACCCGGACCAAGTCCGCTTACCAGGCCACCTTCGAAACACCTATCCTCAGCAACCCGGATGTTAGGTGTGAATTTGGTGGCATTGGAAGTTCGACGGAGAAGAGCTGGGCGAGTCATGAGGAGGCGGTCAAGGGAGGCTGGGCTAAGCTCCGCTGGCTTAGCGCCCACGGACACAGACACGAACTGGGCTACAACGGATTCTGGAGGCAAGTGACAGGTCTATCTACGAGTGCCTCGCCAACTGTTCGTGGGGATGCTGGCGATAGCGTTAAGAGCAGCATTTGCCACACGTGGATCAATGACCAGCGCGATAACCCGTTCTTGCCCTCGCAAGGATTCTACATGAGGACTTTCAATGAGATGGCCGGCTGGGGTCCGCTTAAGGGGGACGTATCATTCTGGAAATCAGAGGTGGAAGCTCAGGGCGCCATACCGATTCCCATCCCCGGAGTGAAAGGGAACACCGGCTTCAGCTTAACAACAGGTGCCCGTGCTGGTGTGCTCTGTCCATTAGGTCTGGATGCGGCTCGGAAACCCCAGCTTTCCCGTATCAACGACCGCTTCCAACTAGGTGGCCCAACTGATGTGCGCGGCTTCAGACTCTCTGGCATCGGTCCACGGGAAGGTCCCGACGCATTAGGGGGAGATGTTTTCGCGGCGTGTAGCGCAAACCTTCTATGTCCTTTACCTCGGGTTGGGGCGGAGAAACCATTAAGACTGCAAGCTTTTGTAAACTGTGGCCGTCTGCTGTCACTAAAGACGCAGAATGGGAAACTACCGTCGACGCAAGGGGAGGTTATGGATAGTATTTTCGCGACCGTATCAGAGCTGAAGAATGAGTTGCCGAGCATGGCCGCAGGGCTGGGCCTTGTGTATGCGCATCCTGCTGCGAGGTGTGAGTTGAATGTATCTTTGCCTCTTGTCACACGGAAGGGGGAGGAAGGGAGAAAGGGCTTGCAATTGGGGATTGGGATCAATTTCTTGTAACAGAAGGGAAAGGGTAGTGTACAGTACAGTTTTAAATGTAATAGAAACGGGATAAACCATCGTCGTATCTTCTTTCAACAATCAGCATTTCATCAACTTGGCTGCCCGGTCTTGGCATTTCATACAAAAGTTCTCACGTCACCCTAACAAAACTACACCGACAAGAACAGCTAAGTAATAATATCACCAACTACCGCCATCTATACGTTACTTTCTGTCTGTCGCTTAGTGGGCATCATCACTCAAAATCAATCCCAGTAGCTCTACAAACCAGCAATCCATATCTTGAATACTACCTCAGTACTACCGCCACCCTCTTCATCTCCGCACTGATCTCGCAAACACACTCATTCACTGTCTACAAACGATACCTCATCCCGGCCGTAATGGCCCAATTCTACTCCCAGCATCAGCAGCAGCAGCAGCCATACGGCGCAGGGCCCCAGCAGCAATCCGCACACAACCTCCAATTCTATCCTACCTCCTACTCATCCGTTTCTGGTCACACAACGCCTTCACAGGCCACATATGGCGGCTATGGTGTAGCTTCAGGCTCTGGCCCTGGATTTTCAGTTGGCGGGGGAGGTTCGGGGGTGGCTGGCGGATATGGTGCTGCTGCTTTTGGTGCTTCGTCGTCCGGCGTGAGTGGGCGCATGGGCGAGCAAGGTGGATTGAGGACGGGGTGGTTGGCAGCGTTTGGGACAGAGGGATATGAAGGCGAGCCGCCGTTGCTGGAGGAGTTGGGGGTTAATTTCGACCATATCCGAAAGAAGGTGAGAAAATTGTTTTTCCTATTTGTCCATACAACGAACCCCCCCCCCACTCTCAATATACAGTAGAAGTACGTTTTCCATGCAGGCAACTAATTACTACATAACTAGACCCTTACAGTCCTCAACCCCTTCGCCCGCGTTGACCAACACCTCATGGATGACAGCGACCTCTACGGTGCCCTCCTCTACATAATCCTCTACGGCACATTCCTCCTCCTCTCCGGCAAAGTCTTCTATGGCTACATCTACGGCGTCGCCGTCTTCGGCACGTTTGCCCTCCACCTCATCCTCAGCCTCATGTCCCCTTCGCTCTTAGACCCCATCTCCACAGGCCCAGAAACATCCTCCCTCGTCGACTCCGTCTCCGCCACCGCCGGCTACCACCCTCACGACAAACCATCCGGCTCATCCGGCTCATCGGTTGCCCCAGGCCGCGCGGGACACCTCTCCTCAACCCTCACGTTTCCCCGCTCCGCCAGCGTGCTGGGATATTGTTTCCTACCCCTCGTGTTGACAAGTGGCATCGGCATTCTTCTACCCATGGACACACTGTTTGGATACCTGCTAACGACAGCCGCGGTGGGGTGGTGCACGTACAGCAGCTCAGGGATGTTTTGCGCTGTGGCGCGGATGCGGGGAATGAGGTTCTTGGTTGCGTATCCGCTTGCGTTGTTTTATGTTGTTTTTGGTATTATGGGCATTTTCTCGTCGAGGGGTGGTGGGTCGTTGGTTGCAAAGGCGACGGGGGGCTGAGTTAGTTTCCCATGTGTAATCTGTGAGCTGTGGGCTGTATGTGAGCTGGGGTTTGTGGGTGAGATGCGACATTTAGAAAGGCGTAGGTGAAAGCAGATGGGAAGGGTGATGTTCTGGGGTGTTTTCCATTTGCGTTTATTGTCTTGTTCTTCTTTACGACTGCAGTCAGTTTGGGTTTGGAAATGATAGATAACTCGATTGACTTTAAATTATATATTTATCTCTTCATATGCTCAGAGCTCTCCTTTGGTTCAGATTTCTTGTTTGTTTTGTTCTTTGGTTTTATTTTGGGGATATTGTATATGATGCCCGCTTTTTCGCTAGTCCCTTAGTCTGTTCAAGGCACAGAAGGGATTTTCTTACTAGAAGGGGAACAGAAAGAAAATTAAAAATTTCCTTTCTCATGAGATGTTTGTTTTGTTTTATGTTGTATGCATAGAAAAAAGAACAAGTAAGGTCAATGCCGGGTAGGCAAGCTGGGTTGAACCCTTGAAAGTGAGAGGAGAAAAAGCATATGGAAGCGGAGGGGGAGGGGGAGGGGGAGGGAGAGATAAAACAATGACAACAACGATAATGCAAGTGCTGTTCTATTGAATCTCAACGCTATATAAGATTGTGAAGAACGGATGAGAGGGACATGAATATCAGAATATGGAATTTGCCGCATATGAACATATCCAGCCATCTAACTATATATATTAAAATCCCACCGTAAAAACCTAGCCATTCTTGCTGTTTTGAGAAATCCATTTCATAGCAAGGCATAAAGAAGATGGGAAAACCACGCTCTACGCTGATGCCGCCTCCGCTATGATATTAGGCCTATATAGTTACTGTTACCATATTGCATTTCAATTAACGAATGACTTTCTCCCCCTTAGCTGGCGCCCAATTCTTCAACCACTCTCTCGCCTTCCCTACGTCCCCCGCTCCCGCCTCAACGGCTGCAATGCACCAAGTGACATCGTATCCCTTATCGTTCATGCCCTCGCCAGTTCCAAGTTCCGCCCCAGTCCCAGTTTCAGCAGCTAACAACTCAGCCAACTTTCGCCGCTGCTGGCTCTTTTCATCTGTGCAGAGATAAAACGGCGACGTATTCGTATTCGCGGCTGCTGCTGCTGTTGTGGGGCTAACATTAATAGCGTCTAGAAAAGGTTTAATCATCGCGGAAATTTCCTTGCTCGTGAGAGCGGGTGCTACTTCACCACCGTTATCGGAAGATGTGACAGTAGAAGTAGCAGAATTTGAACGCCCAGTCTTGCAACATGGGTTGAGACACCACCCCTTCCCACATCCTTTTAGCATCTGCGTCATATACCGCCGCTCGATCCGACGACGCAGCGCTTTCCCCTCAGGATCATAGACGTCCGCATACAGCGGGCCAAAACACCCCGTGCAGAGGCCAAGCGTGTCGTTGTCGTTACTTTTGTGGTTGGAAATAGTACTGCTATTGATGCCACCTTGTAAAGTCCGGCCGCAATTGCGGTTCGCGCACACTCGCGGCGCTGGCCGTGAAAGGCGGTCCAGGTCATGGTGGCGCAGGTGCGTTTTCATGTCCTTGAGTCGAATGATTTTGCTGCAAAGGTGGCACTCGGTCGTACGCCCGCCATCGGTAAGTTCGTGTGGGGTGAGTCCCGACAGCAATACTTCGGGGTCGTGCATGTCTGGATCTGCATCTCCCTTTTGGGGCACGATGAGGTGACAAAATTGGCAGAGGATGAGTTTTGCGGGGCAGGTTGTAGTGCGGTGGTGGGCGAGTATGGGGAGACTGGTAGCTGTGAAGGGGCAGTTGGGACAGACATGCGGTGTGTGGAAGACTGTGTTGTGTTTTAGTTGACTGGATTGGTCGTTACCGTAGGAGGAATCGTGTGGACAATGCCAATGATTTTTCCATTCGGGGGATCGTTTTTGAAAGACGTTTTCGCATTTAGGACAGAGGATGTTGTTACGGAGACAGAAATTTTCATGCAGGAAAAGGGTACGCTCTGGAATCCATTGGTGGCAATTTTTGCATTGGGTATCATTTGCATCATGTTCGGCTTCCTCCAGGGGAGCCAATGTCTCTCTTGGCATAATAATTTTTGTGCGGAGGTTGAATTTCAACGGAGTTGTATTTGTCGAGGTAGTGTCATTGCCATCTGGCGTGTCTCCTGAGTAGGCATGCACGGAGATATACAGAGCTTCTGCATCCTGAAGCTCGATATTAGTGGGTTGCAGACAGATTCGCTTCGGGGAAAAGCTTGAGAAATCCCCAAAGACATGTTCATTGTCCCTGGGTCGGCTCCTTTGTCTTGTTGAAAATGGGCTGATAAATAGGTCCACGTCTGCACCATCTGCTGCATCGATTTCAATATCGAAAGCACGGCCACGGTCCCAATCGTTAAGTTCGTAGTCAACATACTGCCCTGGCAATACTTGGCCGCTAGTCTCTTGCCCTTGAGATAGCTTCCCACCTATAGAACTTCCTCCCCTGATTCCTGGAGCACGAGAAGCTTTTGCTAACCGCTTCTTTAAGGTCTCGCGAGCCTGCTCCTCATTCAGCGCTTCGATATCTACTTCCAGGTCAGTATCCACAATACAAATTCCGTCCCCTTGGGGTTCTACTTTGTCAACCAGGAACCTGAACGTTTCATCCCGGGGCCCAGGAATTAGCAGAAGTTCCCCAAGCGTCAAAGTTGTGAAGTTCTCGCGCAGGTGTCGTTCCAGAAGGGCTTTCCAATCTTCGGGGTCATATCCCGCCTCAAGAGGGCGTAGGCGAACATAGGACCCCCTTGGCAGCCGTTTCGCATGTATAGTGACCAGCGGCCGTTTCGACATATTCGAAACCTTCCCGGATTCTGGCATATCCACATCAGAGGACGACTCCTCCCCGGCAGAGGGGAAGGCGACATCGTCGAGACCAAGGCTCTGACGAAGGAAGGAGCTCAAGCCCACTTCATTCTCCTGTGCGGAAAACTCGCGAATACCAGCATGGACGACCCGGCCGTTCGAGGGATTAACTATACGGAAAGTAAGGGGATTTGGGAGCTGCTGCTGTCTGTTTTCAAATAGTTCTCTGGCTCGCCGTTCGGCAGCAAAAGTGTGTGGGTTGAAAGGATCGAACTGCGGTGTAAGAGCGTGAGTATGCGCAGATTCTACGGAAGTAATTGGAGCCGCAGCTAGGAGCTGTTCGAGCGCGGAGGGAGGCAGAAGAATCTTATCTCCTGGCAATTTATTTGTTCGAGTCGGAGGGGCGACAGCGAACTGGGCGGACCATTGTAGGGTATCCGAATCCGAATCGGTCGCCATGATACACCGAACAGACGATGAATTTTGGAGAGAAAGAGGTTTGAAAGAAGCTTATGGCATTGCCTTCTCTCCCCATCCCACACCAACTGTTTATATTCCAGCTGCTGGAGGAACAAACAGAACGCGAACAAGCCCCAACATTTGGGGGCTGATTACCAACGTCGAAGTTGTTTCCAGAACCTCCGATAATTATCTTATCTTAATCTTATCTAATTCCACGTGATTTTCCATAGTATATTACATGTGAAACTTTTTAATAACAACATCTACGAGTAACTATTAAATCATTAGAATAAGCATCTAACTGTTGCAGATAATCCATTGATGCAATTATATATTCATCATCAATATTTCAAAAGTCAGGCTACTATCGAGATTCACAAGGATGAGAAAAAATGAATTATTCCGAGTTTTTGTCAAGCATTTTAAACCACAGAGTCTTGCTTTCACCCGGTTGAACCTGATGATAAAGAGAGCAAGAGTAAGAGTGACTTATCAACCACTCCATGATTCCTCTGAGTCAGAATTAGGCAACAGTTTCATCAGCAATAAGTCTCACTCCATGTTTAAAAAGGTAGTTTATGGCTCCATGGAAATTTCGTAGTATGAAATTTCCAATATAAATGTTAATTATCTTGCAGATGCATTCTTTACCACCATTACAAACCTGTTGGGAGGCGCTCTTCAAAGCCTTTTAAAACCCCTCTCCATCTATCAACAGCCATGAAATTGAAAACCACTCGCGCACCCACACAAGAATTGAACAAAGATGGCTGCACAATACTAAAACAACTCCGTACAGCCTGTTGGATAAGGGTAGTCTATAAACATGACTTATGACATCACATTTCTCATCCATAACCTAAGTTAGCCATATGCCATCCCAGACAAAGGGGGGAGCCCAGTTCGACGGCATCAGCACTCATGCTAAATCTCAAGGAGTTGGAGAGAAAAACCATATATTTGATTGATTTGCCCAATTGTTAGAATAGAATACAAGAAACTGCACGTCGCAGGCAAAGTAGTACCATCAGGTGTCCCTCCTAACAGACATAACATACGGTCAGTTTCTCGACCAAGATGAGCTTTCTAAAATACAAAGTGGTTCCTAGTCAATTGTTTCCCTGCCTTAGCGCCCTTGCTTATCTCCCCACCGTCCAAGTATCAAGCAGACTGTCCAGCATCAACCATGTACTGTACAACAAAGCATATCACTCTTTAGGAAATATTCCCACGGACAAAATTGGGTCGCGTTCGTTTGTGCCTGGCAGAGCTACGCCCTCCCCAAGCACTTTTATGTCCTCGAGTGATTTACCATCGGTAAGATCGACATAAATATGGACTTTGACTTGACCTGGGGTCGACACGAATGAGATGTGATTCCCGGTTTTTTTTTTTTTTTTTTTTTTTATTATCTCGCCGGTTGCTGTGTTAGTTGTTGTCATATGGCATGAGCCCCTAAGGTACTGTGAGTTACTGTACTTGTAATGACCTTAAAGACTATAATTAGTGACGTACAAAATTTTGGCTCCAGTCTTCTGAAGTCTCTTAGCGCTCGCATGAACCAGATGCTCAGTGGCCGCTTTCAAAGCATTCCTGTCCACTTCAATTCTTTCGGCGTCTCTTGCCAGATTGTTATGTGAACCAATGGTCCATCTGATGGTAATGCCATCAATCGTACCCGAAAGGGAATCGACGGGGAGACAATTGGGTAAGGATATCGTTAGAAATTTCGTTGATGGATTCTAGTGAAAAGAAATGGGCTTCCAACACTAACAAGGGAGTGGGGAGGGACGGCGACGTTTCTAGGAATGGATTGCAAGACCAGAGAAGTTGAATGGCACGGGCTGGAGTGTTCACTGTAACTTGTATTCAAGATGTTTGAGTGATAGAGTACAGGAAGAGATTAGTCTGGGAAGAATCAAGGGTTTATATGTTCAGTATTTGTTGTCCAAAACTGGGGCAATGATGCCTCGGGTATAGAAGGCTCGTCTTCCTCGCTCTAGCAGGAAGTAACGAGAGATCATGCTCTAGGGCGGAGAATGAGCGGCAAGCTTGAAACCAAAGGATTGCACGCGTTACCTCCTTCAGTATCCGAATTAGGTATCTCTCCGGTTCATGTAGTGAAGGCTACAAATAAATTGATTGACAGAGGAGAGTCCTTTTATTTTTGTAGATGTTTTCGCTTGCTTGCTGCTTGACAAGGTGGTTGGCCAGTAATAATAGCGCCTGCCAGCATATGGCTTGCTTGAGATTTTGTCTAAGCGCTGCGCAAAAGCAAGTTGGGACTGCCATCCAATTGACTTGGGAGCCCCCAAGCATCAATTATAGAAGGAGGGTATCGTGGAAACTGGTGGCCACAGGCTGCAAGCTTGCCAGGTCAAAATCTACTTAGTCGATTGAGCGTCTTGAATCAATTGGATGATGGTGGATCTTGGAACAACAAGATACCAACATCCTGTCACAATTCACATTGTATCTTCCAAAACTGCAGTGGAACTCGGAAGAATATCAAGCATGCGGCACAGATGCTGGCTGTCATCTGGAATAGGAATAAGTTGGTGGAATCTACTAGTTAAGTAGTTAACTACCTAAAAGGTTTGGTGCTTGCTTGGCAAACTGGCAGTCGCAAAACCGACAAGCGCCTACTTAAGGACCAGCACAAACCGCGGATTATTATCACCCACCCTACATTCACCTCTTCCCCCCTTTACTGTTTCCCGTGAGTACCTTCCAGCATTTGGAGAGGCTTCATCTTTCTGCTCTGTGACCATGACAATCCAATACAACATTTACGCCTTTTCCCGAATAACATCACGGTAACTATCGAGGTTATCGATTATGGCGATAACGACTGCACCACCTCAAGATCTCACGGCCGATAAGACGGCAGACTTCGGCGATGATGTTAAAAACTGAAGATGAGCAAATCGACGTCGAAGCAATTGCTGAGCCCTGGGAAAAGTACAATCTAAATGGCACCCCCCATGTCTTCTACCCCCTCTGCCTTGGAGAAGTGCTCGATGGGAGATACTTAGTAGAGCATAAAATTGGCTTTGGCGGCTTCTCCACTGTCTGGATGGCCCATGATCTTAAGACAAAGAGAGATGTAGCCCTCAAGATCTTTTCCTTGGGGGAATGGGGGGAACACGAAACTCACATGCAGAATGAGATCCTGCAGAACGTGCAGAATACTTCCAACCTTTTGACTTCTTCAGCAACCTTTCTGCTCCCAGCTGGCAGCCCAAAGTCTCATCATAGGGTTCTAGCGTTTCCGTTGGTGGGCCCATGTATTACATCACTTGTCTTGGACAGAATGCCCCTGGTCACTCGCATGTCTGCTGCTAAGCAATTGCTGGAGGCCTTGGAAAGGATACACAAAGCTGGCATTATATTTCTCAGTATATAAGTGCTGTGGGACATCAATTGGTTCAACAAGTTCTCCCTTCCTCCAGAGGTTGACATAGGGGATAACTTCCTTTAACGGCCGGCCAAGTGCTTCATATTTAGCTGCCCTGCTGAGATTATGGAGCGGAACCATCCCCCACATGCAATTGCTCTCATTCAAGTCTGTGGGGAAATCTGTTAGAATACTACCAGGATACACACTGAGAGCAATGATGGGAGGCGGTGTAGGCAGTGCTCGGCTCAGTCAACAACCATATTTTTCCATGACAGCTTTGAATGAAGGGTCGTGCAGAAGCTGGGTTGCAGTCAGACATTTCTCAGAACAAAAAATAAAGACTTTGAATATAATAAAAAGCACATGATTTTACTCAGTCTGATCAACTTCAAAGTGATATTTTGAAATCTTTATTGCAAAACTATATTTTGAATCAGATATTTGATGTTGATTATATCAGAAATTCAGAGTTTCAGAGTGAATGTAAAGATCTTTTCATTATTTAAATAATAAATTCAAATATTTAATTATATTAGATACTTCATTCTGACTCTGATCAGAGAAAGATAGATAATCAAAATATAATTATATAAAAATAATCATATAATTTCATATATCACAGATGAAATTTGAATCTTATTTATAAAATCAATTTAAAAAATAAAAAAATATAAATGAATAATTCTTTTGAATCATCAAATTATCAAATTTCATAAACAGATCAAAGTTTTCAAAATAGAATTTTTTAATATATAAATATTGTAAAACATCAATTGATTGAACAAGTTCTCCCTTTCTTCAGAGATTGATATAAAGTATATTTTTTTTTAACAATCAATTAAATATTTTATATTTAACTGCTCTGCTGAGATTATGAAGTGAAATCATTCTTCACATACAATTGCTCTCATTCAAATCTGTGGGGAAATCTGTTAGAATATTATCAGAATACACACTGAGAGTAAAAATGAAAGATAAAGTTTATTCATTATATAAATTGATGAAATTTATTAGTTAAATATTTAAAGTTTGATGCTTGCTTGACAGACTGACAGTCATAAAACCATTCAAAATATAATCTTGCAATAAAGATTTTAAAATATCACTTTGAAGCTGATCAGACTGAGCAAAATTATGTGCTCTTCATTATATTCAAAGTCTTTACTTTTTGCTCTGAGAAATGTCTGACTGCAACCCAGCTTCTGCATGACCCTTCATTCAAAGCTGTCATGGAAAAATATGGTTGTTGACCGAGCCGAGCACTGCCTACACCGGTTGTTCTTACTACGGGCAAACAATACGGAGTATCCCCGACACCAGCTGACGTCTGCGTGAGGCCGGTCCGGGTAGTGTTTTCCATTTATGGATTTTGTTGGAGTGTTCGTTGGCGAAACTATAGCACACGGGCAGGAATAAAGGACGTTCGTGTCAAACGGGTTGTTCAGGGGAACCGTCCAAGAAATGGCTCAGGGATATACATATGTTGCCTGCTCTATTCTAGCGCTATATGATGTACTAAGTTCGAATCTAAGCACAGTCCATTTTCGAAGCCAATCTTGACAAAAATCCAACGTGTAGATGCTCTGTGGTGGACGCTGATACGAAGGACGCTTGCGATGTTCTTGCTGCAGCTGGAAATTTATAGGTTACCTGTAGAGGCAGCACGACCGAGCAGCCTAGTTGAAGCTACAGCGGTACCGTGCTCTGACGGGCAGACAACTAGTTATAGGTGGAACAAGTTAATAATCCCGCGACTGCAGGATCCAACGGAACCGAAGCCATATATATATTAAAGCAGAGGTAATGCACTCAGAAACCATTCTTGGCTTAGTGATTTGCACCAACCGAGGCAAATGACTCTCCTTGACATGGGAATCATCCGCCGGAATGACCGATGATACCTTCTACTTCTCGTCCACGAACTAGAGATGGATGGAGCAAATGACGCAAATTTCATTTCAGACACTAGACTCCCTGCAGCCAGATGAAGCTGGAAGAGCCATCGAGTGCATGCAGCGCCTTTCAGATGTTTGTTGCCAATGTTTTGAAAATCATACCCACCAGTGACCTCGAATCAACTACTGTCAGCATCCCATCCATTTCCATCATCACTGAGGCGAAATCGGGAAGGGGATTACATATATTTAGATGGAGCTTCACAGATTGGAGGCCGGTGCCATGGCCGCAGATAATAAATAGGATGAAGGCTAAGAATACATGCCTGCGATTCCGGATCAGTTGACCTCTTTTATTTATAGCTGCTCTCTCACAGGCATCGAGGGGGGGGCCTCACTTTTACCACCCCACATCGCCGCCCCGCCGGAAAGTTGACGGAGTGGAAACCTCTCCTTTCTTTGAAGCATCTCCTCTTACATGGATTTCTAAACGATCCGACCGATAGATAGGTCCTGGTGCCCGGTTGATGTGGCAGTTTATAGACATTTTATTTAGAGGGACTGTTGGAAATGTCAAAATGATTGATCGGTTCTGAAGCTGGGGGTTAAATACTCACTCATCTTTAAGACAGTTAGTTATAACTGCATGCAACGTAATTTTGCTTTCTTGAAAAAGTTATTCTCCCCATAACTTAATTATAACTGTTCTGATCTATGATATCCCCCGCAGACAGACATACATCCAACATTTAGAGAGAGAGAGAGAGAGAGAGAGAGAGGAAATAAAATTGATATTTAGCCATATGCAATGTTTATTTTTCAATGTGTAAAACGAATGAGAAGAGTGACCCTCCCGCTGCCTACCTACCTAACCTGGCATAAAACATAAATGTATATATATTAAAAAAAAAAAAAAAAAAAAAAAAAAAAAAAACCAGACAGAATAAACAAACAGAAAAACATTCAAACAAGGATTCGTTTACTTCCGCAAACTCCAGATTTAACACCCAGTTCAAGTAATACTTAACAATGGGATATATATGGAAAACGCCTTACTCGCATTCATTTCATATCAAACGGACAAAAAGAGATCAAAGATATTTAGGCCAGGTCAGGTCAGGTCAGGTCAGGTCAGATCCGACCAAATGAGGGAACTAAAATACCAGTTCAACTTTAGCGTGAAGAGAAACTGAAACACACAAAAAAAAATTGAGTGGAAAATCGTATCCGTATGACGAAGCAGGGTATTTAAAAAAAAAAAAAAAGGGGGGGGGGAAAGGAAAAGAAAAAGGCGGGGCATTAGAAAGGTATGTATGTGGCGTAAACGAAGAAGGTAACGAAAATGGGTGAGAGAAGAAGTGAAGTGAAGTAAAGAAACTGAGGAGAAATTGCTGGGCCGATCCTGGATGGTGGGTTGCTAAGCATGAAATTGAGGGAGTAGCGATTGCGATGGTGATGGCTTTCATAAAAGGAGATGGGGAGCAGGGGAATGGCATGTGAACGATATGGAGCGGAGAGGGGCCGGTTGACCTGGCTGTAGGTTTAAAAAGGGTAAGAAAACTTGGACAGTATTGAGTGGAGAAAGGATAATGAAGCTGGTTTTTTTTCTTTTTTCTTTTCTTGGTATGCGATGAGAGGTTCGAATCGGTCTCATCTCATGCAATTTGCGGGGGAAGTCTTTCCCAGCAAGCGCCTATGTTGTCGTATTCCCCAGGACCGATCCGTAACAGGGATAAAAAGATGATAAAGTGGGTCTCTTTACCGTTCCTGGATGTGCTGTCCCGATAGCCTAAAGCGGTTTATATCTAACCATGAAGTGCAAAGTGTTAGATATTCCGTTGAAGATTGGCATCTATCAAGGAACCCTCTGTCGCCGCCCGCTGGAATTGCACCAATCGCACTAGATAAATAGTTCTCGTAAGAATTTTTCTCTTATTTCACGTCACGTATCATTTTGTGATGGAGATAGATCTGGGACAGCGGTTGATCTATGCAAATAAAAGGAGAGTGAAACGAATAAGGAAAAAAAAGGGTTTTAACCTACCTTTGTATCGGTGCATCCATCATTGTGCTCAACGCAATACTCACCCTGGCAGGTAGTACAGGTTCGCTGGACTTCTGCTTTGCAGGAGCCGCACTATTTATTTATAGTGGAACAAATCAGTAAGTCCATTGAAACAACGATAATTATATAAATTGTCGGCGGTTCAGGAGATGAGCGTGTCGTGGAAATGGAGAACTTACAGTAGCTCCGCACTCCCAACAATCTCTGCTGACACCTGCTATGAAGCGCTGTTTATAGATAGGAAAAATCATGGTTAGCTAAATTTGTTTTCTAGTTGGTAAAGAGGGGTGCTGGATAAAAACAAGGGAAAGGTGTGTAAATGACTCGTGTGGGAGTGCGCAAGTGGTAAAAAAAGATATTCAAAGCCATGTATTGCTACATGATAAGTACAAGATAGGTCAAAAGGCTAAAAGCATACTTCCTTCAATCATATCACCATTTTCATACAAAGAAGTGCTGGCCTGCGAAATTTTGTTTTTGGGTTTTCAATTTTTCTTTTTCGGTCCAAAATTTTCGCATTCAAGTCACCCTCGTATATTGTCATGGGATCGAACGAGAGGAGGTACTAGTAGCTTCGGTGTGGCATTGGAGACAGAGACCGTTGTTGAATACCTTTGGGTGTGAGGAGCCTCCTTCCCCCTCTCCAGATCCGGACGAGGAGGAGGATGAAGGTGAAGACTGGAGCGCGGTCTGATGTAACTTGGGGTGATGCCTCGGCTTTTCTGGGTGAGGGAGGCAGGCTGAACACCACCAGCTACCACAACGGTTGCACCAGCGGTTGATCAGGCATTCTTGGCACTGCATCATCAGAGCGGGCTGATCATTGGCAGAGAAGACGGGGGACTTGGCGGCGATGATTCGGGAGGAGTGGAGCGGGGGAGGGGTCAGGAGTGGGAATTGATACTCGGGTGAGTGACTCCACAGTGCCGGACCTTCAGGTGAAGTGCGACAGCCCTCGCAACCCCTGGGGCCGAGAGCAACTGTGGCGATTGCTGGTAATAGATACCTGGGCGGCTGCGTGTCGTTCCCTTCCACAGAGACAAATGGTTGATGGGCTGGGCTGCGGCATAACACCGCATCAAACGAGATGATGCCGTTACAAAGCTGCAGTGTCTCTGCCCATCCGTTGGGCATGGCTTTTCTAAGCACTTTGCCGGATCCTCTGTACCACGGATGTCTCCATGTCAGCTGATCATGGTGATTGTCTGCATCAGCGGAATTGCAAGGTTGATTGTCCAGTCTGTCCCTTCTAGCGACTGTGGAAGAGTGGTGCGTTTGCTGTCTGCTGTATAAGACATTCTGCGAATCATCCTTGGCTGTAAAATGATAGATCCCCTTCACTCTCGGCATACCCTTCGGCCGGGAAGGCCGGACGGCATACTGCAAGGTCTGCATCAACTTACGCTCGTTTAGATTGAGACAGTCCCTAATTGACAGTAGAACGACGTTAAACCTGTCCGTTAGGATAATATCGGCGATGAGGTCTGCGGGGACGGAGAGACCATCTAGAATGAGAGTTCTGACATCCTGTAAGATAGATCGACGTCCCAAATCAGAAAAGATGCCTCTCAAGGGACCTGAGTAAAAATCGTCTTCAGTCAGAGATTCATCCATGCGCTCGCTCCTCCACACCTCACCGCCTGCATCTATGGGACCCATTAACGGTGGTGGCTGAGCGGCGCGGCATGTTGTCAGATCCATATGCCGAAAGACGTATGGAGTATCCATTATGATGGAATGGAAAGCGGTGCATGTTGAAGCTAGCGAGAGTAGAGAGGAGATCGAAAGATAGGGCGCGATGTGGTCAAGAATAAGGGAATTGGATAGGAGGTCCAGTAGCGAAATGGACGCTGGGGTGTGAGAGAGAAGAAGTGAAGAGCTGGTAATCTGGGAGACGCGGCCGACCAGATGGTGTTTGTACGCAGCCATGGCGCCAGTGGCGATGGTTTCGTGCATTGCGGTACAACAGCAGGAGGCAGAAGTGGGAGAGGAGGAGATTGAAGTTGATGTCGCCGTTGCCCGGTGGCCCTGTATCTCCTGGAGCGCAGCTCTGGCATTCGCAAGTTCCGTTTCCAACAGATGGATAGTAGATTGTAAGACAATGGGCATGGCTTTTGTATTGAGAGGATCAATGACAGTCATCAAGGTAGCCCATAGCTGCCCTTGGGCCATATCAGGCCGGCTGATATGGGGGGGATTTACGTGTGTGAATTACTAGCAGTTCTTGTGCTACTTTTAAGCTGTTCCGGTCAATGGAGAGAGTGGCGGTGAATCTCGAATCTCGAGCTTGCGGAGGCGAACTGGAGCTTGAAATCAAGGACAACCAGGGCACTGAAGGTTAAACCTAAGAGCTGATCCCGCAGGAAACCGACAAACCAAGTATGCCGGGGAAGCCGGCCAGCAGGACGACTACAGAGAAAAGAGAGCCAAAGAAGAGCAGTAAGTAGCCAGCTGGAGAGGAGGTGTTAAATGTTAGGGTAGAGGAAGAGGGAGAAGGGGATTGAAATGAATAAATGGGAAGCTTTTAAAGAAGTGGAACCAGTAGCTTGGGGAAAAGTGGCAATTCGAAGCGTACAAATCGAAGCTGGATATATCTCGAGTGCCGTAAGTTTTGATATTTACTAGTAGGTTATGATGTATAAAAATATATCAAAAAGGACGATTGAGGGTGGAGAGAAGAGCGGTAACTATATATATATATATATAAGAGACGACAAACCTCAACCATCTGTGTTGGGGTGGCTAGATAACAGCGATGCCAAAGCATATAATAATAACAACATCCTAATAGGAATAGCAAATAGCTTCATATCAGAGGCTAACTTGGTGCTACGCCCGGCGCTGCGGGAGGGCGGCGAACTCGGCGAGCACAACTCATCGCAGGCCGCTATATAGATATCGACCACAGCTAGCGTCTGGGCGGGGGGAGGGCGGTGGAGCTGAGAGGGACAAGCAGACTGAGCAAGAGGCCCATTTGATACGGCCTGATTGTCGATTCTCTGACTATTTATCAACAGATCTACCGTCCCGGCTTCGTATCCAGATTGTCCTTGGCCCTGAAAAGAAAAGAAAAAGTCCAAACAAAAGCCAACCTGCAGCTTCTCCCCCCCCAGCTGTTGCATACGAGTACTAGGATTGGCGGGAACGGTGTCCATGTCCCGCATATTCCTGTCAAGCTCCCTACATACCCACCCACACTTACATTACGTGCGCTAACTCCTGCAGCTCTACTCCGTACGCAGCACTGTGTCTTCGTGCCTCTCACTAACCACCTCGATTGGGCAGGGAAAACACGCCTGTGAGTTAAGGCGGAAAGCCTCGTCCTCGTCCCCGACATGATAGCCCAGCATAGGCAGCTCTCGACCTTGGATCGCTCCGCTCCCCGGAGTTGTTGGATCAGACTTCGAAGAGGAAAAAGCAAAATGGTCACAAGACGCGGTGGAGAAATTCCTTGTACAGCTCAGGAACTTGAAAGAAGACCCAACAGGTCAGCCCGCGGATAGCTGCTCACTAGTGATATAAAAGTCGTGCTTTTAGGGTCTTGGAGAGCCAAACGCAGACTGATGGAGAAAGAGTTTCAGAAGAACTAATCTGTAGTATTATATCCAAAAGCAGTTGGCAAGTATAAAAGTGCAATCGCGAGCTGGCCCTTTGTTCCTAATGCATGAGTTAGTACGGAGTAGCACACATGGAAAGGCTTATTGCGCAGAAAACCCCACTCCATAGCTTCGAGTAGGGCGTTCGTGGGCCCAATGAAGAAGCGTTTGTAGATGCCGGTAGACCGGACTTGCATATGCACAGAATATGCTGAGCTGTTTTTGAAACTCTCTGGCACGATTCTGTCAAATAACCAGGAATACAGTACTCCGTAGATGAGATGGCATCTGCAAAGAGGAGATGTTTTGAGAGATCAACATATATACATATATTTACGGCTTCATTTGAATGTTTCTGTCAATTGATACCCTTGTATATATAGGAATATAGAGAACTAGTTTATGTAGAGTCATACACTCTACATAATTTCCAACTCCTAAGGAGGAAAAATCAAAAGATGACACCAAGACGCTACTTGCCTTTTCTACACAAGATATCTAGGTGAATACGTGCACTCTATAATTGTACAGTACATAATGATGCCCAAAAGAAAAGAAGCAAAACATGGGGAGAGAAATGAATGATTATGGGAGCAGTGAGACGAAAAGAAAATCGAGAAGGGGAAGCGGTGTTTAAGAGAGGTTTATAGTTAAGGTAACGTAGAGCAAAATATAGGCGCGCTCTGGGTGAATGAAACCTGTCAGACCCGAATCCCGATCCCGCCCCGTAAAATGATCCATATTCTTCATGCCATAACTCGGTTGACGTAAGGAGGGTCCGACCGAGCTAAGTGAGAAGTGGCTGGAGACGGTCGGATTTTCGCCATGATTTCTTCGTGTACTTTTACCCTGTGAAAGCGGACTACCTTAGCTGGCCGCAGGTGATACCAACTTCGCCGATTGGATTTATCGCTGCCAAATTCGAAAATGAAAACACCGCGTTGTTCTGCTCCTTTCGTCCCTCACTGGTTCTATTTCTTCTTCCCACCCTTTTATCCACCCTAACCACAACTTTCGATTACGCTTATTTGAAGAATTTCTGCAAACTGATTTCCTTGTCGTCGTGTTTGTTAAGCACCTTGGCAGTCGCCAGGTCAAAATCCTCCTGTGTAACATGTACTCGGCGCTCGCGCAATGCATACATGCCGGCCTCTGTGCAGACGCCCTTGAGCTCTGCGCCGGAGCAGCCATTCATCTTCTCAGCGATCTTAGTGAGGTTGATGCCGCGGGTTAGGTTCATGGATCTGGAGTGGATGCGGAGGATGTCTGCGCGGGCTTCGACACTGTGATTGATTGGATGGTCAGTGGGTTGATTTTAGGTGCGATTTATGATGTGGAAGACAGGCTTAGCTTACGTGGGTGGGGGAAATTCAATCTTTCGGTCGATTCTTCCAGGTCTTAGGAGAGCAGGGTCGAGGATATCAAGACGATTGGTAGCCATTATTATTTTAATGTTCTTCGTAGGTTCGAATCCGTCCAGTTGATTCAGGAGTTCCAACATGGTGCGTTGGACCTCGGAGTCTCCTCCACTACTGCCTTCCACACGACTGGATCCGATACTGTCAATCTCGTCCATGAAAATAATGCTGGGAGCATGTTCGCGAGCCATAATGAACAACTCCCTGACCATCCTGCTGCCTTCACCTATATACTTCTGAACCAGCTCCGAACCACTCACCCGGATGAACTTGCAATCTGCGTGATGTGCCACTGCTCGTGCGAGGAGAGTTTTGCCGGTCCCTGGAGGTCCATATAAGAGTACGCCCTTTGGCTGTGCAATACCTAGCGACTCGAAGAGTTCCGGGTGATTGAGGCCGAGTTCGATGACTTCTTTGATTTCCTTGATTTGTTGATCAAGGCCACCGATCATGTCGTATGTGCTGTCTGGGACTTTCTCAACCATCATCAGCGATACGAGCGGGTCAACTGATGATGGAAGCATTTTTTCGAGCTTGTATGAATCCGAGAGCAGTGACACTCGTTTCCCTACTGTGAGCTTGGAGATGTCGACATTATCCGCGACATCAACAACTGGGTAATATCATTAGCTGGGTTCTGGTGATCTATCCTGGATCCAATTCTCAAAGATAACCTACCGTATTTCCCTTCCGGATGTACCTTGACAAGCACCTTCTTAGTGCCCATAACCTTGACCACTTCGCCGACGTAAGATCCCGGTTGTTGTAACAGACCAAGCTCTTCCCGTAGCAGCCTTACTCTGGAGTTGTAGTCATTCCGTTGTGCTTCAAGCCGCCTCAAGACAGCTTGGCCTTGGATGATTTCAAGCTTCATGCTCTCTATCTTGTTGCGAAAATAGTTATCGAGCGCCATGATTTTGTTTGGGGGCACCCGTGGCTGGAGCTGGCAGTTGAAGAAGAGAATGGCTCCGGATGGATGTAAGGGAGCTGAGTGTTGTTAATAGGAGGAAAACGGAAACAAATTGTGATAAGGGGTTGGTCTGGTATTGGGTGAGGATTGTGCGTGAACAGGATAGAATTCTCCCTAGCTAAAAGCAAAGGAACCTTGGCAACTAGCTAGCAGATTAGTCATCATACCACCAACTTACCGCTGTTTGCGCTGTTTGTTATGGATCAGGCGGCTCCTGAGCTTCCCTCGGACATTGCGCTAAGCCTGTTCTTTATTTAGCTCCAGCCACTTGCATCTGCAGCTGACTTGCGCAACAGATCACGGGCTGCTGGCCTGGCATCTCCGTCTGTCCGCTGCCATTTATTTCCTGCGGATATGTCCTCTTCCTAGCAATCCCCCTTCTCTCTGGTAAGGAGATTTCGTGGTCTCTGATGCTGTTGAACCGCGGGGTTGGTCTGTCCCTGGACAATCCCTCCACTACATCCCATCAGATAGCTTTGTTTAGCATGCAAAAATTGGCACACGCTGTATTTCAGACGTCCATATCACTACCTACTGCAAAAATGAACTAGAATAATATATTGTTCTTCCATATTTCACTCTCGCACTGATATGAATTCTCGTGCCAATCTCTCTTGAACGCCCCCTTTCTTGTGTTGTCCGATTTAACACCTTCAAAACCATGTCATCCACCAAGAATAATCAAGATCCTCAGGATCCATCACTGTCTTCATCAGCTTCAAAACCGTCAGAGAGTAACCCTATTATCGAAACAGAACAGGACGCTCAAGCTTCACCTGGCAAACGACTGGGAAGGCCTAGACCAGCGCAACCCCAGCGGAGGACTACTTATGGTCAGAGGCCTTCAATAAACTTGAAAATCTTCCTTTCAATGGCTAACGCGTTTCTAGGCACAATGGACTCGCAGGATACAGGCGGACGCGGATCTCGCACGGAAGGAAGCTCCGTGACGACATACGAGCCCATTCGACCGGCTCACATCTCGTGGCGGTCGACGGAACGAACAGCCAAAAAGCCACCAACCTTACGCAGGACTTCTACCAAACCACATAGAGGACAAGAATTCTCAGTAGATGATGATCCAAGGGAATATGAGGAAGACAATGCCCTTTATAAACACCCCTCCATGAGGTCGACTGCATCACTTCGTCGAAGGGGTACCCACATCCAACAACCTATGCTCGAACGTGTTGATTCGAGAGACGAAAGTGGAAATGATGATATACCATCAGCTGAATCCAGTAACCGCTTAGGTGATGACCGGGGCGAGCCCTCTGGACTCAGCAGCATGAGCGTTGATGGTGACGACGATTCTCATAGCGACGTGAGTGATGCGGAAAGCTTCACGCTTAAAGACCGCCAGCAAGCCATAAATGAGACCCATCCATTTGGTATAAGGATCTGGAAACCAGCTCTTTATAAGAAGCTTCGATCTGTCGAAAAGACCGCAGAGGGAGATATCCATTCAGTGCCCGGAGAGCGAGTTAGCAACTGGCTCTATATGGCCAATTTTCTATGGTCAATCATTTTCGGTTGGTGGTTGGCGCTGGCTGCCCTTCTCGGCGCTCTTGCCTGTTTTCTCTTGGGCTTTTCGCCCGATTCCATGGCTTATGGGAGAGTGTTTTCCCACCTGTCTCTCTACCTGCTCTATCCTTTTGGATCCTTTGTCCGTCTCGAATCCGATGAGAACTACGCACTTGAAGATGAAGGTGAAGGTCGCAGTATCAGCGAGTATGAGCAATGGCAAAGTGGAGATCTTGAACATGGAAGACTTTTCTTTGGCCCTATTTCTGATAGGTCACTGGTCGGACGTCGCAGAAATAGCATCGACTCCGCTAGTGAAAATGATAGCCTGCTTGGCAGGACAGGAAGAGCATCGCGAGAGGAGAATTCTTTGAGGATCAAGAAACGCTTTTTCGGCCGCGGGGAGTGGACCTTTGGAAGAGTCATATTTTATACGTGGTTCTACTTTGTGATCGGTCCATTGATGCTCCTTGTCTCTCTTGTCTGCTGGTTGATGGTCTTCTGGATTCCCATGGGCAGAGTCACCCTCATTTTATTACACCATCTTCGCCGCCACCCTTTGGCACTTTCGTTCCATTCGGATACGACTTACACTCGGTCACCCTCTCGGCCTTCTTCTTCGATCTTACTTTGTACGTACCGCGCTGCTGGCCTTAAATACTGGAAATACACCATCGACGGAACCAACATTTTCCTCATCAATCTCCTTGCTGTGGTTCTGTTCACCATTCTAGATTATTTTGTCTTAAACCAGATGCTGAACGTAAAATCGTGGATCACTCACTCCGGCTTGATATTTTCATTAGCTCTAATGTCCATTATCCCTTTGGCATATTTCATCGGACAAGCTGTGGCGTCCATTTCCGCTCAATCATCAATGGGATTAGGTGCTGCTGTCAACGCCTTTTTTTCGACGGTGGTCGAGGTATATCTCTATTGCATTGCCCTAACAGAAGGCAAAGCCCGGCTCGTGGAAGGGAGTATTATCGGGAGTATTTTTGCGGGTATCCTCTTTCTTCCCGGGCTGTCAATGTGTTTTGGCGCCATCAGACGCAAAACTCAACGGTTCAATGTTAAATCTGCTGGAGTTACGTCGACCATGCTCCTATTTTCTGCTATTGCGGCATTTGGACCGACGCTCCTTTATAAAGTTTAGGGCCCGGAAAGTCCCCCCCCCCCCCCCCCCCCCTCCCCTTTTTCCATAGCCATGCTGGCCCTCCTTCATTACTGGGTACTTACACACTTGTTTTAATAGCACGAATTAAAGTGCATGTCATGTACCAGCAGTGGGCTGGGTGGACCAAGGGACTGTCGTCGTTGCTACTTCTCAGAAAAACCTGAACTTCAGGACAGATTTTTCCTGAAAGCAGTGCAGCCGATTTCTTGGTTTGCAGCTTTGCTGCTTTTCTTATCATACGTAATTGGGCTTTGGTTTACATTGAGGACCCATGCTGCTATTATCTGGGCAAGCGAGCTTGATGAGAAAAAGCCTCTACACACACCTACACACCCACACACCCCTCATCTCCTTCCCCCAGACTCCGATTTTTCCAGCGGAAAAGCCAAACAAGTTACTTCCGCTAACGGGCCCCAACATGTCAGTCATGGAGGCACTTATCAGCGAAGCGGGTCTATTCGAGATTCTCAGCTGTACACTCGCATTCTGGGGCAGTCATTAAAACATGTTGGCCTTCCTTCAAAATCAAACGATGGCAGTTTGGAACAACCTTCGACCCAAACAGAAAACCAAAATATTACTCCCCACCTTGTTCCACCCAAAGACCATGATAACATAGCTGAAACTCTCTGCCTTCCTGGCCTGTCGGAAGAACAAAATGAATTGTTTGTCCGTAAGGTGGCAGAGGTAGCCGCTACCGCCGCTGCTGTGGCAGCCCGTGATGTTACAACCCGGCAAAGAAGGCCACCAATTGCTTCTCACGCCTCCGAACATCCACATAACAAACCAGTTGGCGTTTCCAGCACAGCTCACGCTGAAGATGTGGAAGAAGGCGGACTGCTTGCTGAAACCCACGTCGCGGAAGCGGGTGGTCACGACGCGCCCAATTGGAGCAAGATGAAGAGCTCCGTCATTCTTCTAGGTGCCACGTTGCTTTATGCGATCATCGCTGAGATATTGGTAAACACAGTTGATACTGTGCTGAACAATTTTGATATAGATGAAAAGTTTCTAGGCATTACGCTCTTCGCGCTAGTTCCGAATTCTACGGAGTTCTTGGTATGTGTTTTTTATTTCTTTATTTTTTATTTTTTTATTTTTTATTTTTTATTTTTTATTTTTTATTTTTTTTTTTTTTGAAGTGATACAGAAGCAAAAGCGTCTAGTATTAACCGTTATCAATAGAATGCCATTTCCTTCGCCATCAACGGAAACATAGCTCTATCAATGGAAATCGGTTCTGCATATGCCCTGCAAGTGTGTCTTCTGCAGATCCCCGCCTTGGTGTTATTCAGCGCCATATACACCCAATTCATAGACAAAAAGGATCTCCTAGAACACTCTTTCAAGTACGTTTATATACAGGCCTCTATTTATATCATCAAGAGAAGAAGGAAACACTAATTTCCTGTTATTTTCACACAGCTTGATATTCCCACAATGGGATATGATCACCGTGATCCTCTGCGTTTTCCTCCTGTCCTACATGTACGGCGAGGGAAAGAGTAACTACTTCAAGGGTTCCATCCTTGTCCTTTCATACCTATTTGTGATTGCCGGTTTTTATTTGTCTGACTTTAACGATATAAACGCCATGGACGTTGATCCGGCTGATAGCTTGGCCATGGGCCAGAGTGCTGTGTTTCGGACCATTGGTAGGACGAAGGGAGGTGAGGCCTATTTATGATAATATTTTTCATTAATGTCCACAAACTAGTCAGTGGTTTTGCCTGTCGACGGAAAAAGGGAGGAGGGGGGCAGGATTTCGGATTATGGCTGGGGTTGGTACAAGGTTGCTTTAATATGGTTAGTTAGTTATGTTTTTTTGTTATTATTAATCTTCTGTAATTGGTATTAATCACAAGATGTCCTGACGATCATAGAGCTTGGAAGTGGCATAATTGGGGAATATATCTAGGTTGTTGATCAACATTAGCTTCATTAGAGCTCTCTATTTGCTTTTTTAGTTCTTGATGGAAAGTGGAAGATGTGGATTATAACGGAGCTGGTGCCGACAGTTCTGAAGTTTTTGTTTAGATTAAGAATGAAGAAAGAAAAAAAAAAAAAAAAAAAAAAAAAAAAAAAGAGGCAGCCCCGATTGAAGATATATGATGTATGAAATGACTTCATGTGCCCAATATATTAAGGTAATGCTAATAAAACGGGCATTACCCAATGAAAAGCATATCTCTGCCACAGTTCTTTCAATGTATGAAAAATTGGCAGGAAGTCCTGTAGAGAGTATACGTGATGATATGCGTGGCTTTTAACAGAAGCAATGAAAGAGGGAAGTCCGAAAAGAGTGCAAGAAAAAAAAAAAAAAAAAAAACAAAAACAAAAACAAAAAACGCCAGTGTCATTAACTTTTTTATATGGCCAAAACGTGGAAGGAAAATCAAATTTGGAACAAACCCACAATTCCTCCTTTCTACCCACTTTGATATTTCCCGTTAGTTATTTAGTAAAAGGGTCTCTCGTCAAAACCCAAACCAACCCCCCCACCCCAAAACGGAAATACTCATTCAATTCTTCCCCCACCCCTCAATTACCTCATCCACGTCCCTCCTATACTCCTGCTGCTTATAGCACTGCTCCAAAAACACCTTATACTTGACCTCCAGCAACTTCATCTCATATTCATCTGTGGTCGGCTTCACCATCTTCCCCGGCTTACTCATCCGATCCATAATATTCCACAAATCCTCCGTCTTGCCATTCTCATCCACGCTGGCCGCCTTGGCGCCCAACATCGCTGCACCATGACACACAGCCGCATGGACGTAGCGGGGAATAAGCACTGGCATCCCGCACGCGGACGCGATTAGCTTCATCAGAATGTCGTTCTGGCATTGCGAGCCGGACATGAAGATTGAGGTGATGCTGTGGCCAGCTTTGTTCATCGTTTCGATGATCTGCTTTGTCTGCAGCGCGATGAATTCGAGGGTTGCGTAATAGTACAGCGCGAGGCCGCTGACGGATTTATCGCTTGAGAGGCCGATGACGGAGCCGGACATGGTGGGGTCGGCGATTGGGGAGCGGTTGCCGAACAGGTCGCCGTAGAAGAAAAAATGGCGACCTAGGTAGGCGATGGATGGCACTTGGCTGTCCGCAGCCATCTCCTTGAGGTGCTCGTTGAGGTAATCGTAGATGTTTGTGTGGTAGGATTCGGAGACGGAGAGCGCCTGGTTGAAGGCTGGGTGCGTCTCGATAACGTGTTTGAGCAATTCGCCTGTGGCGGATTGGCCGCCTTCGGCCATCCAGAAGCCTGGGATGATGGTGTCGCGATATGGACCCCAGACCCCAGGAACGAAAACTGGGTTTGGCGACATGGCAAGGTGGCAGGTTGATGTACCTGCTACAGCCGCGAGGCGGCTGAAGGCTTGGGACCTGTCGTTTTTGGCTGCTTCGGAGCTCAGCTGGTCAGATCCTAGTTGGACTTTCGCACCCACGGTGCCTATCCAGCCGGCATACGCATCGATAACCCCACTTCCTACGGCGATTCCAGTGGGCAAACCTAGTTCTGAGGCTGCTTTATCACATAGAGTCCCAACGAGTTCTCCAGCAGAGAGATATTCTCCATTCTGTATAGTGTTATTAGTTCTGCATGACTCTTTGATTCTGTAAACGTATAGATATTAAAAATCACAAAAGAGGGGGACACAAAAACCAACCTGACCATTGACACCTCCAATGCGCTTGAAGCTATCCTCAGTCAACTCCTCCAGCCCGATCTCATTCAAGAAATCGGGTTGCCACCCCTTGACACTTCCATCAACACCCACAGGGACATATCCCTGCTTACAGACGACGCTGCAGAAGCTCCTCTTCTCATTGCCAGTAGCTAAATGCGTCAACGCATCCGTCAAGTCGTAGAATTTGCAACGGTCAAAGAGCTCCTTGGGCATGTTATTCTTGAGCCACAGAACCTTGGGGATCTCCATTTCAATGGACATCTTGCCACCCACATAGCGGAGGAGATTATGGGCAGTGGCATTGATCTTTTCAGTCTCCTCGACGGGGCGGTGGTCGAGCCAGAGAATGACGTTACGGTCCGTGTCGAATTTGGGCCCCGTGACAGAGACAGGTTCGTCATCGTCATGGGAAAACACTGCTAGAGAGCAAGTGGCATCGAAGCCTATGCCGCGGATTGAAGCGGGGTTTATATTGTGCTGGCTTATGGCGCGTTGTACTGAGATGCAGATGCAACGCCAGATATCTGTTGTAGATTGTTCCTGGGTATATACTTATCAGTATTATGCAGATATAAGATTATATAGATCTGAAGAAAATTAACCTACATAGTACCCCTGTTGTGGCTGCCAGAGGCCAATATTTTCCGAAGCCAGGCCCACAATGTCACCTTTGTTATCGATGATGCAGGCCCTAGCGCTACCGGTACCGACGTCGATGCCGATATAGTGGTCCATCTGCGGGGAGATCTCGTTTCGGGGATCCATGGAAGCTTGCCTGGACATCTGGCGCGAAGGTCGACGGTATGGGAGCGAAGTCATGATGGGAGAAGAGGGGGCTTTCAAGTCCCTCTCTATATACCTGCCCGTTTCACGATGTCTATCTCCTCCCGCCCGGATTGTCAAGCAAAGCCGCGATGCAGCCCTTGCTTACGACGATGAGGGGGCAAGGCGTCAAACAGGCCTTGACTTCTTTTGAAATTGGATTGGACTGGGCAAGAACCGGACTGGATGGCAGGAATGTAGGAGCAAGCCGCACAATAGGTCTAGAACATCTTTCCCCAGATTGATCAGTCGGATGACCACCAGAAAAGTTGTTGATTTCTGATTCGTGTTTAGGGGGCCAGCTTATCAGAAGAGGGGAGGAGAGTAGAGTTAGATTTGCGATTGGCAGGAAAGGATCAAAAAAAAAAAAAAAAAAAAAAAAAAAAGAGCAGACAAATTTACTTCGGAATCGATATTGATTGAATATCTCACATGCGGGACAGCAGATTGTTGTTGTTGATTGCTGCTAGTTCTTCTCCAACGCGGCTATAACTGGGACTTGATGTTGAGATAGGACGCGGTTTTCTTACCCGATATGAAGGGAGAGATGAGATGATGAAGTAAAACAGGAAATACTTCACTTTTTCCCTTCTCTTTACATAGAAGTAAAATCAATTGTGAAACATGAAAATTGATTGATATCTATTGCATTGGCTCTTGACCAATTCTTATTAACAGCCCAATTTTGCCGACCCTCCTCTGCGGTGGAGCAGCATGATGCCTGGTTCCCTGTTCGGCGCTGGATGATGGCGGAACCATAACCCACAAACCCCACAGGCAGCACTGGGTCCATAAGCTAATTAAGCTAGTTCAACCATCTCACCAAGGAACCCAAACTTGTACTGGTCCTCCGGATCATGGGATATGCATATCCTAACCTCCAGCCAAGAAGGCGACGGTTGATAGCCGCTGCGTTGCGTTGGTAATCCGACCACAGTTACTCCGTCCTAGTAGCTGTATCAGCCTGTATCAGCCTGTGGCAGCCTGTGGAGAGACGTGTTTGCGCAATACCTGCAATCATCACTTCAGACCAACTACCCAACCATAGGCTATGGCAACTCCAGGCGTTGAGGGATCTCCAATGTCCTTGCCTCATCGTTTTCATCGATTCTTGATGTAGCGCGTTACGGATATCGCTTGTGGACATCGTAGTAGGCTATGGCTGCAGGCTGTTTTGAATCGGGAGGAGACAATAGATCTGGTCAACAGCCAATAGCTCTTGTGTCTCCAAATAAATGCTTTTATGAGCACTGAAATTTTCGATCCAAAACATGTAACTGGGATGGGATATTGGTCATCCTTACCGTATTGTTACGATGCCTCCGAACCTTGCCCATGTGACGTGACTCCGAGGTATGTACTCCGTACTCCGTACAGCAACCTGATCTTCCATCTGCACTAGTATTTACACGATTCTTTGCGCGATAGCAATAGCAGATCGAAATCCCTCTGCCCAACTCGAAATATGTTATGATATTCTGGTAGATCTTCGTTTCTATAACCGCTGCATACGGGCAGCCATACGTGTTCGCAATGCGCCTTGCATTCCTCTCCCTTCTCTCCCTCTCCGTGTCTGCTTTCACCTCCGCCTCCGCACCACCTCTATCCGCCGATATCTTCTACTGGCCACTCTCCTCCTCCACTTCCAAACGCATCCGTCTGGCCAAAATCTCCTACGATCCCTCTACCCTTACGCACACAATCGACTCCTACACCCCTCCCCAGCCCCAAAACGTCGCCTCCAACAACGTCGATGCCCAGGCAGACCTCGTCCGCATCGGCCTCTACACCAACCCCAACCTCAGCGATACCGAAAGCAGCAGCGGCAGCAGCAGCCAGAAGAAACAATGGGTCGGAACCATATCCTCCCTCTCCCTCTTCGCAAACACGCCACAAACCCTAACTCTCCACCTCGATCAAAATAACCATGTCTACCACGCCGCCATCTCGTCCCTCGTATCACCATCGCCCCTTTCGTCAAGCCCAGATTCTAGGGCTACGAGAATCAAGACCCCCTCTCCTCCTTCCCCTCCGCACAGAAATAGCAAAGGAGCTGGGACGGAAGCGGGCTCTCTCAAAGTCGAGCTCATCCGCTCCAATCCCAGCCCCAGCCCGCACCTCAATCGTGCCGTCGTGCGGAGTCCGGACGGCACTGTGCCTGAAGCAGCTATTGAGAAGTCGTTTTTCCAGAGGTGAGTCTCCCACCCATCGTCGTCCTATTTTGCTCGTTTTTCAATTTCTTTCTTTCTTTCTTTTTTTTTTTTTTGTATATATATATATATATATATATATATATGTATGTATGTATTTGTTGTATGTTAGATGTTAAATGTGTTCCCGCTAACCTCGCCCGGGGTTTAAATAGATATTGGTGGGTTCTCGGGATTATTGGTATTCTAGCATTTACGGGGAGTGCGGACGGGAGCTAAGTCAGGTAGACCCTGCTTGCAGCGAATTGAATGCAATGAATGAACAGATGGATGGATGCGTGAGGTAGAATGCAGTGAACTTTTTTTCCTTGTTCGGCGGGGCATGTATAAATATAGTATGTAAAAGATGCACGGCGGTTGTACGATCACACTCTCTAATCTAATAACCATATCATGCAAAACAATATGAAAAAAATATGAGAAAAAAAAAAAAAAAAAAAAAAAAAAAAGAAAAGAAAAGAAAAGAAAAAGAAATATCATTGCCGCGGAAGTTCTGTAAGTTACAAGCAGGAAGGAACTCTTGAGGAAAAACCACAATGGACAACGAAATACAGCCGTTTTTTTCCAAGGCTTACTGATTTCTAAAAAATTATAAAATATGGTCCATGGATTTATTTATTTATTTATTTATTTATTTATTTATTTATTTTTTTTTTGGCTTGAAAGCTACGCTTCCCACACGACGCACTGCTTCGTGAGAAATATCCTTCATTGACCCAACTCTATATTAGTTAACTACCCTGAGATATTTCAAGAGAATCAAACCTGGAATAAACGCCGGCTTAAGCAAGCAAAACAACTGTAGAGAGAAAAAAAAGAGGGAAAAGGGAAAGGGAAACCAGATCACAATGCAAGGAATTGAGAACACGGCCGAAATCAGTCATAAAGCGTTTACTCGCAGACATATTATGTTCTCGAAGAAAGAGATTAAAAAAAAAAAAAGAAAAAAACAAGGGTTTTGCCCTGCAACTATCTATCTCCTCCAGCATGATATAGTTATAACTTATGGTGGGACATGAGAACTTGAGGGTAGAAAGGATTGAAAAGTCCCACCATCACCATCACTATGGTTGTCAGCATCTTCCATCTCTTGATCTTCTTCGTCCTCGACGCCATTAACCTGCGCTTCGCTATCGTCACTCATCTCACTACCAATTTCCGACTCACCCCCTTCATATACAAAGAGTCCCTCTTCATCCGTATCCGCGCCCGCTCCTTTTATCTTCCTATCCGCACTCTCCTCCCCCTCACTCTCCCCTTCGTTCCCCCAAGCTCCGTCCAAAAGCCCCAAAACTGCCCCTTCTTTCCTCCCCACTGTCCCGGCCCCAATCTCCCACCTCATAACTCCGCGATCCGTCAGCGAAACAATCTCATCCTCCCCTTCCCCAAAACTTAACATGAAACACACAGCCTCACTCTCCAATACCACGGGTTCCAACAAAACAGCACCGGTCACGCCGGCATCAATCATGTTCTCTGGGTAGACACCAGACGCATTCCATTCAATGATCGCTTGCGGGTCCAAAGGCCAAACCGTGATGGTCTTCCAATTCGCAATCGCCAGACGCGTCGCGCATCGCGACGTTGCTACGATCCCCGGCAGCGTGTTCACGCTTGTGCTGTACCCGGCCAACCGCGCAGCAACGCGCCAGCTATCGAAGCGCCGACCACGGTCGAGGTTCTCGATGTGATGGCAGTGGACAGAGCGGCAGAAGGTTTCTGTCATGAGGATGCAGGCCACGAGTTCGCCGCGATTGTCTGTCGCGGTGCCGAGAGCCAGGTATTTCCAGTGGCACTGCTCACGATTCAAGTGATTGGTCACGGTCTCGTGCGTGCTGAAGAAAGGAATGGCGATAGTGAATCTAAGGTTGTCTTCTTCGACATTGTTGATTGTGAGGTTGTTGCGGTATATTACCCAGCAGGAGTTGCCAAGGAGACCGCTGGTGCTTATTGCTCCACCGGGTATAAGATCGATGCGTTGGAAATGGCCATATATTGTTGAGGCAGGGTGATAGTAGAGCAGCTGCGTAACGCCGTCATTGAAGGCCATTTGGATTACCGGTTCGATAGGCCGTGTGTTCCGGTGTTGATGGTAACCGTTGTCATACGGCATGGTTCCGTCTTCGTCGATGATAATATTGTCGTTGTAAACTTGGTCTATGAGGGATATATTAATTGATCTGTTGCGAGTAACAGAGACGTGTTTTGATGGTTATAAGAAGGGGGCTCGATCTCTCCTACACATTCATCTTCAGAAAGAGCGGAAAAACTCACACGATAGTTTCATTTTTCCTACAGTCTCGTCTTGTTGCGCGGCATGGACAACAATCATACGTCTGTCTGGATGCTGCTTATGCTGCCATGATATCGCCACCAGATATTGACCGGCCACAGCAATTGCCAATGGGCGATACTCATCTTGGGCCGGGAAGGCAGAAATCGTCACGCGCGAATATCCTGACCCGGGCTTGCTGCGGCGGTAATGCACAAGCTGTGTGCTTTCGGCCCGGTACGGCCTCATCGCCTCTTCTTCGAAGGGGTGTTTGTTTCTCGGCGTCTTCCCATGGCCATTCACAGTTCCACTTTCGCCAACTCCTTGGGACCCGTTCTCACCGTCCTTTGCCGGAAAGGGCGTAAATCTCTGCAATACAGAAACCATATTCCCCCTGTCACTAATAATGGCCTTAATCACCTCAACCTTCCCAGGACATACGGTGAAGGCTTCCAGCACGCCCCGCGGTACCATCCGACCCCCAGAAACAAAATACAAGAAAACACTGGGTAGACCCTTCTGCACCAACGCTACATTGGGATCACCGTCACGGTGTATGGTTGAAGCCAGAGTGTCAATGGCAGGTGCGCCCTTGTCAAAAGTGTATACACTTTGGTTGGCGTGGAAGTTGGCGCCACGCAGCTGCTGGGCTGCCCGTCTTTGGAGCAAGAGAAAGAGCTCTGCTATGCCTTTAGAGGAGAGTTCATTGTCGTTATTGTCACCACCACCACTGTGACTGGTATTGACAGTGCTGAGGGTTCTAGGGGTTGAGGGGAGTTGAGACAATTGGTACAAAAGCCCCTTGCGATAGTTTGAGAGAACTGCAAAGAGCGTGCGACAGGTATAAGCTGTTTGAAGGCAGCTGGTGACAGAAGAAAAGTCGAAAATATATTCTAGGAGTTCTGTGGGCAGGTTTAGGAGGTGCATTTTTTTGACGCACATGTGTTGAAAACAGGGAGGGTTAGGAAGCCCGGGGTATACCGGTTTTGGATAGGGAAGGGATGGTGGTGTACTTTGTCCCTTTTTTTCTTTTTTTTTTTTCTTTCTTTTTTTTATATAGCTGGAACAAAATAGTGAGAGACAGGATAAAGAAACAGGAAGATTTGTGGGACGATGTTTAAGAAATGGTGGTGAGTATAGTAGGGGTAACAGAGAACTGTATGTTGCTTCGCTGGAGAGGGGCTCAGACGACGGATCCAGTCAAGCCATTGACCTCCACTCGTCAGTGCTACTAGTAGTCCAGATAAACAGAAATCGAGGAGATGTACCAACGAAATGAACAAAGAAAGTAGAGATCGATAACTGCGTCGAGGACGGGAGGAGAGAAACGTTTATAAAGATATACTCCGCATCGACGCTGTTCCTGTCCAAGCCATCGATGTCCAAGTGGAGCTGGTGCCTGCTGGCATCCCCAGCCGGAAAAACATTTAAGCGATGGCCCCCTGAGATCTTGCAATTTCATCACAGAGCATTCATTTATAGACGAGCAACCGCGGAATACGACAGCGATAATGACTTGTGCATTTTTGTTTATAGGCAAACCAGGGCTTTTTTGGGCCTAACTACTGATATTGTGGACGTGGAGGAATGTCACCTCGCCTCAGCCTCAGATATTGGCTCCCGGATGAGAAAACAGATCGAACAAGAAACATTTGAATTGCACGACTCTCATTCTTTTTATTTTGATTTTATCCCAGCATCAAAGATGTGCAAGCTGATGTTCTTTCTTATGAGATACGTCTCTTGCCTAGTAGGGACTTGTCGTGGGTGCACGCAGAATACTAGTACTAGTATTCTGTCAAGCCCGATATTTGCGAAGAAGATGATATGAGCGGAGGAAAATAGAATGAAGAGTGACAGCTGGCTTGGAATATCACTGTCATCCATGCCTATCCTCTGTGCCTGATGAGCAGCTCCAATCGATTGCCCAATGCTTTTGCTCCGGCTAGACATTGTGTATTTCACAGCATCAATTATGAACCCGCTGGACGAAACAACCCTCCAGTCCTTCAGGACGACATCTGCTATCTTGCTACTCTTTGCGATACTTTTCGATAAATGAAAGATCTCGATCTCGTGAGCACTACTATCCGCGCAGTAGCAGTGTTTAACCACGAAGCCCAGAACACCAGAGATGGCTGGCTTCCCGGGTCACTAAGAAAATCCTTCTCAAAAGCTGGACAAGAGAGGGTGTGATTTTTCACGGTATCAAAGCAAGAACTTGGTAAGTTCTATTATCAAAGATTTTGGAATAATATAGAATCTGGAACATCCCACTATATGAAACCAAGCAATGCCCCACTGATGCTCAGTAATATCTCATGTGTATATTTAAGCACAGATTTCTCTATAAATACTGCCTGATTATCATGTAATTATTAGGAGTTAGAATAAGCAATTCAATCTATTTTATTGATATTCAGTATTTGAGGCAATATTCGGACTTAGTTAGTTCCGACACACGGCCACACAGTGGGTCATCAGTGAACCTCGAAATCGTGACTCTTTGGACGACCTCTGGCACTACGCGGCGAGATTGTCCAGTCGTAATCTTGGAACCATGCTCCCGCTTGCAGAAGATAATCGCGCGCGTTTCTCGGATTGATGGATGATCAGCCACGGCCACCTGGACGCCATTGTCCCATTCCAGATTCCTTCAGCCACCATTCGGCGTCGCTTTTCGGTTTTTCTAATGCTACGTACCGGTCGGTGTAACCAACTTCGGCCACACACGAGGAGGCCAGGTAGCAGGCCTCCTAGTAGTATTTTCTGGGAGTGGTGTGCTGAGATAGGAGCAATGCGGCAGTTTTTGTTCACTTCATCTTCCCCCTTGAGCTCCGCCGCTCCTCGGAAACGGAGCCGATCAACGAGGCCCATTCCTGAGCGCCTCTGCGTTGGGGATTTCTCAAACTCGCAGGCCGCCTATTCGTAGGGTCGCGAAATCATTCTCGGAAGCAGAATTTGGGTGAGACTGCTCGTATGAAAGATGTAGTTGAGGTGTGGCGTTTTTCCGTTTAGCAAGATCCTTGTGTGAATTTGACTGGATTGTCTGCAGAGGGCTTGAACTCAACCACCTAGCCACTTAACATACCAGGCTTGAATCCTTGAAGATATCCAGCCAAAGCAAGAGAAGATGCGTGATAATCAATCATACATGACCCAAGTTGGGGCAATAATTGATAAGAGAGATCTCTCAGAAGCGGATTGAAAGATAAAGCCAAATCAGAGAGGCGAGCTCTGAATCTTAGAGCATTCTCTTCCTCTCAAACAAACCAGAAACCCATCACTAATATATAAGTACCCATATAAATGTAACATTCATCTAATCCCATCTCCTTACGGAGTATACATCCACTCAATTTCCCCCATTTCCAACTGAATAACTTATCCCTTACGAACCAGTGTCTTCCCCCTCCCCCTCAACAAAAAAATAAAAATAAAAAACAAAACCAATAGATAGATCTACTACATACTCCTCTCCACGAACACGAACAAATTGGTTTTCCCTCTTTCCCCCTCCCTCTTTCTTCCCTCGCCCGACCCGTTCTGACTGACCAATAGATAAAATAACACCACAAGAAAATCTATTATGTATTTATTACTCCGTACCTTTACTGTACCCACGCCCGTAAGTTGTATATAACCCATCGAACACCCCCTCCATTCCCTTGCCTTCCATTCCCTTGCCTTTCCTGCGTAACTAGTAAGTTACCTAATAAACTAATAAACTAATAAACTAACTAATACTAATAAACTAATAAACTTAGTTTCCTAGTTATTAGTTATGTAGCTACCAGTATCCAGCTGGTATCTGCATTACGGAGTACGGAGTACGGAGTACGGAGTAGTTAACTATGTATTAACTATTTATTTATTAACTAAGTATTTATTAACAGTTATTAAACTTACGCTGTAGTTATGCTAGCTGCTACATTGCTAGATTTGCGATTGCTGGATGGAACACTGTACTCCGTACTCCGTAGCTAACTAGTTAAACTATGTACAGTACATACATACATACCTAGTTATCTCTATTTTATTTATTTGCTATAACTATCTCATCTTATAATTTACTAACTACAAAATAAAAAAAAAAATAAATAAATTAAAAAATTAAAAAATTATTTTTTTTAAAAAAAACCAAAACCAAAACCAAAACCAAAACCAAAACTGAAAATGTTAAAAAACACACAAGAGTGAACTTGAATTACATGCTAAGTCAACTGTAACATTGGTTATATTTATTATACCTTACCCCCCTTGCGGCCTCCTCTGCAAACCCTGAGGGCCCTTCCCCCACATAAATTATCATCGGAAATCATCATCGCAATCCCCTCTGTTCTCTGTCTATCATCTATCTCCATCTCGCGCAGCACGCCTCTATCTCTACGAACGTAAACTATTTTCCTTCCTTTTTATTTTTTAAAAAAAGAAATAGTAATTGAAAAACAAAGCTCCCCTCGAAAGTCTCACACGCTCAGCGTCAGGATCAGGATCAAACCCCTTTCTTCATCTTCACTTCATCCGCAGCCTCATCCCCCATCCCCAGCTCCCCCGCATGCTGCGTAATCCACTCTAGCACGCTCTCGTAGCACAGAACAAGCTGCCTAAGACTCTGCACCATGCTGATGCGCTGTGTTCTGAATTCCTCCACCGTTGCCGCGATCAGGTCAACATCGTCTCGAAGCAGCCAGTCTTCCTGTTCGCTTGCATCGTCGCCACCATCCCCACTCGGACCCCCTGCCGCCGGTTGCTTTCGATCCGCCAACGCTGCCCGCCGCCGCTTCAGCATATCTACAACACTATCGACGGTGCAGTAGGTCCCCGTCCGCCCGCAGCCGGCGCTGCAATGGACTAGTACCCGCCTTTGGCCTTCGGGCTCCGGTTCCATCGTCGTCGTCGCCGGCCTATTACTGCTACTAGTGCCAGCTCCGATGGCGCTCGCGTTAGAGGCATGCGCAATCCGATTCGCCTCCTCGACCAGTCGGACGAGGTGTGCGGGTTCGGCGGGCGCACCGAAGTCGGGCCAGTGGGAGTATTGTAGTTGCGTGATCTCGCGGATGGGCTGGAAGGGGTAGGCGGTGTGGGTCAAGGTAAGGTGGCGGACAATGGCGTGCGGCCGGTTATCGTTGGCGACGACGCCGAAGTAGTGGGAACCCTCGGTTGCGTGCGGCTTTTCAAATTGTGTAAATGGACTGGTGGCTCGGCGTTGTCCGTGGGTTCGTCGTTGTTGCTGACTCTGGGGGGAAGGGAACGAATTCAGCGAGATCTGGTGTTCTGCAAATACACTCACTTTGAGGGGTCCGTAGTCGGCCGCTTTCCAGTATGGGTGGCACTTCAGCTGAGGGCCCTCTGATTCTGCGGTTAGCATGACGATTACTCGGATGTCCTGTTCCCAGACGACACGCCAGAAGTCCTGCAAGAAAATTAAAAAATCAAAAATCAGCATCAGTATCAACAGGTAACGAGAAAAAGTGAGAGAAAAGACGTCATGGAGAGCTACACTTACATTGAACGTAGCAGGTATTGGTGCTTGGGTAGCGATATATCTTTTGTTCGAGCGGGAGGACTCGATGAAGCTCGCGTTTACGTAGTCGCAGCCACCACTGGGTACGCCTTGCAACCGAACCCTCGAATAGTCGAATGGATATATATTGTTATATCGATTCTTCGACCCCTTCTCCAGTCCCGCTAAACAGAAACTCTTTTTAGGAGCTTTCGACCCAGGCGAACCGTATGAGACGCGACATGTCAAGGCTTCCTGCATGCGTTTTTGCTCCGCCCGCTCAATCTGCAAAAACTGATACGACACCAGCTTGCCCTTGTCTTCAGCATCAACGGCCCGCGTGAGCCAACGTGGTAGCATTTGTAGGGTTTTCCCACACATTGACTGTGGTAGTTTGATAGGAATTTGACCGACGCCGTCTATCAAGTCCATATTTTGGCGGATATTCGAGAAAAATGGATGGGTGGCTGTATTGGAATCCGGGATGCTGCAACCGCCAGCTATGCCTTGCTTGTTTGGCAGGACAAGGCTAATTGACCGTGGTTGGTCGGCGAAACTGGCAGCTTCATTGCGCTGATTGGATTCAATGAGGTCTGGATACTCGGTGGAAAACTGCGCAAATCCACCGCGCATTATCGACGTCTCACCTTTCCACCCTTCATTGGTGAACTTCTTCAACACGTTGATCAAGGGAGACGCATCCTTCAGGTGGGTCGTAGAAGAATCGTAGACGATAATCTGTGTACACTGCTGCCACCGCGCAAATTTTTTCTTGTCTTCATCTCCAGTGAATGTATCCTCTAATTTTTGTAGGTTGAAAGACGGCCGCTTTAATAGAGTTGTTGGAATACATAAATTCAATGCTCCTTTTATCTTTGCTTGGGCGAACTGTGGATAGGGTCGGACATCTAGAAGTAGGGTGGCGTTTTCTGGTGATGACTTTAATATTGCTGCTAAAACGCGGGGTGTAACGAGTTGGACATTGCCCTGATCGACACACGCTGGGGATGTCTCAGAACGCTGAAGCGTGCGAACCTTGTTGCATGCCAAAGAATGGCGGGGGAGTTGAGGAGGAAGTGTGATTCGTGAGGGACGGCCATTACCACTCTCAGAACCAAGGGGAATCCTTAATTGTGACATGGTTAAAGCGGGGCTCGGTACTGATGATGATAAAGAGAAGGAAGAAGTAGAAGAGGAGGAGGAGGAGGAAGAGGAGGAAGAGAATGATGATGATAACGGAATCACAGATTTCGGGAGAGTAGACGACGACTTGGCTTCTCCTGCTGAGCGATTCGAGTGTGGATCGATGCTCATGTAGCTAGTCTTGTCATCATATCGCGAAGTAGCGAACGGGGCGTCGATGGCATGTGGTGAAGGGGGCGTTTGCATCTCACGCCTCTCCTCAGCCCTGCGATCTCTATCTCGAAGGGCCTGCGTTTGTTTCTCAAAACTGGACGTGATTCTATGGCCAGCAACAAACCCAGCCGATTCGAAGTTGTATTCAGAGGACTGACGATTCCCTTGTTTCCCAGCACCTGGCGAGCCCGACGTTAAATTCCAGGTTTTGCGCGTATGTTTTCCCGCTGTCGAGTTGGGCGGGTTGTTGGAATTGAAATCGACGACGCCGAAGTAGCCATTGCACGAATCGCGCAGGACTCGCGGTGAGAGGGCTCCTCCAGAGCCCAGGATGGGAGCCGCCATCTGGCCGACTGACGCGGGTGTCCGTGGCGGCATTCCCAACGGGGTAGTAGACACTGCGTTAGTAGCGACGTTGGGACTCCAAGCTTGAGGAGATGGCAAAGACGCGGTGGTCGCCGACATAATTTGGAAGGAACGAGATTCTGATTCTGATTCTGGAGCCCTCGTTCGTTGTAGTAAAAGGGAATGGGAAGGGGAATCCGGAGAAGGGGAATCCGTAATTTATCTTGTGTTGCCCTCTTCCAGTTAAATAAAATATATAATATAAAAAAATTATTATTTCTAATTCCTCAAAGCAGGAACGTCAAAACGTCGAATATCAAATAACCAAGTTGTTCATAGTGGTAAGCGAACGCCATGCTGTGGTAGAGATGGATACAAAAGGGAGCATGGTTTGCTAGAATGCAACGGCAGCAAGCAACAATGGACAGATCACAATTATGGGGTGTGACGTAGTAGGTAGGAATTACGGTGGCAAGTGTAAACCGATCAAACGGGCATCGAACTTGGTGGATTGTATGGTAAGGCTATATATCAACAACCGCGAGGGCGGTTGCGCGCGCGCCACACCGACAAATAAACAGCGCAGGGAAACAAGCTTCTACCACGAGGCAGCTTTTGGGTCCAGAGCCAGATTCCAACAAGCTTGAGGCGGGGTGTGGAGGAGCTGCGGAGACGAGGAGTCCAGAAAAAAAAAAAAAATGCGACGTGGGCGGAAGTCCGTTTCGTGGAAGGGGCAGCTATGACGTAGGCGTGGAGGACGAGGGGAGGCCGAGGCCCTATTTTGGGTTAGCTGAAAGCGCCCGGGAGAGAGCGAAAACGGTCGTCTGGAGGGAGGAGGCAAAGGGGAGAAGTTTGCTAGGGAATATGGCGCAAAGGTAACGAATAGCAGGATCTCCCAGCGTGCGGCACAGGGGAAGTTTAAAAGAGAGGGTTGGAACAAAAGACCGGAGAGAACCAAAAAAAAAAAAAAAAAAGAACCGAAGCCTGGGACGCTATGACGTGTGGATGCGGGAAAGGGGCAAAACAGAACACGGCCACACACAGCGCTTCGAATAATCAAGAATCAAGAATCACGAATCATGATATCAAATCAAAACCAGCAGAATCGTCTGGTCAGCCACCTTTACTAACACCGGATCGTAGGACTCTACACAATGACAACTCGCTAGGATGTAACACCACCACCACCACCACCGCCGCCGCCGCCGCCGCCGCCGCCGCCGTCGCCCCAGCGCAGTTTTGCTCTTCCAGCCACCCACCGGCTGCCACGGGGAGAGAGGATGAGGCACGGAGAGTGTCCCCCTGGTTCTGCTTCGGCTTCGGGATGGCCAGATGAATAATTGAACAATTGCCCTGCTGCTGGCAGAGCAGGAGGAATGAGGCAGGGCAGGGCAGGGCAGGGCAGGGCAGGGCAGGGTACAGCCGGAGTATAACAAGCAAAGAAAAAAGACACATATTATTTCGGACACGAGCGAACCGTAGACCAGTAGAACTCTGAGTTACAACAACGACAACGACAAGGACAAGGTACAGTACAGCGGGCGGAAAAGCACAAAGAAGGTAGGTAAGTGGAAAATGAAAATTCGAAACCTACGCTGGCAAACCCCGGGGGATTCAAAACAAATCAACGACACATCCCGGTGAGCAAGGTGGTGGTTGATTTGGAATTGGAATTGGGAGTGGGAGTGGGAGTGGGACTAGGACTAGGACTAGGATCGGGATCGGGATCGTATAATTAATTTATCTATTATTCTTCTTGAGTATTCTGCAGGTCCAGGTCCAGTCGTGGTTGAGAAACCCCTCGTCGTCCTTGCGTCGATTCGATGCGGGAGGAAGAGAGAAGAGGATAAAGTTCCAATTGGACTGAGGTAGTTAACCCTCCCGGCTGACAAATTTGCGCTGGTTGGTGGTTGGAGAAGGGAAAATGCGGTGTTAATGGGATCAAGAAGAGGAGGAGGAGTACGAGGAAGAGTACGAGGAAGAAGAAGAAGAAGAAGAAGAGGAAGAGGAAGAGGAAGAGGAAGAGGACACAAGAAGACGAGGAAGCCAGGGCTGGGCCCCATGGGGATCGACGACTGTTGCTTGGATGTGGATGATTGCTGCTCTTCTCTCTCGTCCCCGCGTAACTTCACAGCATCCCGGGCTTGCGGCGCGGCTTGCGGCTGCAGATGGTTGTTTGTCTGCCCGTTATCATCATCCTCATCATCATCATCATCGTCATGGCCGGCCATGGTCAGCGAACGAACTCGAACTATTCTCACTACTGCCCGATCCTCTACAATGGTTGCCTCTCTCTACACAGTACTCCGTATGATACGGGACTAAACAATACCTCCTCCCCATCCAGATCCTCCCCTTTCTCAACTTTTTTCTTTTTCTCCTTCCCCCATATATTTAACTTTCCCGCCGGAGTTCCAGAACCACCCGCTTTTCAACCGGCGAAGTCTCCTTCCAAAACTCAAACAACATCAATCATCCTCTGGAAAACTAGTGGATTCCGAGGTTCCTTCCCCCTCCAAAAAAACCTCACCACTCCGGTTCTCCATAAAAAAAAAAAAAAAAAAAAAAAAAAAAAAAAGCCCAGAGTTAATGTTTATTATTATTTTTACTTTCCTTCTCGAATTCATTTTGACACTCCAGAAAAAAACTCTTGATTGACCGCGTGCGTTGATCACATCATCGTCATCATCGTCATCGTCATCGCCCATCACCATCACCATCACCATCACCATCATCACCATTAACTTAGTTAACCATCATCATTAGTTAAAGAGGCAAATAAAGGGTTCCAGATGACAGGTCTGCGATCATCTAGAAGGACGTAGATACAGTAGGTAACTAACTAGTGATTTGAGCTTGCGACAAACAACGCAAATGGTGCGGCAGATAGTTTGCTTTTGCTCCCCCCCCCCCCCCCCCCATCCACGAAAAATGGGGAACTATTATTCGAGATGGGGAAAGTCGGTGAGCACCCCGGGTTTTTTTGGTTTTTGGGTTTTTTTTTTTTTTTTTTTTTTTTTTTTTTTTTAAGATCGGTTGGGGGGTGTCTATGGGGGGTAAAATGGGTCTTGAAGCCAACATTTCCCGGGAAGTTAAGGCCTGTTCCGTGACCCCCTCCAAGGCCGTATAAATTCCTTAAAGGGCAGGGTGTACAACCCTGGAAGGGCCTGGGAAGAACTTGACACACCAACCCGGGCGCAATGCCCCGCCTGTTGGGAGAATCTGTGTCTAAATGTGGCCAGCGCTACTCACTAACAATAGAGAGGCGCCCCAGCGCAAGGGAAACCACCCGGATAGGAAATTTTGGAAATCATCCATCCTCACTTCTAAAATCCATAATCATCCGCATCATGCTTGAATTCTTCATTATACTGGAGAGCAATGCAAATTGCCCTGACATGTTAGAAAGAATTCAACCATAAAATTCACTCCTGGTGTGAGGATTCAAGGTCCTATGCCACTTGTATAAAAGCTATGGCCAGAAATGAGAATATGAAGGATTTATTCATCACTTGTGATGAACCGCGGAAGAGAGCCTAAAAGATAAGATTCTCAAAGGAGGTGAATTTTACTCCCTCTAATTGAGAAAATGAGAGTCGCCGTGATTGAGGCCCACGCACATTAATAAAATCTTGGAA